AGAGTACTATTCTGAGGACACAGGTCAGGATCATGTTTCATTTGTGTTGCAATTGCAATCTTGGAATTGCACTTGCTATGCTACTATTGCTATATAGTTGTACATGCACTGCACATTTATCTTGTTGTAGTGAACAGACAAATAGTACAACTCTACTTTGAACAGGCTAATCGTAGTGAAAACAGTGGTTACTTCAAATGCTTGATTCAGTACATATGTGAAAAATGGCATGGTTTTCTTGCAGTTACTTAAAATGTTTATAAGTTTATTGAGGAAAGAGAGAATTGAAAACACTGTTATTTATTTTCTTTCCAGATACAATGGCAGCTAGTTTGTAATCTTTGAATTTGACTCATGGACATGCCCTTCCCTACCATCATCACATTGTTGTGTTACTGCAGGAAGCAATGGCAAGACGACTGAGTGATGTTACAACAGAACTATCCAGTAACGATGATGATTCATCTGTAGATGAGAAGCCAAAGCCACGGAAGAAGATAGAGTCACCTGCAGTAAAGACGAAAGCAATGGCTCCAAAAATTATGCTTCATGATCCTAAATGGACCGATGGAAGCATTCCATTGGATGGAGTTTCTGATGTGCTTTCAAAGATGGGAAAGGTAAGCACTCCCAATTCATCTTTGTTAGCAATGATCAAGTCGCAGTTCATTGATCCTTGAAACACCACATCTTCTCTGAATTTGCAGGAAGCCACTGAACGAAGAGACGCAGCAGCAATTGCTGCAGCTGATGCTCTGCAGGAGGCATTAATCACTGAATCCGTAATCAGGAACCTAAGGTAATTAAAAGCCGACTTGTGTCCCCGGAATTTCATTCAGCACAAAAGTGGTTTTTCCTAACACTCAGCTTGCTATTGTCCACAGTAAATTTTCTGAACTAACTTCAGCATCGAAGACCTCCAATCCCCTTCCAACAGTTGATATCTTCCTTGCTGTCTATGAGGATACTCTCAAATGGAAGAAAATTGCTGAGTCTATATCCACCAATAGAACTGAAACTGCATCATGGGAGAATTCAGTTACTCATTGGGTTGAAGCAGCATTGGCAACTGATCTTGAAGTCCTAAAGTTGATGAATAAGGCACCTGAATCGCTCTCTCGGAAAAGGGGTGCTGATAAGCCAAAGGCTCCCTTGGTGGTAGAAGCTCCAAGAACAACCATATCCAAGAGGCAATCACATGGGACTTCTGCAAAGGTCCAGTCAAAGGTCTTACCGACCTCTTCAGCGAGCTGCGCATGGAACAAAACTCAGGGCGTGAATGAGACGGCTGAGCTTGCCACGACCTTGTGCTGTGAGATGCATACGTGGTTCCTGAAATTTGTGGACGAGGCAATGGATTTAGGTTTCCACCTTTTTGAAGATCAGAATGTTGCAAGTAGGGGAAAGCAGAGCAGCCACATAACAATGGTACTGTCCCAGTTCAAGAAGATCAGTGACTGGTTGGATGGAGTAGGCAAGATTGCAGAAGAGGCTACAACTAAGGATAAGGTTGAGCAGTTGAAGTGCAAGATTTATGGGTTCGTCATCAATCACATGGGATCTGCATTTGATAGCTCGGTCTCGATTTCATCAAGGAATTGAGGAATGCTTAAAGTAAGCCTTTAAGTTTCTTCTCTTGTATTTTTGTTCATTGGGGATGGGATCAAAGCTACATAATTCTATGACGAGAGGTCTGCTACAGTTTGTAGAAGCTACTCCTTCAGTTATTACCTTTGGTTTTGCCTTGTGAATAAGTTGTTTGTGAAATGGTTCTTGTTTTATCGGTTACAATTATGTACACTTGATAGTTTAGCTTGCTGTAGTCTGAGTGAATGACTGACTTGTTAAAGCTACAAGATATCATTCTTACATCCTTGCAAATATTGTGCTAGGATTAATGGTATGTTAATTTGATTGGTGCCCAATCTTTTCATAACAAAGGTTAGGCAAATGCCTGACATGCCACAAAAACTGTAGCTAGTACAATATGTGCCAAGTATATTTGGAATGCCGACACATTTTGCTAGCCGAAGAAGGAAAACAAATCTTCAGTTGCTAGAGGTCCTTCCATGTTGCTAATTTGCTATAAATGCTGGTGAACCATTTGGTCAGAATACATGAAGCTGTAGAATTCCCTTTCTTGTCGAAACATTGATGAAGGATAGGTCTAGCTCCTGAACCTTTCAGCTGACTGGTCCTAATGATTAGTTGGGTCACTAATGTCAAAGAGATGCTGCACCTGATTATGGTAGTATACAGGAGGTATTGGTGCCAATTCATCTTTTCAATTGAAATTTGAAAGGGACCCATAGAACTTGACAAAAATATTTTATTTGATGCGCTTGACGCTTGGGAGGCTGTAGGGTGAAGTAAAATCAAACACCTACAGAGAACTCCCTTTGAGATATGTTATTGTAAACTGATTGACTGAGGCAGAAATGCCAAATTGTCTACCGGAGTTGAAAAGGAGTTTTATCCAAACTAGTATTACTATGATACTACTAGACTAGAATTATTGAACTAACAGTCCTCACCAAATTGAAGTCTGTAGCAGTTGTTTCTGTTCCTTTGTTTTCCTTGATGTGGTTGGAACTTGGAAAGCTGATTTGCTTGAACATGAAGAGCTGAACAAAGACAGCCCTGTTTGTAACAAACTAGTAATCAGATAATTCAGCCGATTACTACGACAATTCAGCTGTTTGGTTGTGCAGAAGGTATATTGACCATGCAGGGTAATTCGGCTGATTGCATGAACTTGTTTGGTAAAAACTATTGTGTATAAATCGTGCTCCAAACTCTTGAGCGGATGCTATTAGTGGGTGTTTTTGATTGGACAATCTGAGCGGCGAGTAGTGCAGTACTATGTTGTGAAGAAACACTAGTGCTGGGTGCTGCTGAGTTGCTAAAAAGTATGATATGGAAGGGAAGTATGGATGTGGTTGGGGCAGCTACTGTCCCATGATGGTTTGTGCTAATGAAGGATGGGGAGTTGATTGCGGGAGGGATGAGTGTGGACGCAGGCAGGCGTTCATAGTTAGTGCTGGATGGTGACAGGAAACGGAACAGGAGGACTTGAGAGCTGGGCCTAATGTGTGGTTTGGGCCGACTAAAATGCTAAAGCACTCCCTTCTGATCGTACTTGTGATTGTAGTAATTATGTACTAGTAACGAAAATTCTGTTTAGCCTTTTCGATTAAAAAAGAAGAAGAATTAAACTGATAGCGGACGCACTGGCCGCATCTTGTATTCTTACCAAAAAAAATTCCATGTCGTTGTTGTTTAACCGCCAGCAGTGGACTACTTTTACCACCGGTGCACAAGCCAAATTCTGAGACGCAATGCAACGACGTCATGCTATGCTTGCAGAGTTGCAGGCTGGTTTGTGCTGCGCATTCGCGTCAACACTCCCATTTATTATGCCAACTAATTCCAAACACCAGCAATACTCTCCTCATTAACTTCTTCCGCGGGACGAGAGAGGGAGAGAGAGCCAACCGCGCACTACTTGTACTTCCTCATCTTCCTCTTGCTATTAATCGAATCAAATTACTACTAGTCTCCCTTCCACGCCACGCACACGCACCCAATCCCCTATCGATCGAGAGACATGGCCTCCACCACCGCCACCGCCGCCGGCAACGGCAGCGGCAGCATCCTCCCCACCCACACCACCACGGCGCCACCCTTCAGAGCCCATAAGGACGCCGACCTGGAATCCACGACGCGGCGGCGCCGGCGACGCTGCCTGTGCTGCTGCCTGCTCGTCACCCTTGTGGTGCTCCTCGTCCTTGCCATCACCCTCCTGGTCCTCTTCCTCACGGTGCTCCGCGTCCGCGACCCCACCACCCACCTCGTCTCCACCCGCCTCACCGGCCTCTCCCCGCGCCTCTCCTTCCCGGCCACGTCGGTCCAGCTCAACGTCACGCTGCTCATCACCGTGGCGGTGCACAACCCCAACCCGGCCTCCTTCACCTACGCCACGGGGGGCCACACCGACCTCACCTACAGGGGCGCACACGTCGGCGACGCCGAGATCGACCCGGGCCGAATCCCGAGCCGTGGGGACGCCAACGTCACCATGGCGCTCACCCTGCAGGCCGACCGCTTCGCCGGCGACCTCACGCAGCTCGTCTCCGACGTGATGGGCGGGTCGGTGGCGCTGGACGCGAGCACTCGGATCCCCGGGAGGGTGGCCATCCTGGGCGTGTTCAAGCGCCACGCGGTGGCGTACTCGGATTGCCATTTCGTGTTCGGCGTCACGGAGATGGCCGTGCGTAGCCAGCAGTGCAGCGACCGCACCAAGCTCTGATTGATCATGTGATTCCAACTTAATTTGCAAGTTTCCAAGCACGCAACGTAAGGTGGGCATGCCGCATCGCGACGTGGGACAAGACGAGAAGCCGTATGATATGCTGCTTTGTTACGCAGGTGCACTGCACTAGTAGTACATAGTAGAGTATTATATTCTACACGGGCGGCACATTAGTTCGTTACAGATAGTATCAGATCAGGAATTCAGGATTCAGTGCTACGATTTTCTTCAATATTTCTTACTGCGTGTTGGGATTGATTTGATTCATGTATATAACACGGTGTCAGTTTGGATATATATACAGTAATTTCACTATTCTCTATTTCTTCAACGTATGCGCCCATGATGTTTACTAGCGACTGATTCAAAAATTCCTAATCCAAGCGCCAAACTTCAGTTAAACAGACCTTTCTCGACAGCATGCCCACAGCTTCAAGCTGCCAAGTGCCAACACTCACAGAAAACTCGGCCCGGTGCAAAAAAAAAAAAGGAGCATATCCTGACTTCTTTCACTAGCAAATACTGAGTTACTAGGATTTAGGACCCTCACATGGTCAAACAACAAACATACTAAACATTGTTACAGGTTTCAAAACATATAATGAAGCCACATGTATAAACCAAACGGCCATTTCCAGCGGTTTTCTGTTTAACCTCACCACTAACAGTCACATCAAGCAAGCAGCACTTTACATTATCAATCATGATTTTCACTACTCCGCTGCATTCATCACATAAATGAAAACATTTAAGCACGGCACACCATCTCACAGTTCTTGTGAAAGAAAAATGAACTACTATTGAGCAGCATTCAGACGATCCACATCATGAACCTGCAACAGACTCACTAGTTCAACCAGACACAGCTATCCATTTTAAGACTTACAAAAGGTACGTGGTCACAGACCACAACTCCTAATTGTATATGACTAACCCACCCAAAAGGAAGACTGATTAAAGCTTACATGTATAACTTATTAAACTGCCTCCTACTCCTTTAGCATCACTACCTACATGTTTCAGTTAGCAAAGTTACCATATTGGCACAGGGCAACTGAAATTGGTAGCCAAAAACTGCCCCAAAATGCTGTTCCTGGGCAGATCAAAAGGGTGTCAAGATATCACTTATTCTCTTTAACGAATAAACACCTTGGACTGACTGAATCAAAGTCGAGCTTTCGACAAATGCTTGGGCTGAGCTGTACCGCTTTAAGAGGTCGCCTCAGTGGCGCATCTGGGCAGGTGTCTGCAATGCCTGTAAGTAGAGGCTCTGAAGAAGGGGTCTCACAGCTTCTAGGTGAATTAGAACCTATCAGATCCTTTCCAGTCGTCTCTAGTGCTTGATTTGAGATAATCAGATCAATAAACATCATGCAGATCCGTTCGAGAAACTGATCCTCCTCCTCAGCATCATCGAATTCAAAACTTAACCTTTTAACAGGGTAATCACCTGAATCAAAACTTAGCTGCCTTCGCGAAGGAAGTTCTGGTGCCTTGGTCACCTTCTTCTTTGGTGCACAAGCTAACTCCTCTGGTCCTGGAGCAAAAGGATCAAAGATGCTTTCGCGCGGTGTCTGACATCCATATGAAGGATCTTCATCTGCAACACTTTTTGAGATATATGATTCAATCGCTTCATTCTCTGGTGGTGTAATCACCTCAGCAACACCACTCTTGTTATTTTCATGATCACATACCATGCCAAGGGATCTTGTGTCCTTATTTTCAAAGGGAGATTGCACAGAAGCTTCTTCATTTACACACTTGTCCAACTTTTTTACAACAGGGAAGTCACAGTTTGAAACTAGCGAATTATCAATAACATTCTTATCCACCCCTTGATCCATTTGGGAGTAATGTGGAGTCAACCTCTGCTATGACTTGCAAAATGAAAACCTACAATGAAATAAGAAATAGAAAAAATTAAATACCACAAACTAACCAGGACATAACAGAAAATGATCACCGAAACAAACAAGGGACACCCAAGAAGATTCCAAAAGGTTTCTAGGGGATACTAAGGCAAAAATGGTCACAGGAGAAACTAAAGCAAAATTAAGTGGTTATCGACAAAACACTAGCCCCGGATGTAACGGCAACTGCTATGAATGTAAAATTGTTCTAAAAGAGTAAAGGACTATGCAAGGCGCCAAGGTAGTCGTCAGCCACTAATAAGCAAAGAGCTTCAACTCTTGTTAGAAGCCGAGTGAAATCACTGACATCATCTAATATAACCAAAGCCCTTTTGTCGATAACCGTTATTTCTTACCGAATTTCAAACTGTTCACCCATCACTCTGAGAGTCTGAGTCCAAGTATATATACAACAATTATATATGTTTCTTTACTTCTGTAAAAAGATATCAATTAACCATCAACATCTATTTTATAAAGCACCTTCCGACTGTCTAATTGGATAATGGGGAAACCTAAAAAATAAAAAGCTTTCTATGCATTAGCTCCTTGGAAGACCTTCATCCACACTTTTTGCCTACTATATATGTATCAATGGTTTATATGCAGCTATGACTCATACATAAAAGATTAAAAATATTCTCTATAGCCAGCGTTTTTCCAGTATATCTACACTTGATCTCACAAGTTTTTCCATTATCACATTTTCCTGAAACATAGTAAAAGTAAACAGGATAACCTGTACCTTTGAAATAGTACAGGATCTGAGTTGCAGAGATCAGGTTCCAAGAGCATCAACACTTAATAGTAGTATGATCTTTACCAAAAGAGCAAGTGCAGAGTGTATCGGTTTCATATAAAAACTTGATCATGTCAAAATCAAGTGTGGTTACCTAAAAAAATGAGTACATCAGTTGATATCAAAAGATGAACAAGGAACTTGATAGTATTTGCCTGACATCAATAACTCGAAAATGTAGCAAATATGTGCAGAAATTTGACATCATTGAGCCTCATTTCCAGCAGGTAAATAAATGCAGAACAATGGCCTCAGATATATGAAGAATGTGAAGTAGCTACTGTCATTGGTATCTGTTCTTTCCAGTATCTATCAAATGTAGCAAAAGAAAAAGTACAAGGAAAAGGAAAATAAGACCAAGTGTAGGAAAAAAGAAACCGCAAGAAAATGAGAACAAGTGTAGAGCAAAAATCTATTCACATGCATCACAAACAGCAGCATATATCATCATTGGCCATCTTTCCCAGCCTAACAGCACGAAAAAAAGAACAAGTGTAGAAAAATCTGTTCATGTACTCTTATAAATTCTGCTCAGTTCAAGTGTAGAGGTGGCCTCAGTTCTGCTAAGATCATTTGAACTATAAAATACTGAGAAAGATCACAGAAAGACAGAAACTTAGAAAGGGCATGTTTGGTTGCCTGACCTTATCGAATAAGGTCAAGTGCGGGCATATCTGTTCTTATGCATCACAAATAAGCACTATTAATCAAGTGTGTATCTGTCAGTATCAATTTAAAAGAAGGCACTATTGTATCCGGCCTTATCAGTAACTTGTATTTGTAGCCAAAGATACAATGGCATAACACAAATCAACAGGAAAAATAGGAATAAGTGTAGGAAAAATGAAAAGCAAGCCACTAGACATTTCATTCCATCGAAATCAACCAAGAAAGATGTCAGCTTTTAGTAGATCTAGCATATTTATGAAGGGGACACGGTCGGTCTAATCCAAACAAATCGGCTAAAATCGAAGGAAGGGAGGAGAAGACAACCTAGCCCTTACCAGAGAGCTCAACGGAAAGAGTCGACGAAAGAGAGGGGCATAGCAGAGAGACGGAGAGAGCGAACCAGTGGAAGAGAGCGATGGCGGCTAGCGAAAGAGAGGGAGGATGCAGTGCTGACGGACGACCGGCCCTCCCGCCACTCGCGAGTCGGCGGAACCCTAGCTTTCCACTGGTTTGGAACAAATGAGGAGGGATGGTGGTACTGGTGAGTGGTGACCCCATCCATGGCTTCTGCAAGAGCAGGCAAATCTGCTGGGAACCAAACACGTACACGCCCTAACTGAACACCACAGTGAAATACTCAAAGTTGCTAGTATTATAATGGTACTAATCCAGAGATCCAAATGTCAAATACGTGTGGTCTCTACATCAAGATCTATTGTAGCCCTATTGGGTGTCTTGGCTTGCGCATGCCGCCGCTGAATAACACCATAAACCTTACCCGAGCGCTCGCTTGACGGCGACGTGGTGCGCTAAGAAGTTTGGATTTGATCCCTCACACCACAAACAAAGGGGACAAGACTACAACAGATATCTAATTAAGCAAAACAGGGTTCCTTACCAACAAAAGAAGAAATCAATCCAAGCCCGGATGGATCTTCCAGTCCAACCCAATACATGAGATGGGGAGCAAACCGGATAAGAGTTCCTTGTTGGCGCACCTAGAAATTAGAATCACATGGTAAAAGAAGTAGATTTAGGGCTTTAAGAAGTGAGAAAAGCCGAAAAATCACATGAAAAAAAGAGATAAAGCTCACTAGAACCCTAACATGTGAAAACCATAAAAAAATCCATAGAAAGAAGAGGAGCATTTTGGATCTGCGTGAGAGAAAGATTGAGAAGTAGAAATGGTTAAGAAAATGGAAGAAAGGAAATACCTCGCGGCGGCTCTGGATTGGGGCACGAGATTGGTTTGGGTGGCACCAACCGGGATTGGGATGAGGCCTCCCGCCGCCAAAACAATCCCCTCTATTAAAATAAAACAAAGATTTCACAAAACACCCCATAGAATGTCTCATTTGCTAATTTTATTCCTTTGTACAACAACTAGCGAGGAGCAAGGCAGCTCTGCTGGACCACTGAGGAATATATGTGAAAAATAAAGAATCAGTGGGTTGGAGAGTAAAATGCACCAAAAGGAGGGAAAACTAATTTGGGCGGGCAACCTTGGCGCGCGTGTAGCAATTTAGCATATCCTTCCCGCGAAATAGGCGTGCCTATACATATCATCATTTTGGTGAAAAATGAAAGTTTCCCACTGCCTAAGGAGTTTTTTCTTAGGAAAAAATAATAAAATAATAATGGTCGTGATTATTTAGAAATCTATAGGTGCAAATAATCATTAAATGAGTGGGTTTCATGTGTATACTATGTTGAGGCTAGTTTGCGGGTTATCGAAGATCATAATGATTAAGAGACAGTTAATTTTATGTTTTCCTGGTTTAATGGAATTTATCTATTGCAAGCAAAATACCTGTGTTTCATGACCAGTGAAGAAAATTATAACTTTACATACCTTGTTTTGCCATTCATCTCTCCATATGAAACACACCTGTGATACCTTTGTTCCGTCATTTATGTATTCGTATGAAACACGCCAGTCAGGTTAAAGAATAAGCCTGTGAGACTTTGATACTCAATTTTAACAGTACAGAGAAGTTTATGTGAAAATACATATAAACTCAAGGCATGCATTAAAAAATAATTGAATGAATAACTTTTCATAATATTAACAAAATGAAAGGGTTAAAATGAAAGATTGACAATGAATCCAAGATATTTTATCATCTAATACTCATAGATAGAATCCGTTTGGTGATGCATGGTAGAGGCATTATCCAGCCTCTCTCATTGCAGCTCACGAGGGACGGTGGTGGTGCTCCCCTAGCCAACCAGCCCCTCTCGGCACGACAGAGGTCCTCCCTTAGCGCGAGGTAGCAGTGTTCCCCTAGTCCTTCTTAGCCCTTCCTAGGCAGCGAGGGCGGCGGTGCTCCCCTATCCACACTAGATGGCAATGGTGATGGCAACAACCTCTCTAGGCATCCTCCAGTCTTAGCCTATCTTGTTGGGTCTTTGTCTATTTTCATTGGTTTATGCCTATCTTGCTAGGGCAAAAACTTTTGAAAATGTTTTGCACATAATTTCCTTAATAAAAAAGTAGAGAATATTCGTGAGTAGTACGTAGTTATGGACTAGTTAAAACATAATAAGTTATTGTCTATAATAATATCACGAGTATTCCATTCATTACAAACTTCCAAATATCACGAGCATTCCATTCGTCACAAACTTCCAAAATACACTCAAGCGAATATTCTTCAAAACAAATAAAAATATGCACATATCATCATTAGCTAGTTCAAATTGGTGAAGAAAAGTGTGACAGACGCTTCTCATCAGTTTAGTTTAGATAAATCCGGCAATAAAAATCGCTATCGACTACCAAACAAGGAAGTTGTCAAATGAGACGTTCACGACATCTATGTTTTGAGGTCCCGATCCTTGCAGCCTTTGCTCTAGGCTCTGATTGGTAGATTTGGGAATTAGGATGACTAATGGAAATTTGGAAAGATTTAATTTCACCTCCTTTTCTCCTATTAGTGATTCCCAGTTTAATTGGGGAGAGGGGTGGAGCAGACGCGAAGTCTCCGTTCTTGTGGAACAAAGAAGCATGCAAAGAAAAGAAATAAGGCATAGGAGTTGGGGCAACCACTTGGATGGAGTGAGGGCAGATGGCCGTGCGTAGCCAGCAGTGCAGCGACCGCACCAAGCTCTGATTGATCATGTGATTCCAACTTAATTTGCAAGTTTCCAAGCACGCAACGTAAGGTGGGCATGCCGCATCGCGACGTGGGACAAGACGAGAAGCCGTATGATATGCTGCTTTGTTACGCAGGTGCACTGCACTAGTAGTACATAGTAGAGTATTATATTCTACACGGGCGGCACATTAGTTCGTTACAGATAGTATCAGATCAGGAATTCAGGATTCAGTGCTACGATTTTCTTCAATATTTCTTACTGCGTGTTGGGATTGATTTGATTCATGTATATAACACGGTGTCAGTTTGGATATATATACAGTAATTTCACTATTCTCTATTTCTTCAACGTATGCGCCCATGATGTTTACTACTCCCTCTGTCCTATAATATAAGGGATTTTGGGCTTTTACTTGCACTGTTTGACCACTCGTCTTATTTATAAAATTTGTGCAAATACAAAAAACAAAAAGTTGTGCTTAAAGTACTTTGGATAATAAAGTGTCACAAAAAAATTAAATAATAATTCCAAATTTTTTTGAATAGGACAAGTGGTCAAACAGTGCAAGTAAAAACTCAAAATCCCCTATAACTAGTTGAGTGCCCGTGCGTTGCAACGGGTGATTAAAAATACATCTAGTGTTATATGTTGATAAGCCTTAAAAAATTCTAATAGACATTATAAAACCCAAACCCCAAGTCCATGATACACAATATTTTAAATTCAAATTGATTACAAATGCAGTGCTACTTTTTTATTTCAAATCCATCAAGCAAAATCAATTTCAGATTTAAGTCCATAATATAAAATCAATGTTAGGTCTCAGTTTAGAATCTGTTTTAAATTTTCCCTTCCACTGACCGTAGGCTAATGATTAGAATTTATAGGCAGAATCAGACCTTTACTATTGCCTCTAACTGTACATTGCCTAGGTGAAGCACAAAGGATGCCAGTAATTGAGATGGCCTCGATGGGTTTATCCTCCCCTATTGCAGTACCACACGCCGCAGGCAAATTCATCTGGCAAAAGACAAAAATAAGGGAACAATTTCTGAATATGTATCACTAAACTGCAGCAGCAAATGCAACAATGCTGGAACTGTACTACCGAAGTGATCACAGTAAGAGTCTCACCATAGATAGTGGCCAAGCAAGTAGGAGCAGAAAGTTGGAGGCCATGTAGAGCACCATCCCCTGCGCTGCCACCACCAGCAACAACGACGGCATGGCCAGTGCCCAATGCTTGAAAGCAACCACCCCGGTGCGCACAACGCCACCCATGAGACTCAAATCACTCATCCAGGCGAAGCGAACAACTGCATGCATGCTAGGAGTGGAGACGGCGGCCGTCGCTGCATGTAGTACCGACCTGGCGGGGTAGTAGGTGATGCTGAGGGAGCGCAGCCAGGCGGCGGCAATACTGCCTCTCCCTCAACTGAGTTGATCTGAACCTTGGTCTGCATGTAGTACCGACCTGGTGAGGTAGTAGGTGACTTCGAGGGAGCGCAGCCAGGCGGCGGCAATACTGCCTCTCCCTCAACTGAGTTGATCTGAACCTTGGTTACTGGAATTGCGCTGCATATCTTCTTCTTTAGCAATCAGGAGACAAGTTAATAGGTGATTGAATTTAAAACCAGTTACAAACAAGATCCATCAGGGTGAAAAGAATAGAAAGTACAAAGGCACTCACAATTAGAGTTCAGTTCTTCAATAATTTATCTCCAAGATTCAGTCTCACTGCACCTAATGGTGTGGCAGCCCGAACACTTCCCATTGCTAAGAAAAGGAAAATATTTTAGTAAATATTTCTATTATTAGAAGCTTTAATCAGTTGCTATATAGGATATGTAGTGGTCATTGATATATTAGCAGCTTTTTCATTTGTCTGAATTAATATTGAGAACAAATGTGGATATAATCCTGGTGTTGCAGAAATCACAGGACTTATGGCCTTTCAGTTTGTGTTCTACTTGATAGTGTGCTACAAAATTCAAATAATACATTAATGATTGCAAATATTTAGAAATGCACAAGCTGTAAATAAACCAGCAATCTCTTTTAAATCCTGTCCTGCATGGACTAAAAATAAAAGAAATACTTCCTCCGTCCCAAAATAAAGCCATTTTTTAGGTTGGCACGGGTATTAAGAAAGTAGGTGAGAATGATTGGAGGAAGTGTGTGATTGGTTGAAAAGAGAAAGTAGGTGAAGAAGAATGGTTGTGATTGGTTGAGAGGAGGAGGTAGGTGAAGAAATAGCTTCATTTTGGGACAAGACACTGTGCTAGAAATAGCTACATTTTAGGACGGAGGGAGTACTTAAGTTCAGTACCTACTGAATAAGTTTGTTTGCAGTTACCCATAGGTCCATACAAAGGAAACATGGTCTTTATAAAATCACAGGGTCTTTATAAAACAATCATGCCATTTAAGGACACCAAAGCTACATATCAAATTTATTTGACTCAGTACAAATGATCAAAAAAGAGTAGGCATATGAAGAGTAGAATCTACGTAGTTCGAGGTGGACAGTACTATTTGGTCAATTTGAGCAGAGGAACAATGAGGGCTCCAGCATTTCTTACTAAATCCCTGACTCGCATTTTTCACTAACCATATGAAAAGCATAATCATATATAAATTCAATATTTTTTCATGACAATACTTTTTGGGATATGGAGTTTGCAAACTAACATTAGAAATTGTAAACTAACCCCAGACTAATGTGTTTGATCCACTAAATTTTCATCCACAACAAACAAATAAACGTCGCTTTATAGATGTACTATAAACTCCATTATAAACAAATGGGGGGGAGGGGTATGGAAGAAATCATAACATGAAAAAAATTTTACAACGTTACTTACCACCGGCTGAGGAGGAGGTTGCCGCAATAGAGGGCGCCGTCGTTGGTGGCCGGGGCTCGCAGAAGGGGGACGCGGAGGAGATCGACGCGGGATTGATGGTTGCGCGGAGGAGATAGACGTGAGGCGACTCGTGGAGGCAGCGACGGAGGATAGGCGGGCAACATGGTCATGGGCGATGGGATCGGCTGGGAAATAACGGAGAGAAATTGGTACAACTACAACTCCTTCAACTCCCTGCTATTGTATATGAAAGCCATACAAGTTATGTTATCAGCACTCCTGATGAATACAAAAAGGTCAAATCAAATCACAGCGAATTTTTGGACACGAAATCCACCTAAGAAACGGCCATAAATTTCATGAACACAAAGGATAAAACAATGGATATTAGTATAACTTGCGCCAATGGATATTAGTATGTTAGTATAACAAAAGCTAAATACTCATGGCATACTCTTTTCCCCAATGTTACCATTATTTACACTGTGAAACATATTCAAGTCATCTATTTATATGTACGATCCTGTTTAGATAACTTAAACAGTAATGTACCACCTCGATAACTTGCACTGCACCATTCATTTCCCACTCCGACAAATCGAAGTATGGAAGACATCGGCACGATACTAAAAATAAGCATTTATGCATTGAAAAATTCCCTTTGGGCCAAGTGAGCCAACCAAATGTATATGCTGTTTCTATCAAAAAGATTATTGTATCATGTTTCGAGCCTCAGATTTCATTCGAGCGGGACAGTGGGTGTAAAGTTTTGACTTTTGTCTTGCTGAATAGCAGAATTAGTCTTTCCTGATCAATTTCTGATCTAATGGCTTCAGCCAACTGCATCAACCTGATGCTGTGGTCCTAGAAGAAATGAACTTTTTTTTTAACTCAGTTCAGACTTCAGAACCCATTTTCTTCAGGGAAAAAAAAAAGTTCAGAACCCATTGTATTTAGTTACTGTTGCTGTGCTTATGTTCAATCTGTCCTTGTGTTAAGCATTATGTTATGGGCATGCAGTCACAATCAAATTACATCGGTTGATGACAATGTGTGTGCCTGCCTGTATCTGCCTTCCTATATGTGCCCAACCAAGGTTAATATGGATTAACTCACCAATAGACGTCGAACCGAGGAGAGGGAATAGATTAACATGTGAATATGCAGATTTAGAGACCTAGTACCAAGAGGAAGGGGAGTACACCAACCTTGGGAATAGTTGGCGCCGGCCTTGGGGAGGAGGCAGGATGCGACGACGGCGGAGGGGCGGCGGTCGAGGGCGGTGCGGGTCTAGGGTTTCGGCGCGATGAGGGAGGAGGGAGGAGTCGGCGGCGTCGGGTCACGGGGTGAGTGCGAGAGAGAGGAGGGCGTCGATGGCGAATCCTCGACGGTGACGATGGGGGCGCCGACGCGTCGATGTGGGGAGTCGCGAGGGTGGATTGGGGGGCGGCGATGGTGTGGAGGAGGCGGGATGCGACGACAGCAGAGGGGCGGCGGTCGAGGGAGGCGCGAGGATGGATTGAGGGGCGGTGATGGTGTGGAGGAGGCGGCGGTGGAGGGAGAGAAGTCGGAGGAGGGGCGGCGGTCGAGGGAGAGGAGTCGGCGCCGTTTCCTTTTTTTTTTTTTTTTTGTTGCGGACGAGGAGTGTGCGCCGTTTCCTTTTCTTTCTTTTTTTTCCGTTGTAGAGTGGCATGTAAATTGTTGATGTACCTTTCTCATGTTTGATCGTCTGTCCTTGGCTTCACTATCACCGTAACGAATTTTTTAAATAGTAAAGATATGGGACGAAGGGAGTAGCTACTGATTCAAAAATTCCGAATCCAAGCACCAAACTTCAGATAAACATACCTTTCTCAACAGCATGCCCACAGCTTTAAGCTGCCAAGTGCCAACACTCACAGAAAACTCGGCCTGGCGCAAAAAAAAAAAGAAAGAAAAGAAAACACCATATCCTGAGTCCTGACTTCTTTCACTAGCAAATACTGAGTTACTAGGATTTAGGACCCTCACATGATCAAACAACAAACATATTAAACATTGTCATAATGAAGCCACATGTATAAACCAAACAGCCATATCCAGCGGTTCTATTTAATCTCACCACTAACTGTCGCATCAAGCAAGCAGCACTTTACATTATCAATCACGATTTTCACTGCTCCGCTGCATTCATCACATAAATGAAAATATTTAAGCATGGCACACCATCTCCCAGTTCTTGTGAAAAGAAAAAGGAATAATCATTGAGCAGCATTCAGACGATCCACATCATGAACCTGCAACAGACTCACTAGTTCAACCAGACACAGCTATCCATTTTAAGATTTACAAAAGGTACATGGTCACAGACCACAACTCCTAATTGTATATGACTAACCCACCCAAAAGGAAGACTGATTAAAGCTTACATGTATAACTTATTAAACTGCCTCCTACTCCTTTAGCATCACTACCTACAAGTTTTAGTTAGCAAAGTTACCATATTGGCACAGGGCAACTGAAATTGGTAGCCAAAAACTGCCCCAAAATACTATTCCTAGGCAGATCAAAAGGGTGTCAAGATATCACTTATTCTCTTTAACGAATAAACACCTTGGACTGACTGAATCAAAGTCGAGCTTTCGACAAATACTTGGGCTGAGCTGTACCGCTTTAAGAGGTCGCCTCAGTGGCGCATCTGGGCAGGTGTCTGCAATGCCTATAAGTAGAGGCTCACAACTTCCAGGTGAATTAGAACCTATCAGATCCTTTCCAGTCGTCTCTAGTGCTTGATTTGAGATAATCAGATCAATAAACATCTTGCAGATCTGTTCAAGAAACTGATCGTCCTCCTCAGCTTCATCGAATTCAAAACTTAACCTTTTAACAGGGTAATCATCTGAATCAAATCTTAGCTGCCTTCGTGAAGGAAGTTCTGGTGCCTTGATCACCTTCTTCTTTGGTGCACAAGCTAACTCCTCTGGTCCTGGAGCAAAAGGATCAAAGATGCTTTCACGCGGTGTCTGACAGCCATACAAAGGATCATTGCTAGCATCAGTAGCACCGAATTTAGTATTCAGTGCATCCCACAACTCCTTAGCGTCGGTCATATACATATACACCTCGACCAGACGATCGCCAAGAACGCTAAGAATGCATCCCACAAAGAGAGTAGTGGCTTCCTCGAATTGCTTCTGCTGATCAGTAGTAAGAATTCCTTCAGGTTTACCAGTACTCACCCAGAAGCATTTCATAGCCGTCAGCCACAGAGTGACCCTGATCTGCCATCTCTTAAAGTGCACACCGGTGAATTTATCCGGCCTCAGTGCATCGGCAAAACCAGCCATAGTAAAATCACAGTGCCTATAATAAGGTTTTTGGATTGTTGAAATTATAAGCACATAATGATTTAATTTATTCCATAAATAAATCATGGCATTGCAGATGTAAACTAGATTGAACGCATCATTCGATCTACACATGTAAACTAAGCAGTAAAACATGAACAGATCAAATATGCGCAACACGTCGAACACGTACCGAGGTGGCGGAAAGACTGGTTGCTCGGCAGGAACTACTCGTGGTTGCGAGCGTCGACAAAGGCGCGAGTGGCTAGGAGGGCATCCTCCCTTTTAAGGAGGTCTCCCTCTCCTAGAATAAGTAAGGTGATACCAAAATCCGCATGCATGCCATCCCATGAGGTGGACTTTTGTGATTTTCCAAAGAATTAATCTTCGAATGGGCCTTAGCCCATCTATTAATTCCAACAGAACCTTGGCACCGGCAATGCGGGCTAGAGGGCGCATGATGTGGGTCCAAGAGAAGACCGACGAGCCAAACCCATGTAATAGCACTATGGGCAAACCAATTTGGTTTTGGTCAGCGTTTGTGATGCCAGAGTCTGGAGATTGGTCACTGGAATCCTCATGGGTGCAAACCTTGTGGTGGACCCTTACGCCATTGATCTCGTAGAAGCTGCTGTCTGGGTCAGCGAGGGCATCGGGGTCAAGGAGATCGTCCTGGTCAATGCCAGCCACACTCCGGCGGCGGCGGCGTCGTGGTGGCATCTGGGCACTGTCTGGAATTGAACCTGCATTAGTTGTAGGGTTTAGTAGTGCCAAAGCTGTTCTGCTAGTTTTGGGGACGTTTAAGCTTTTGGTGCTAGCTTTGCCCCCCAGATGAAAAAAAAGGCTCAATAATGCGCCATTTTAAATAGGGGAAATCACACATTCTACTTGCAGAGAGCACATCAACCTCAAAATATCCCATCTTAATAACCTCCTATCCAAATGCTGCAAGTCTTTCACCACAGAGAAGTTACCTGGGAACTCGGCAGAGGCAAAGGCTGGGGGAGAACCATTGGGACGGCGAGGGCCGGAGGCCGCGGGAGAAGGCGGCAGAATGTCGAGGGTGTGGAGCCGAGGGTGGGGATTGGAGGTAGCGTGGGAGAGGCATCTGAATTGACCTGATCAACTGCAGAGCAGGAAACTCACGTTCGCTGGACTGAACAATTGTGTGGGGTCTCAACGGAAGAAGCAAACCGAAAAATCAATCTGCATCCACACACTGCAAATTTGTATCGTCATCAAACAAAACGGTGCTCCAAATAACTATCAATCTATATTAGATGAATGCACACTACCATGCTCGGCAATCGCATTTCTTGGATTTTTCTCATCATTGATTCATTGGGCAACAAAATATCAAGTCTTAATCTCCCTAAAAAAATATATCCAATCTTGAAGCAAGTAAAACATCTGTGAGTTAAAAGCATGTGAACAACGCAAGCAGAGGAAAAAAAAAGATGATATCAAAATAGAAAAGTTTGGTTATAGTAAGCTTAAGAGCATGTATAAGATCTGAGACAACTATAGTCTCTCGTGCACTATAGACGATACCGAAAGACAGTTACTACAACAGTTTGCCATATATACCATGAAACGAAATAAATGTGAACTACACTCGTAGCTTTGGAAAAGAGAAAATCCATCAAATGCCATCGATAGACAAACACCATAATCCTAGAAATGCCATCGACAAAGGCAACTTCCCAAAAATGTCATTGCACAAGCCTCTTTCTCCCAAAAATGCCATCGCCGTCAAATTGCTGTTAGCATCTTTCCGTTAAGTTGCATGAAAAGACAATCTTACCGCTAGGCAACCATTTGCTCACGCAACATCATTTTTGCATTGTTTGCTCACAACAAATTATATTTATGTTAGCTTACAAATTTACCAACATCATTTGATAGTTTCCTTCTGTTTTCATCCCTAGTCACTCCCCAATGGCAAATAGGCAGCTCCCGAGAGAGAGAGAGAGAGAGAACGCGCCGTCGCCGCCGCGGAACTCCTCGCCGCGCCCTGCGACGCCGCCACCGCCGCCGTCGACCTCCTCGCCGTGCCCTACGAGGCTGCCGCCGTGGACCTCCTCGCTGCACCCTATGATACTGCCGCGCCGTCGCCACTGCCGTCGTGGACCTCCTCGCCGCGCCCTGCGAGGCCGCCGCCGTGGACCACTGCCGCGCCACCCCTGCCGTGGATCCTCACCGCGCCCTGCCGCGCCGCCGCCCTGGTCCTCCTTGCCGCGTCCTACCGCGTCGCTGTGCTGGTCCTCCTCGCCGCACCCTGTCGTGCCGCCCCCGTGGACCGCCAGCATAGCGGCGCCATGGCCACCGCTAGGGACCGTCGCTGAGCCACCATTGTCTAGACGCCGCTGGGGAGAGCGCTAGATCGGGATCGGTTGCGGTAGGGTTAGGGCTAGAAATTTTATTTTTTTTCTTTGACAGTGAAAATTGGGTATATTTTGCATTGAGGGCAAAATGGTTATTATTAAAAAAAATAATGGTTGTAATGGTGTGGAGTTGATGGTGATGGCATTTTTGGGAGAAGGGCTTGTGCAATGGTATTTTTTGGAAGTTGCTTTTGTCGATGATATTTCTGAGATTATGGTGTTTGTCGATGTCATTTCATGGATTTTTTTTCTTTGGAAAATTATGTGTTAGTAGTACCAGACAGTAGAAACAGGCAGTACAGACTACAGAGCTTGGTCCCCTCTATGTGGAAATGGTAGCTACAGTGATGGGGTTTGACCATTTGGGCAAATTCTACAAATACTATAGCGATTGGCATGAAGTATGAACCACCTACTACCATAATCTTTATGAAAACATACACAGCTATGAACACCATCTATTACTTGGTGTTGAGTTGTGATCCAAATTAACTTGCAAATAAAGGCCAACTTCTATCGGAGCGCAGCGGAGATCCGTCGCTGGAGGCTTGAGCCGTAGCGAAAAAGATACCGAAAGAAAAAAAGGGAAGGCAGAAAGAAAAACAGAGAAAACCAAAAAAGAAGCGAAATTGAAAAAAAAACAAAAAAAAAAGGAAAAAAGGGTCCTCCAGTGCTGTCCGTCGCTCCTTCTCCGCGCGCGACAGGTGACTGGTTGCTAAATAGCTTTCTCGGGAGACCACTACACTTCGGACGTCTGATGGATAACAGAAAATCGGACGCTTGTTATGTTATATTTTTGACACATACACTAACATGTGCAAAAACACTTTAAACTATTTTTTTCTCTTAAATTATTTATCCAAATCATGATCCGATTACACCATTAAATTCGTTGCAATTAAATCTTCAAAACAAGACCACACATGAATATATTCCGACGAATTTTTTTAGCTAATTATTGAATTATTTTTAAATATTGCACGATGTTCCACCATGTATATCGGAATTGTTTCACTAAATAAATCAAAAACGTTTCAATCGTTTAAATCAGGCGTTGTTTCACCTTATATAAAAACAATGTTTCAGCAAATAGCGAAAGAATGTTCCAGTTCACTGCAACATTTGATCCATACATAGTGAAACACTATAAGTACACTAGGTGAAACATTTTTGGTAGAACAAAAAAAATAAAGCGAATTCTCTTGATAGAGGGTTTCTAAAATATGTGGGTAATTTCTTGCAAAAGAATGTTTTAATTCACTGCAACATTAAGTCTATACATAGTGAAACATTGTGAGTACACTAGGTGAAACATTTTTTGTGGAGTATGTAGTGGGAACACGTGGCAGTGTTGCAGGGGAGACGTGGTGGGGCCCAAGGGGAGCATGTGCGCACGTGGTGGTTGGGGGGGAGCGTCCGATTTTCTCCCCCTCCCCCGGGCGACCGAGGCGAGATCTTATTGTAAAGATTTAATTGAAACGAATACACCGAAATAAATGGATCATAGACTGAATGAGTAGTTTTGGAGAAAAATGATTTTAAAGATTACAACTTACATATGCATATATACTTGCACAAAAGTTATGCGTATATGTATCCTGAGTTCCTGACATGACAAAGAGATGAGGAGGCATTAGCATGATGAGGCGTCCAAAGTTTCTTCCGTGATCGGACGCTAGATGGGAAGTATTTCCGGCATTCTCGAACTATCGTACCAGTTTCAACCCGTGGGAGAGGGTTGGCCGCCAGCTCCGATGCTAGCGCGTATGCGCCAGATAGCAGCGCCCGATATTTTCTTTCCGGGGCGTGGGCGGAATCATTCAATCATCGATTTCTTCCCCAAACCTAGCCTCCTCCACTGCTCCCAACCTGCCTTCCGTCGCCGCCGCCTACCCTCGACTACTGATCTACCTTTCTCCGTCGGCGGCCGCGGGTGCCCAGCGCAACCGCACCCTCTCCTCTCCAGCAGCGGCGACCCCTCGCCTCATACCCTTTCCTGGGCAAGGCCGGGAGGGGATCAATCTAGGGTTTCCGCCGCCGCCGGTTCCCCGGACGTTGCTGCATGACGATGGAAGATGGAAGCTGTCCTTCACCAGTCACCCCCAGCGAAGCCGAAGCTGGAGCCGAAGATTACGAATCTTGGACACTGAAGCAGAAGATTGAGGATCTCGTCAACTGTGATCCTATCCATGGTATCGTGCCAAAAAATCCTAAATATAAAGCATATTTCGAGGAAAAGTTCCAGGTACGTACGTACATATTTTCTTCGATCCATCATCCATGGATGCAAAACTAATTAATTAATTTTGACCTCACCAGCTAGCATATATTTTTTTTATTGTATGCAATCGATCGATGAATCAAGTGGTATCATATCTATTGCTATTGTAGGAGAAGTTAAGTAAGTACGTCCGTGTTGTATTGCCGAAACTTCGTCCAGCAATTCAGAAGGATAGCGTCAAGCAATTCTTTCAAGTCTACAATTGTTGGTCAGGTTTCATGGGACGGGGAAACTTCCTTTTACCTGATATCCTCACCAACATGGCCAACGAGAACGCTCTGCGTTGTGCCAGGGTCGCACTCCAGGGCACCTCTCCTCTGTTGCGTCGCCGCCGCGCTGACCCCAACACCCGCCACCGCTATGGCTTCGCCCCCCTACACATGGCTGCCGAGAACTTCAGCGTCGACATGGTCAAACTCCTCTTCCGTTACGGCGCATCGGCGAACATCTGCACCAAGGGCGAGTATGTCATTGAGGGCCTCCTCCCTCTCCATGTTGCTGTCGAGAATGCCAGCATGCACAAGTACATTGAGGATCATTGGGCTCATGGGGACCATATCATCAACCTCATCTTCCTCCTTTGTCTTCCTGAGATGGTTTCTTCATTCAATTCCTATCCCTATTATATTACTGCCAGAGCATTTAGCCTATTTCAAATACTAGCTTGGACCAATAATTAATTTCAGCCACCACTGACATGCAGAAAATGTTCTTGGACACGACTAGATTAATTGCCAAACAGACAGATAACATTGTCGACGAGGTATGGAATTACATTCGTGAAGAAAAGCATGTCCAGGCAGCAATTTTGCTGCTGGCTGCTCAAAAGCAGCTCCGTGGCCGCCTTAACAACAGCAGTGGCAAAGCCTCTCTGAACGGGTTTGATATTGTTAAAAGCCACATTGATGATGCTCTTAACACCATACATCTTGAGGGGTTAAATATGGTTAAGGAGGGAAAGAATGGCAGGGCACTAAAGAGATTGAAAGACAAGAAGGAAGCCCTTCTTACAGCACTTGTACTAGTTGGCATTGTTCACAAAGCCGGTGAAGCTCTTGAGGGATACATTCAAACTCATTCACAGGTAATTGCTGAAATTTCCCCATTGTTACCATTGCTTTCTGATACCTGTGGGTTTTGATTTTTCCAGTTTCGTTTTCTTTAAATTTGTGTGATGCTTACTTCCCATGACTTTGATCTACTAGTGACTCATTTTCTTTAAATTTGTGTGATGCTTACTTCCATGATTTTGATATACTAGTGAAACCTCGAATTACCCTTGTTTTAGAAAGCTGTGGTGGGTGTGGATCGCTTTTCTTTTTCTTTTTGGTGATATGTAAACAGTTGGAGGAGCTCCTGCTGCATTGTATCAACTAGTCACATCCATATTATAAAAAGGAGTTAAAAAGAACTGGACCCATGCAGTTAATGGCATCTTTTAGCCTCCATTTTCATGTAAATCCAAGAGGCTGAATAGCAGGCCCAGCATAGTGGTAGTATACTGCTAGGTTCAGGTCTAATGCATGAGTCAAAAATATATGGAAACATGGGAGTAGATGCAGTGTGTTCTTAATGCGAAGCAAGGTGGCCCACCATCTTTTAGATGCCTACGAGTTTAATGCATAAGTCAAGGTGACACCTTACATCTAAATCTATACAATGTTGCCAACTTCTGTATTACACACATGCTTACCAATTATTGAGCCCATGTACCATTCGTTTCCCCTTTCTAAAGAAGATCTAAGAGGAGGGGAAGAGGTCCTCTTCAGTCTCAGCAGCAGAATGCAAGAAGGGAAAAAAGGACATGTATCCTGTCCAAAGAGGCAGAGCAAAGCGCAAGAAAAAGAACATAGATGAGGGAAGAGGTGCCCTTTCCAAACTAGCAGAGCAAAGCATAGAACAAGAAACAGAGCAGAGAAGAGGGAAGAACAAGTACCTGTCCTGTGCGACGGTTGACAGCTGGGGAAGTGGAGAGCATGAAGGAGAAGCAGACCCGTCGGAGAAATAGGGGCGTTAGGAAGGCAGGCTGGTCCTCTGCATCTCCCCCTTCTCCTTTTCTATCTCTAGGCCACTAGCACCCCTCACACACCAGCCTTTCGACTGTGCACGCCACACTTGCTCTCCCCACATGTGCGTACCCCCATGGCACTTGCGGAAGGCTAAGCGAGCAATATGCTCTCTTCCACTGGTGCTTGGGCGCGAAAGGCGATGCCTTTACGACACTTTAAAAACCAAGAATTGATATTTGCATGAACTATAGAAGAGCATAGGGGTCCATTGAAGGTAAGTTTATCTTTTTGGGATCAGGAACATATAAAATTTGTAGGGAAGATCAATTGTTCTTAAGTATGGTTTGAGAATAAAAATATAATAGCACCCTCCCTTGGATTGGGCTACCTTTTAAAGTGGGACCCCATGTAAGTTTAGCAAAGCAAGTTTTTTAGCTTGGAAACTGAGTCTTTGAGTTTTTGTAAATATTTTCAATTTTATTCATGAATATATGCGTATTCAGCAATTTTAATTATGACTCCATATATATTCAGCTTCTATTCTTTTTTTTTTTTAAGTTGAGGGCTAACATAATGGGTAAGATGAGCAAGAAGGTGCGTAGTTGTTATGTGGGAGATCATGAGGCTAATAAAGGGAATAGCACTTAGATTATGTCAAGGTAACCTGCAAAAGGGTAGAGATGAATAGATGATAGTGTTAAGGGTGATGGTGGTTTGTCTTTAGCCCCATTGGAGTGGAAACCTGATATTGGATATGCTGCCCTTGTTAATAATATATGTTTGAGTGGAAGTTTATATATTCTTTCTCTAACCATGACTATGACTAGGAATCATCATATTGTTCTCTCAACAAGTCTTTCATATTTTAATTGAATTCAAGCTCTAAGAAATGAACGAAACAAAAGCTGGACTACCCTGAAGCAACTTCTCATAATGACCCAAATTACATGACCAGAAGGCCTGCATTATGGAAGCTTTTGTTGGTGCTGACCAGTTCTTTTTCTTCCTCATTTATTTCTTCTATTCCTCACCTGGCATGTTCATGTAAAACGCAAAACACATGTCGGATTGTTATTTTCTTTCTTATTTATTTGCTTTATTCTACGTGCATGTTAAAGTTTAGTGAGAATGCATGTGTCAAAAATTGTGACCCTCTTTCACCCCACGTCTCTATGCACACGAAGAGTGGGTTCTAATATTTTCTGTTCAACTTTACTTGGGTCTGTTTCGAAGGCCCGCCATTTCACAGCATCCATATATGCCATCATGCCACAATGAATATATCAATAAATTTAAAAAGTGGATGCTTGAAAAGAAAGATTAACCTGAACAATCATGGTATTACCATCATGCCACAACTTAGTTGGCAGTGACGATACATGTTCACATGGTACCTATCATAGGAGAATAATAGTTTAAGCGTTAAGCCTCCACCTTCTCACATCAAGCCTAGCAGAGAAAAGGCCTTGGCTTTTGGTGTCACTTAAGATTCGTTTATCATTAGGCAACCTTCTATAGTTTGTCTTTACTACTTTTTTATTTGTAGTAGGAAAAGTGAAAAATTCTCTGCTGGGGTCCATGGCAATGAAACTGCAAATTCCATGCAACTATCTATACCCCCAGAGTGTAGAACATAACATTGTGACACCACAATATTCTAGAGTTGATTACCATAGAGCATCTGTATAGTTTAGACTGTTATACTTTCAATTCCAAAAAAGTGATCTGGTTTGTAGCAGGTGCAACGGTACCGAAAACAACTCTCACCTGCCAATATTCTGCTTTACACGTGTGCCGGCATAGTGCTGCCATACCACTGTTCTGTTGTGTAAGATCTGTTTTAATTTTCTTCTGCTGTTATACTGTAGTGTCGTCAAGTAATGTGCCATTGGTTCCAGACAAAAAGTATAAGTTGGGCAACTTGGTTGTTTGTTCATCTAGCCAAATGAGATGTTATTGACAAGGCCCTAGTGGGCTTTTTGGTGTTGTCTTGTTTGCGGTGAGCAAGGATGGCAAATAAATCCAAGCTTGGAATAGTAGAGTTGGTTGACTATGGCAGATTGGCAGCATGCCAAATCAATGACTTACTGATTCAACTCTTGACCACTTAGTATTTGTGTAGATGTAGTGCTTAAAACACCATTGTTGACTTTCAGATGGTCTGTACTGTTTGTCTCGAGAGATGATGTTATTGAAGGCTGTTATGTGTCTTGCAACCACCACCACCTGCAAGTTTAGATATCTGAATTCTCGTTTTGGAATAATATCCTTGAACATTTTGTAATGATACGTTTTAACAATTTTCTTGGTGAAATGTAGGTGCGCCATGACGAAATTGTTGAACATGTTTCATCAATTCTAAAAAGCAATGGCATTGCTCATTCTGGGGAAAGCATTGACACTGGAAAACTTGAATGGTTTGACATCTACTGGCTTTATATATATATTCAGTTCATGTTTTTGTGCATATAATTTATGCGTTGATTTATTTGTGTTTTGAAGCTACCAACATGGTGGGGGGATGTCGATTGGCAAGTCAGATTCACAAAGAGGTGTGTTTCATTTTGGTTGATCCTATTTCTTATTAAAATAAACTAGAAAGGAAAATAGCTGTGAAACTTTATTACGTGTCCACCCATTACAAAGTCATTTGCTGTGGTGAATGCACAACTTTGGAACATTGCAGAAAGCTTATGACTTGCATCCAGCGCAAAAGGGGGTGCAACCAGACTCTGTACACCAACCTCGGAACTATGCTTTCCATTTCATAAGCTGTCTCATGACCAATTTCATTGCTGATTACAGTGGGCTATGGGGAAACTATTGAAGCGGACAAGTCATCTTCTGATATAGGCGAAGTTAGTAAAATGGTAATGAGATACGCAATTAAATTTATTTGTTGAGTCTAATTCATGCTGATGAAATTAGTATGAAAACAAGATTGTTCCTCCAAATTTGCTCCTACTGACCCCTATCAATTAACAAGATATGGAAATATTTGATAACGTAATGCATAACCATCAATTGTTGCCTTATTGGTTAACAACAGAATGAATACTCACTACTTAAATCTGAGTGTTTTTATAATTTTGTTTATGCGTTCAGTTGCTAATTTTCTCATGTAAACAGATCCTGGGAAAGCAACCACCTAAAGGATCAGCCATACGCGAAGTGAGAGATATGTTCTTCCCATACTGGAAATCGGTGTTGTCTCGACGGTTGCAGCTAAAGATAGTTCCATCCTGTCAACTAAGCAGGAAGGACTTGCTAAGTGCTGAAGCGAGCACGAAGGGGACCAAGAGTATGGACCACCCGTGTAACCCAATCAAATCAATGGGAAATCTTGGTTCGATGGGCTGGCCCCCATTGTCAAGTGAGTCCAGAAGGATGCTTTATACTGTTGCTTCAATGTCCCGGAAGGTGTTTAAGCGCACTTGACTACAGAAAATCTTTGGCGGTATGCTTGTTGAAACACTTTTTTTTTCTATAATAAGCCTCTAGAATGTATTTTGGTCATAGATGAGAAGGGGAGAAAACAGCATATCCTGACTTCTTTCACTAGCAAATACTGAGTTACTAGTAGGATTTAGGACCCTCACATGATCAAACAACAAACATACTAAACATTGTTACAGGTTTCAAAACATATAATGAAGCCACATGTATAAACCAAACGGCCATTTCCAGCAGTTTTCTGTTTAACCTCACCACTAACAGTCGCATCAAGCAAGCAGCACTTTACCTTATCAATCATGATTTTCACTGCTCCGCTGCATTCGTCACATAAATGAAAATATTTAAGCACGGCACAACATCTCCCAGTTCTTGTCAAAGAAAAATGAACTAATATTGAGCAGCATTCAGATGATCCACATCATGAACCTGCAACAGACTCACTAGTTCAACCAGACACAGTTATCCATTTTAAGATTTACAAAAGGTACATGGTCACAGACCACAACTCCTAATTGTATATGACTAACCCACCTAAAAGGAAGACTGATTAAAGCTTACATATATAACTTATTAAACTGCCTCCTACTCCTTTAGCATCACTACCTACAAGTTTCAGTTAGCAAAGTTACCATATTGGCACAGGGCAACTGAAATTGGTAGCCAAAAACTGCCCCAAAATGTTGTTCCTGGGCAGATCAAAAGGGTGTCAAGATATCACTTATTCTCTTTAACGAATAAACACCTTGGACTGACTGAATCAAAGTCGAGCTTTCGACAAATGCTTGGGCTGAGCTGTACTGCTTTAAGAGGTCGCCTCAGTGGCGCATCTGGGCAGGTGTATGCAATGCTTGTAAGTAGAGGCTCTGAAGAAGAGGTCTCACAGCTTCCAAGTGAATTAGAACCTATCAGATCCTTTCCAGTCGTCTCTAGTGCTTGATTTGAGACAATCAGATCAATAAACATCTTGCAGATCCTTTCAAGAAACTGATCATCCTCCTCAGCATCATCGAATTCAAAACTTAACCTTTTAACAGGGTAATCACCTGAATCAAAACTTAGCTGCCTTCGCGGAGGAAGTTCTGGTGCCTTGATCACATTCTTCTTTGGTGCACAAGCTAACTCCTTTGGTCCTGGAGCAAAAGGATCAAAGATGCTTTCACGCGGTGTCTGACAGCCATACAAAGGATCTTCATCTGCAACATTTATTGAGCTAGATGATTCAATTGCTTCCTTCTCTAGTGTAATCACCTCAGCAACACCACTCTTGTTATTTTCATGATCACATACCATGCCAAGGGATCTTGTGTCCTTATTTTCGAAGGAAGATTGCACAGAAACTTCTTCATCCACACACTTTTCCAACTTTTTTACAACAGGGAAATCACAGTTTGAAACTAGCGAATTATCAGTAACATTCTTATCCACGCCTTGATCCATTTGGGAGTAATGTGGACTCAACCTCTCCTGTAACTTGCAAAATGAAAACCTACAATGAAATAAGGAATAGAAAATTTAAATACCACAAACTAACCAGGACATAACAGAAAATGATCACCGAAACAAACAAGGGACACCCAAGAAGAGTCCAAAAGGTTTCTAGGAGAAAATAAGGCAAAAAGGGTCATAGGAGAAACTAAAGCAAAATTAAGTGGTTATCGACAAAACACTAGCCCCAAATGTAACTGCAACTGCTATGAATGTAAAATGTGTTCTAAAAGACTATGCAAGGCGCCAAGGTAGTCGTCAGCCACTAATAAGCAGAACCCAGCTTCAACTCTTGTTAGAAGCCGAGTGAAATCACTGGCATCATCTGATCTAATATAACCGAAGCCGTTTTTGTCGATAACCGTTTTTTTGGCCACATTTCAAACTGTTCAACCATCACTCTGAGTCCAAGTATGTATACAACAATTATATATATTTCTTTACTTCTGCAAAAAGAAATCAATTAACCATCAACATCTATTTTATAAAGCACCGTCTAATTGTAAAATGGGAAAACTAAAAGGTAAAATGCTTTCTATGCATAGCTCCTTGGAAGACCTTCACCCACACTTTTTACCTACTATATATGTATCAAGGGTTTATATGCAGCTATGGCAGATACATAAAAGATTAAAAATATTCTCTATAGCCAGTGTTAAACTGAACACCATAGCGAAATACTCAAAGTTGCTATTAGTGGTACCAATCTAGAGTAATAGGCGCCCAAATGCCAAATATGTGTGGTCTCTACACCGAGACCTATTGTAGCCCTATTGGGTGTCTTGCCTGAGACAAATCTTGCGCGCGCCGCCGCTGAACAAAACCATAAACCTTGTCCGAGCGCTCTCTCGACGGCAGCGTGGTGCGGCTAAGAAGTTTGGATTTGATCCCTCACACTACAATCAAAGGAGACAAGTCTACAACAGATATCTAATGAAGCAAAATAGAGTTACTTACCAACAAAAGAAGAAATCAATCCAATCCAATCCAAGCCCGGGCGGATCTTCCAGTCCAACCCAATAGATGAGAAGGGGAGCAAACCGGATGCGTGTTCCTTGTTGGCGCACCTGGAAATCAGAATCACATGGCAAAAGAAGCAGATTTAGGGCTTTAAGAGGTGAGAAAAGCCGAAAAATCACAGGAAAAAGAGATAAAGCTCGCTAGAACCCTAACATGTGAAAAACCATAAAAAAATCCATACAAAGAAGAGGAGCTTTTTGGATCTGTGTGAGAGAAAGATTGAGAAGTAGAAATGGTTAAGAAAATGGGAAGAAAGAAAATACCTCGCAGCAGCTCTGGATTGGGGCGCGAGATTGGTTTGGGCGGCGCCGACCGGGATTGGGATGAGGCATCCCGCCGCCAAAACAATCCCCCCTATTAAAATAAAACAAAGTTTTCACAAAACACCCCATAGAATGTATTATTTGCTAATTCTATTCCTTTGTACAACATCCAGCGAGCTCAGCTGGACCACTGAGGAATATATGTGAAAAATAAAGAATCAGTGGGTTGAAGAGTAAAATGCACCAAAAGGAGGGAAAACTAATTTGGGCGGGCAACCTTGGCGCACGTGTAGCAATATAGCATATCCTTCCCGCGGAATAGGTGTGCCTATACATATCATCATTTAGGTGAAAAATGAGTTCTTTTTTAGGAAAAAAAATAATGGTTGTGATCACTCAGAAATCTATAGGTGCAAATAATCATAAACTGAGTGGGTTTGATGTGTATACTACGTTGAGGGCTTGAGGCCAGTTTGCAGGTTATCGAAGACCATAATGATTAAGAGACAGTTAATTTTCTATTTTTCTTGTTTACTGGAATTTATCTATTGCAAGCAAAATACCCAAGTTTCACGACGGGTGAAGATCACAATTATAACTTTACATACCTTGTTCCGCCATTTATCTCTTCGTATGAAACACGTCAATGAGGCCAAAGAATAAACATACGTTTGTTCTGTCATTTATCTCTTCATATGAAACACACAAGTGAGGTTAAAGAATAATCCTGTGAGATTTTGATACCTAATTCTACCAGTATAAAGAAGTTTATGTGAAATACATATAAACTCGAGGGCAGGCATAAAAATAATTGAATGAATAACTTTTCGTAATATTAACAAAATGAAAGGGTTAAAATGAAAGATTGACGATGAATCCGAGATATTTTATCATCTAATACACATAGATGGAATCCGTCCGGTGATGGTGGAGGCATTATCCAGCCTCTCTCATTGCAACTCGCGAGGGACGGTGGCGGTGCTCCCGTAGCCAACCAACCCCCTTGGGCACGATAGACGTCCTCCCTTAGCGCGTGGTAGCAGTGCTCACCTGGCCCTAGGCAGCGAGGGCAGCGGTGCTCCCCTGTCCTTAGTAGACGACAATGGTGACGCCAGCAGCCTCCATAGGCGGTGAGGACGGCAGTGCTCCCCGTCCTCCCTATTCGGCGATGGCAAGTGTATGAGGTGGCTTGCTAAGATACAAGTGTACTATACTTTCTTGTGTGTTATTGAGTTGTTCGAATTTTTGGTATTTTATTATGAAGTTCTCGTCTTCTACTATGGTGAAAAGCTCATATAACTGGATAGCGTTTGCAGCTTCATCTATTCTTGTTGCCGATTTTTGGTCATGTTCCTCCAATTTTGAAGGTTTTGGATTGGCAACCATGTGGACATGTTTGTTTTCCTCGAACTCTGAAGGTTTTAAGCTGGCCACGAACGAATTGGAAGCATTTGAGCCGGCCACGAATGGATTGGAAGCAGTAGCGGACATATTGCGCTTGCCGTGGGAACATTGCGGACTCTTCGCGATCCGGACGTACACGGGGAAGAAGGGAATCTGACAAAAATACATGCACGGGAACAAAAGCTAGACGACGGGCAAAAAAAATTCCTGGAAGCTTTAAGTATTTTTTATGCAGGTATAAATATCCTCATCAGGATTTTGATATATGTCATTTCCTTATTTCTGTTGTCAACATGTTTTTATTAGAATACACTTAAGCCAAATTACATGACGAATAGATGGAACTGTATCTATCATAGGCTATGCCTAGTGCTTCACCTAGGCGCCTTTTGCTCGCTCAAAACTATTGGTAGTGTAACTAGTTCAATTTCCACCTTATCTTCATCCACCTTTGCCAGTCCTCCTATGAAGTCCCCGTGAGTCTTCACACGTATCTACAAGTCTTCCTCCCCTCTCCTTAGCGTTCACCCATCTCCACCAGTCTTAGCCTATCTTGTTGGGTCTTTGTCTTTTTTCGTTGGTTTATGCCCATCTTGCTAGTGCAAAAACTTCCGAAAATGTATTGCACATAATTTCCTTAATAAATAGAGAATATTCGTGAGTAGTACGTAGTTATGGACTAGTTAAAACATAATAAGTTATTGCCTACAATATTATCACGAGTATACCATTCATTAGAAACTTCCAAATATTCCATTTGTCACAAACTTCCAAAATACACTCAAGCAAATATCCTTCAAAACAAATAAAAATATGCACATATCACCATTAGCTAGTTCAAATTGGTGAAGAAAAGTGTGACAAACGCTTTTTATCAGTTTTGTTTAGATAAATTGACACTAAAAATCGCTATCGACTACTAAACGAGAAAGTTATCAAATGAGATCCAAGAAATATGGGCAACATAGCACGAAGCGTTCACGGCATCTATGTTTCGAGGTCTTGATCCTTGCAGCCTTTGCTCTCGGCTCTGATCGGTAGATTTGGAATTGGGATGACTAGATGAGATAGGGTTAATGGAAATTTGGAAAGATTTAATTTCACCTCCTTTTCAATAATTACATAATCTTTTTAATAAAATAAATAGTTAAACGTATGTCTAAAAGTCAACAAATAAAACAAATGGCCAAACGTAAATAACCGTGCATAATACATAAATACTATTTCAATCGTAAACATAAACGAAGGGCAATGCACGTAGGTTTATCAGTCCATGAATGAATATTATATTAAAAAAATATATATAATGTCAGAAGTGGGATTTGAACCCACGCCCTCGTTAGAGGACCAGAACTTGAGTCTGGCGCCTTAGACCACTCGGCCATCCTGACCTCACAGTTTTTTTTCACCTGATGTTGTCTAAACCATTAATTGACAGACGAGAAGTAAAAGTTTCATTCCACAAATAAGTAACACTTCAATCGGTGTACAGAATTGCATACTGTAGAATATACTACTGTTTACACTCGAGTTGCAGCATTGTTGCAAACACATACCAAACAAATATAACAAGGGGAAAAGGGAAACATTTATATAACCTTCAAGAATCTCAAGTCAGAGCTCTCTAAAAATTAATGGAACACCTTTCCCAGGCTCGATGGTCAGTCTGAACGCAGGGCAATGCACATAGTTTGGAGAAAGCTTGAATTCAAACTTGGACAGCAGGAGTGACAGAACAACCTTGAGCTCAACCATGGCTAGATTCTGGCCGGCACATGTCCGGACCCCAACGCCGAAGGGCATGTACATATGAGGGGGTTTGCAGGCCCCTGCTATGCCGTTGGCGAACCTGTCCGGATCGAATTTGTCGGCACTAGGACCCCATACTGAAGGATCCCGGTGAGCCATCGCGATCGGGATCCAGATGTTAGTTCCTTTCGGTATGTCGATGCCGCCAAGTTTCATGTCATTCAGAGCTTCCCGGGCGACGAAGGAGGCTGGTGGGTACAATCGGAGTGTCTCCTGGATCACCATTGTCAGCTGCACAAGTATCAACAGCACACCATTGTTAGCTGTAATCTAATGAACGGATTGTTTTCATCTCTTCTGTTACTGGAAGAGGATGAGAGGACAAAACATACCTTTTTCAACTTCCGTAGAATGTCAAAATCTAGTGGTCTCCCTTGACAAATGTCAAGGGATTCCACCCGGGCACGGGACTGCCATTCATGGTGTGAAGCTAGAAGCATCAAACACCAAGCAGCCGTGGTCGAAGTTGTCTCATGCCCTGCGAAGTAGATGTTTTTGCAGTTGTCGACGATGAAATCCTCGGGCGTGCATGAAGCAAAGGGACCATCCTTAGAACCTTGAATAATGGAGTGCAGGAGATCCTTGTTTACTGAGGTCGATGAATCATGTTCATATTTCTTTGATATGTTTAAAATGAGGGTACGGATGCTACTATCCAGATTCCAGATCCCTCTATTGCTCCTTGTTGGTAAATACCTAGTCGGCCCAGCACAAAAATAAAGGAAAATCCTTAAATGATTAACCAATTACAATAAGATGATAAAACATGAGAAGCCACTTATTTTCATATAATTATTCTCATGCAATGGTATGGATTGGAAAATACATGTTATGATACTCTTGGATCTACTGTAGTATCTCACGGATTCTAGATAAAATATTATTTTTTAGGCCTTATATCCATTTAGAATGATATGTAGGAATTGCAGGTAGATCAGACCAAAATGGGACATGTAAGTTAGCCCAGACAAAATAGAAGCTGTATATTTCTCCAAAAGGTTATTCTGATACTGCTGCAAACCAAAACAGTAACACATTATCTGAATTATAGTGATTTCAGAAGTTGAATCTGGGCAGCTACTTGGGTATTGAAATCATTCAAACTAAGCATTATCTAAAAAAAGAGCTCAACAGAGGATTTTGAGCAGTTCAAAGACAGCATTCTTTTGAGTTTTAAATTGTCTCAAATTGAAATATGTGCCACAGTAGTACATGTGTAGTTTCTGAAATATACCTACTTCCAGGAACACCAATGAGCATACTTTGTTTTGCCATTGCTTTCTGAAGTTGTCGTATTTTTATGAAAATCTCCTTGCCTTCACTAAAGCTGCTTCCAAAACAAGCCCTTGATATGACATCAGCTGAAAAGGTTCTCAAGAACTCATCAACCACAATCTCTGCACTGCCTCCTCTGTCCTCAACTTCATTTTTCCATGAGTTCAACATTGACATTGCAGCCTCCATCATCAAATTCACCATTCCCTATGGATGTCATTTTAACAATAAATTGAGTTTTAGTATATGCTACATGTAGTGTACTAGAAAGTTGCTCCAAGAAAAATATTGTTTTTTGACAGAGAGATCCATGGCCCAATACAAGTGCCTGCAGATAATTACCTTAACCCTTTCCATGAATAGTTCAGGTGCAATCACTTTTCTCTGGTGTACCCATAGATCACCATTTGATGTCAGAATTCCCATACCAAGAAGAGCTCCACGCTCTTTTTGCAAGTAGCAAGGTTTTCCAAGATCCAAAGATTTGCAGTTGGCTAGCTCCTTCACCATGTTTGGATCAGTAACATTTAAAACTTGTATGCTTCCAGTGGAATACAGGTAGATGGAACCTAACACAACATCAATGTTTCAGGAACTTATCAGCTTTAATTTTAAATATGAAATGCACAAGGCATCCGTCGATGTTCTAAAAATAAATCTATTAGGACATGGTTACAGAACATACAACAAAAGAATTTACAGTAATTTAAATAGCTTATATGTAATGAGGGTAACAATGAGACTGGTCGACAAGATGAGACAGTATATGGTACACCATCAGAACGTATATGAAACCATGAGCTATCCATAAACAGGCCCCAATCAAAGAAATTATGTTTCGATGGTTGCAGAGCGAACTACCATCCAAAATACAAAGGTACCTAAAACTCTCTGAATTCAAGTTTGCATCACCCCAAAATAAAAACAATCCTGTTATGTGGGACAATAAAAAGAGAAATTTTAGAGAAAAAATAAGTCAATATCAAAACATTCCTCTTAACAAAATTCCAATGAATTACATTTAACATCGAATATAAAGATGAATTAATAAACTTTATTTTACTGAAACTATTATGCACTACAAGTTTCTTAACGTACCATAAACCCTGCTCCAGTGGAGGAAGTAAGGGAAAAGAGTTGCCACATAATTTGATGAAAACATGTCGGTACTCCCTGCTTCTTGTTCATGTGCTGACTTGGCCAATTGCTGGATTCTCCTCATCTCTGGTATGTTTCCAAAGAGAAAAGAAGGCTTGGGACCCCTCACTCCTTGGCTCCTCAGTTTCTGCCTCAACCGCTCTGGTCTTAGCCATAGAATGATATACACATAGGAGAACAGAAGGATACAGAGGATGATCGGAGGTAGAAGTGCTAGCCATTGCTGTGATGAGAATAGCTCCATTTTTGTGTGTACGTATCTGGGTGTGTGTGTGAGAGAAGAGGGAGACTACATGTTCATAGCATATCCATATACTGTATACTGCATATTTGCTGGGTGATCCATCTCCATGTGAAGCTTGGAGCTGAAAAGGACATAAAGCCGCAAAGAAGCGCCTCACTCACTCTGAGCAGTTAGCATGTAACGATCATACAACACTGCAAATTTACAACATAGAAAAGAAATCCAAGGTTAGTGGTAGGAAAACTTAATTTAACATGCATTTTTTTAAGGAAACCAGGGTCTGTTATGACCAAATTATTCACATGGCATAAAAAGGAACAATTTGGGGGTTTCATATATCTTCAACAGATTATGAGGTTGGGCAATAACCTTGTAGTAAAGAGCTTTCAACAAACAATAAATTAAGACTTTTCGGCATGATGTTGTATGATAGTTTAGCCCCATTAATTTGGCAAGAAATTGCACAAGATATAGACATATAGTAGCCTAGAGGCTGCTAGAATATAGAGAGATAACATCAATTGGTTGCTTGAATAAAAAACTACGGGCCTCTGCTAAGAGTAGAGGACTCAATTCATTCCCCACACAAGTTATTAAAGGAAGTGTTAGCCTGCACTAAGAAAATAAATGAGATGAGATGAGTGAGGGCACGCACCGTGGCATTTCGAGCTCAACAATTGGGCTCTGTGACTCTGCAGCTAGCAGCTCCATGCGAAGACCATGCTGATGAGTTGATTGATTACAAGTATCAGCGCGAGGGCGCGGAGGATGCAAAGAGGATGAGGAAACTGACTGATTAAGAAGAATCTGCGGTCCAGATAGATGCAGTCTCCAGAAACAGCCCTGTCTGTCTACTTGCTAAGTTTTGTCACTTTGTTAGACTCCCATCAATCAACGCTTGGACCCAAACGTCAGTGGCAAACCAGACAAATGCCTTTTTTTTTTTCATACAAAAGGGAGTGATGGCCTCTCTTACTTTTTCAACCCAAAAGAATGGATCGCAACAATGTTCTCCATCATAAAACCCTTTGATTGGGTTCAACGAGCTTAGAGTGCTTAACAACTTCATCTCAAAAAAGGAGCTTTATTATAACAAGCATTGCTGTCTGTGGCCAGCAATTATAACTGGAGCTGTCATGAATCGACTGGGTGGGTGTGAGTAACAGGGCTGCTAGCTCATGGCAGCTTTGTCACCATGAGTGGCAAGCCGAACCCGGGTTCAATGGTCAGCCTGAACGCCGGCGAGTGACGGTACCTCGGCGACGGCGAGAAGGCGAACTTTGTCAGCAGCCTGGCCAACACCACCTTCAGCTCCGCCATTGCCAGGTTCTGCCCGATGCACGTCCTGGGCCCGTGCCCGAACGGCACGTACATGTGCGCCGCCCTGCACGCCGCCGCCACGCCGTTCGCGAACCGGTCCGGCCGGAACTCGTCGGCGTCGGCGCCCCAGGCTTCCTTGTCCAGGTGCAGCATCAGCCTGGGCACCTGCACGATGGTGCCGCGAGGCACCTCGATGTTGCCAAGCTTCACGTCCGTCAGGGCCTCCTGCATCATCACCGACGCCGGCGGGTACAGCCGAAGCGTCTCCTGGATCACCATCGTCACCTGCATCATTTCGACATCGTTGTCATTCATCATCAGTAAACAGCCATTGTTAATTTCTACGATGAACAATGCGGTTTAAGATGTTAATTTCTCACAATCTTTAACCGGCGAAGGGCGTCCACGTCCAATGTCGACCTTCCCCGGCAAACCTCCATTGCCTCAGAGTGCGTGGCGAGTAGCATCAGGCACCAGATGGCGGTGACCGCCGTGCTCTCGTGACCTCCGAAGTAGATGGTCTTACAGTTTCCGACGATAAAGTCCTCAGCCTCTGCAGCGCTGCGACCATCCTGCGCACCATCAATGATGGCGTTGACAAGACTGTTGTGTGAGTCTTGGTAGTGGTGTTGTTCCTTTGCGACATCCAGGATCAGTAAGCGGACTTGTTCATCCAGCATCTGTATTTCTTGGTTGCTCTTGGTTGGCAGGTATTTCCTACAACAGCAATATAGCATGAACCATCTAAATTAGCATACCTGATCACTTATAGCTGTGATTGTGACATGTAAGTCTAGTTTATGCCATGCTTGAATTATAATACTTTAAGCATGTGCTGTTTGAAAACAGTTTACGGCGAGGTTTTCTACCTATTTGTCTCTACTGAATGACAGGACTTGTTACCTACTAATCTCAAATTAATAAGGAGTATACAAAAGACTATTTCTTGGTTAATATCATGATACACACGTGAAGGTTCTCATTTCATTGCAACTAATTTCATTGACTTACCACAGTGCAGACAGACCAACAAACGAATCTTGCTGAGCAATTACTTTTTGGAGCTGCCTAAGCTTGCAAAATATTTCTTCTCCTTTTGTGAAGCTACTCCCAAAGCAAGCCCTGGCAATTACATCTGCTGACAAGTTCCGCAAGTAATCATCGACAACTATTTCCCTACACCCTCCCACATCGTCAATCATATCCTCCCATGCTTCTAACACTGTAACAGTTGCATCCTCAATCAGCTGGATCATACCCTGCATGCATATATAAATAACAACTGCAATCACGCGTGATACGAGTTCTAGTTTTCAGTCCATGAAACCTACAAGCAATCACAATTTAATGGTACCTTAATCTTATCCATGAAGAACTCTGGTGCAATTATCTTCCTCTGATAGGCCCATTCATCACCATTCTCTGTAAATAAACCTCCTCCAAAGAGGGCCTTGCGAGATTTCTTTAGATAATTAGGCTTACCAAGCTCTGATGGTGTCCACCGGCCTATATCCTTCACCATATCTGGGTGAGAAACTTGTAGTATCTCCAGAGCTCCAGTTGAGTATAGAAACACTGGGCCTGGTCAAAATACACATGTAAATTAACTTCATTAAGAAGAACTCAACATGGACATTCCCTCAAATTTGACATGAATATAGGGAAAATGAGATGAAAAGCATAATCTATTCTAAGATTGAAATCATTTGTCAAACTTGCATTTTTCGGAGCAAAGGAAATGATAAATATGATTGTTATTGTATTAGAATTCTCACTACCAAAGTAGATCAGATCCTGCTTAATCTACAAGTAGTTGGGAAATTTTTAGTTATTCAACACAAAACTCGAGATAACATATAAAATGGGTGTATGAAAATTTTAATTGATGGTCAACTACTGAGTCCTTTATATGACTGTCAAGAGTTGAATGGCTATTATATTAAGCTGTAAAAGGGTCCCACAGTCTAAATAAACTATTCATCAATAATTATGATCCTGACAAACTTGTTTAATAATACTCAGTACTAGCATCTGAGCTTGTTTAGAGTCTGAAACAGAAACTTCGTAGGATGGTAAATAGCATCCAAAATGGACAAAATAAAATTACAAAACAAAGGATTAGATATATATTTAAAAATGTGTGATGGCACCATTTCGCTGAAAAGTGTCTGATCTGTTTATATAATTTGATATCCTACTAAAAGTTGAAAAACAGTAAAAAGAGGAGAGATTAAAAAAATTATGATTGCCCTCCAACTCCCTACTAAATGATCAATTCAGGCTTATAAACTAGATTTTAATAGCAAGGATACTTTGGGATCCTGCTTCTCCATGGTAATTCATTAATTCACTTCAACAGTTGTAGGTGACTAATTTTCTCCAAGACATGTCATTAATAAACTTCAGGATCCTATCATCAATCTGATCTACTCATGAGCCATGAACATATGAGTGCAAGAGCCAATCATGGACAAAGTCACAACACTAGCATATGCATACCATAAGTTTCCCGACAGAGGAGAAAGTGTGGGAAGAGGGTGGAGATGAAGTTGTTGGTGCCTTGCTTCTGTGAAAATTTGAGTTCTTGTCGGATTCTTTTGATCTCCTTTGTGTTGCCGTACAGAAAAGTAGGCTTGGGACCCCTTATGCCTTGCCTCCTCAACTTCTTCCTTATCTTCACAGCCCTCAGCCATAGGATGTTGCACAAGTAGAACAGAGCTAAGCTAAGAAGTATGACAAGAACAACAATGAGTGCAAGCAATTTCTCCATGAAGCATAGGGAACCAGAGAAGCAAAGTATTTCTGTCAAATCTTCAGTACATTAGGTCTTTCGTGCGCTAGCTTTATATATTTGTTTAACACCTCAAGCATGTGAATTCTTTTGTTTGACCTTTTCTTCAACAACTGATTGTTTTGTAGGTTGCTTTCACATCTTGGGATCAACTTACAATCAGTTAGACCTTCCAGTTCATGATGAGGTGAATTCAACAGACTAAATTACTGCAAGAAAATCATTTTGATCCCCTGTTTTACCTGATGACGATCTAAGAACCAGCCTTAAGTTCTGTGCTAGCATACTGCATTATGCACAACCTACTTTAGCTACCAGAAGCATTTCATGAGAGAAACAATATACCAAGAATTAACATATAGAAAAAAATTGAGAGGCACAAACCAATGAAGCCTAGACGTGAGCTTCAAACAAGAGACGAATTACCTCTCCACTGGACACTGGGTAGAATTCTGACAGAAGCACTGAACGCAAATGGAGTCTTCTCTTCCATGGTGATTTTTAAATGTGGCAACAACAGAAGGAAGCATAGGACATCCAATGACACATATATGTTAAACAAATAGCAAGTATCAATACACACTTTGCTTGACTGAGCAAAGTAGCAGAAGAAAGTAGGCATGTGAATTCTTTTACAACCGGTGGCATGTGAATTCTTTTACAACACTCCGACCGGTAACTGCAGCAACTACAACGTTTGAAAATTTTAAAATAAAACTATTCTAAAGAAACAATCACACACCACCATATAGTCATTTTGTTATCAGATGTACCAACGGAACATTCTAGAACATAGACCACCAACTCTTTTTGGTGTCCACATGTACTTCAGTGGCACTTGGGGATCTACAGTACAGTTGCCTTCTACCACTCCTAGCGGGATTTGTAAAGCATAAAACTAGAGCGAAACCGATGAGGCTTACAACTGGAGCAGCAGCAATAAAAAGCCATCCACTGCGCCTGCGTGCACTGTTTGGTTGCTCATCAACACGAACATTGTGTTCACTTGTATTAGTCTCTTCGATCACACCAGCAGCCATCTGACGAGTTACCTGGACCTCTTGTTCATCAGAAATTTCTTCCACAACCTGAATGTCTCTTACATTGGTTGTGGCTTGCTTGGACCTTTCATACTCTGCATCATCTGTAGGAAGCTCATATCGGCAGACAGGACATGTATTTCTAGAACTAAGCCATGGCAAGATGCACGATGAATGATAAAGATGCATGCATGGTAGCTGTTTTGCTCTAGCTCTGGTAGGAATTGGGTCTTTGCAGACTGGACAAATAACATCACCATTTGTCTGATGGCTTGCAGAGATAATCACGGAGGGGAGATTTTCAATAAAGGATGTCGCTGCTGGTGGAGCTCCTCTTCTGGAATCGTTGTCCTCAGCAAATTGCTCAAGGAGCATCTCAAACTGCCTTGCATCAACATAGTCATCTGGATTCCCGACAAAAGTTGTCCTCATTTCTGGCTCTTCCATGTCATCTAGCAAGTTGGTCACATTTGCTCTTTGACGTACACTCACACTCCAATTCCATACACCATCTTCAGATTCGTCCTCACTCAATCCACTTAGCTGAATATCATGTGATTGCTGCTGGTGCTGGGTCATGGTGTTGACTATTTCATCAAAACCAGACTCTTCCACATCTTCCTGGTCATCTGAATCCCACTGATCCAGTCTAGCATTCATGGGATCAATATCAGTATCTGTGTTCATGTAGCTGTCATTGTCAAGTTGAATGGAAATCCTCCTCCTTGTCATCACGCTATGTTCCTCTATGGAGGTATCTGAATCTCCACCATAGTCACCAAGACTGATGGCAGATTCAATTTCACCAAACACAGAATCAACATAATTAAGGCCATCGCTCTCATCATCTGAAGCATGCCATCTTTGAGATTGGCTTGGTGTTGAATTAAACGATGCATGTTGCGGCGCGACCGACGAAGAATCAATATCCGTTTCACGACCTTGTCTTCTTGCTAAGTCGATCAGCTGAGAAAACTCCTGCAAGAATGCGTCCTCCAGGAAATCAATGCTTGCAGTCCTGGATATCTGCCTCCTCCGTGTGTTCTGCCGATAAGTGCTGGTTATTTCATCTCTTTCATCATCATTGAGTACTGTCATCTTGCAGTCCCTGCATATGGCTAAAGCTTCAAAGGTATCGGTCACCTGAGCATCCAAAGTAAACGGCCTTGTGCAAACTAGGCACTGAACATCTGGTTGGCTGGCAACTGGATGACAGTCGCTCGCGTGTGTTCGATGGTCAGACATGGATATCCTGATGAACTGAACAGGGCACACTGAATTTGGTCAGCAGTTCGCTATTGGACAAAGTAGACCTGCGGAACAAAACATAAAAAAAGAAAGAAAGAATGTGATTAGCGCCAGTTCTGCAGTGAAGTAGTAGCAAAATGCTTATAGGATATATGCTCAACAAGACGAATACCATTACCAGCTAGAGATTGCGGAGAAGAAGTGATGAGAGATCGCAGCGCGAAACAACGGGACCCCCGCCTTGTCAATTAAGCGCTACTGCAGCAGAGCAGAGGAAGCATCCCCCTCATTTGAATTTGAATCAAGAGAAATTGAAGAGTTGAGGTATACTAGTCGGGGATGGCAGTAGATTTGATGGGGGAGGCCTAAACTAGGGCTGGTGGTGGTGGGCAGGAGGAACCAACTGCCATATGCAGAGACCGATTGACGACAATCTTGAGTGGAATCAATCAGTGGAGCAACACCAAATATGGATTTTGAGGGGGGTTTGAAGATGGGGATTATTGGAGGTTGAGGTAAGAGGAGGTAGGGAGACGAAGAAGACGACGAGAGGGAAGGGGAAAGGGAAAGCCGGCTGCCTCTGCCAAGTGTGGCCCACCAGTCAGTGCACACGGTGAATTTAGAGCCCTCGTAAGCCAAAGCTAAATCCAAAATTTAAATATTGCCGTTAAAGTTGCTAAAACACACACACACACACACACACACACACACACACACACACACACACACACACAGATATATATATATATATATATATATATATATATATATATATATATATATATATATAAATAAGTTTTACTTGGAGGAGATTCACGACCACACATCCGTCACAACGACCCTCGACGACAAAGCAACTATTGCCCCGCTAAGCTCCAACTCCCGCCATGGCACCTTGGTGTGGCGGATGGCGAGCCAGCGCCAGATCGGTGGTTCAATGAGTTCCCTCATCACCTGTCGTCGCCACGCTTCTATTAGTTCCTCTCTAATCATGAAAACGAGAGTGGCCACGACAAGGAAGATAGAGCGAAAGACGACCGCAACAAGGAGGATCGCTCCGACAATGGCCGTAGGAGCCACGGGATGGATGTCCGCGAAGGCGACCGTTGCGGCCGTGATAATGAGAGCTGCAGCGACCTGTTGAAGCAGTACAACAAAGACCATCCTTTTATGGGCTAGTGTCACGCCCAGAAATTTAGCCTAAATTTTCAGACTATTTTGTGTATTAAATCTCTGTCCAGGACCAGCCAGGGTACACAAAATGACAAGTAATAAACAGTTCCAAACGTAAATAAAGCGTAAAATACTTACAGGAGAGGCACTTAGTCCTCACACCGAAACAAAAGCAGCGGCAGCGGAAAAGACGATCCTAGCGGGGCTTCAGCTCCACTCCACAGGCAAAACTCAACTGGGGTCTGAGCCTTGGTCCTCTAACTTCGTCTTCAGCTCAGAAGCACTACACTTCTGAAAAGGGGGAATAATAGCAAGACTGAGTACAACCACCATACTCAGCAAGCCACACCAACGATGCAGACGTGCAATGGGACACAAGGACGGTTTGTGGCTATTTGCATAAAGGCTGTTGTAAAACATTTTATTGAGCAAAACAATAAAACTGTTGAGTAATTAAAGTAACATTAAATCTCCACTGATCAATGCTACACCACGTTGAACAGGCCCAACCAACCCACCTGAACTACAGTGCATTGAGTCGATTTATTAAGGTGGGACTAATCACGGTGAATAACCACGGGCACGGCTATTCGAATAGTTTTACTCTGATCAGAGGTGTACAACTGTACCCACAAGACACAGCCCCACGACACGTTTCCGTGCGCCGACATGCCACCACGACATACCGGAAAGAGGCCGTGACAGGACCCTTCGCATAACTCCCTCTAGCCAAGCACACCACACCTCAGGTTTCACCCCCACTCCTCGCAAGGCAGCGGGCAGTCCCCTCTCGTGCCTAGGTGAATCCGGAAGCTGCATAGGCCGTCGCAGGGCCCATCCAAACTCCATCACGCCCACCCTTGCCTGGATGCGTCAGCTAGAGGAAAGCTACACTACAAGCCCAGCCGTTGCCCACGCTGGCTTGTGGTAAGCACGATAAATTCTTCCAGGGTTTCCCGCGAACCGGTCCTTAATTGCCATGGGCACGACTAGCAAAACCATGCACCCACAGCCCACCATGAAGTCACATTTTAGTTGGATAATTACGACGATGAAGCATGGCCAGATGTCTCGAGCACGCAGCTCATTCTGATACTAAAAAGGTCTAATATTGTAATTATCCCATCAACTAAGCTAGTGGTAATTAAGAATGGCTAAGCATATAGCTCTAGCTAGGTCACATAAGTAACATGACCTAGTCGATTTATTACCCAAGGTTGACAAAGGACATATATCAAGTAAATATGGCACAAGCAAGCAGATAGGTAATACCCGGATCCCATGTAATTAGCAAAACATGCATATTTATTTGCAAACGGTAAAAACATTTATAAATTGGGATCAACATGCTAAAGGGGAATGCGTGACTTGCCTTGCGCGACCGCGGACTTCCGAAACGACGGATTCTACACGCTGGCACGCAAAATGAGGAAAAACTCTAATAAAAACCAAGAAAACAGTACATAAAAAGTAAACAAACATGTAGATCTCAATTTTAGATGAATTTTGCAAGTTAAATGGCTCAATTCGGAGTTCTAATGAATTAGATATGAATTTTAGAAGTTTTGAGCCATTTAAATGAATTTCTAGAATTATTAACGAATTATTGCGCAATTATTAAATATTTTTCCAAAGGAAATGATAAGCGCTGACGTCAACAAGGGGAAGGGCGCCGACAGGTGGGCCCCACATGGCAGTGACTCTGGGAGGGCGGTCCACGGCGGACCGGGTCCACAGACCGGGGAGGAGCGGCGCACCACGTGGTGCACACGTGGCGCCGACGCGGCGCACACGCAGCGACCACGCGGCGGCCACACGGCAGCCGAACCGATGGCCCCGATCTACCCGGTAGATCGGACGGCGGCGGGAGCTCGCGGCCGGCGTGCGCGGGCACGGCGCAAACCGGCCCGGCGGCCATGGCGCACGACGGCACGGCGCGCATGCGGCAGCGGCGCGAGACGGCGGCCGGCGACGGAGAGCGGCGGCGTCGCGGCGAAGCGGCGGCTACGCGGCTAAGCAGCGGCGCGACGGCTAAACGGTGCGGGAGAGAGAGAGGAAGAGGAGGAGAGGCATCACCGACGACGATCGATGACGGCGAGCGACGGAGGACGATGGCGACGGCGGGACGAGCTCCGGAACCTCCTAACGAACAAAAGGAGAGGGGTTAGAGGGAGAGAGGAGAGTGCGAGAGGGCGAGGGCGCCGGCCGAAGGCGACGGCCATGGCGTCACTCACCGGCGCACGACGGGGATGGGGCTCCGGCGGCGAACCTCGACGGAGGAGGGGTGGACGAGGTGGACCTCGACCACACGAACCCAACGGCGGTAGCGGTGCGGTGCTGCGACGAACCTAGCAGCGGTTAGAGGCGGCCGGAGTAGTGGGAGCAGCAGTTAGAGGCGGCCGCGTGCACGGTGCGGGAGCGATGGAGAGCTCGGGAGAGGCCGGCGGAAAAAGGAAAAGAGGGGAGGAGGATGCGGGGATGGATTTTATAGGGGCGGGGAGGTCGGGAACGGCCGGGAGTGGCCCGATTTCGCCGGCCAACGTGGGGAGGTGGAGGTGGAGAGAGAGGCGGGATTCGAATTTCGAATCCCGGCCGTCTCGGGCACAGGTGCGGGCGAGCGGGAGGGAGAGTGGGTGCGGGAGGTGCGGCGCATGCGCGGGCGTGGCCGACGTGGCCCGGAGGAGGCGGGAGCATGGGCGCGGCGGCAGAGTGGGGCGGTTTCGGTGGCCATGGCGGCTGGCCGAAGGAGGAAGAGGAAGATCACAGGTGGGGTCCACGGGTCCCACTTGTCGGGAAGAGAGGGAGAGAGAGACGGGAGAGGGAGGCAAAATAGACTTGCGAAGGGGGAGCGAGCTGGGCCGACGGCCCGAGAGGGGGAAGGAGGGGAAGGGGAGAGGGGCAAGCGGGCCGAGAAGGGGAAAGGAGGGATTGGGCCGAAAGGGGCCCAAAGAGAGGAAGGATGATTTTAATTTGTTTTCTTTTTATTTAATTGATTCAATGAACTTAGTGCTATTAAAATTACTTCTTGAGCTCCGAAAATTCGCGGAAAAATCCGGAGAGTATTTTAGGTAACAAAGAATATTACAAAATATTCTTGGCCAATGATTTTTAAAGGAAAATTTTAATTCTCCCATTATTTCACTTGATTAAATTGCTTTAACTTTTATTTAATTTCTAAAAAATGCATTATTAAATGATTTTTAATCCCGAACGAAAATCGGGGCGTTACAGCTAGCAGGGCCGAGGCTAGTGGCGACAGGTCTAGCTGCTGGGACGTTGCCGCCGCCGTCACTACCTGTAGTGAGATTAAGTTGGTCGGTGGCATCATAGGTGACGTCGGCGTCTCTGTGCGACATCCTTCTATGGGGGCTAGCCATGGGCCATCCTATGGAGAACAGCAATTTGAGACTGGTATCTACCCTACAACGGAAGTGTTAGAATTCATATATAGGCTAAGGTCTATTTGGAGATTAATTCTTTGAAAAATCACAAAATCCCACCTCATGGGGATATATGCATGAGGATATTTAGTATAACCTTACCTATTATATGAGATGGTGACCTCCTTCAAAGGGAGAGTGCTCTCCTAGCCACTTAGGTTGAGGCATGTGTGGTGGAGAGGACAAGAGAAACACACACATGCTCGCTCGCCTGGCTAGGCCAGGTGGCGCGTGTACGCGACGTGAGCGTGAATGGTCCGCCATAATTAGTTTCTCATCCTTGCGTGGATGTATCTTTTTTTTACTGTTTTGTTTTGCTGCGAAATTTAGTGTTTGTTTTTGGAAACATAGTCTTTTGAAAACACTCTGAATAATCCGGTGCATGGAGCTAGGCAGCTAGCGGCGTGGAGTCCGGATATGTTACTTGCGACTTATCCGGTTCGGTTATATGTTATGGAGATCATGCAGGTATCCTGATTACGTGTCTTGTTATCTTTATATAAATCGAGTCGCCATCTCCTCGCAACACATAGGCAAAAACAAAATCTAGGGTTTTTGCCGCCTCCTCTGTAGTACGTTGTCGCTTGTAGTCTGCTCCGTCCTACGAGCCGAGGGTTATGGTGAATATGCGAAACATGGATGGGGATAGGCATATCTATTTTGCATTAAATCCAATTAATTCATATTATTTGCAGTTTTCACACATATGTGCGCCATTAAGTAGGATAGCAACGATCATAGCACTTGCTGCCATTTTGGTAGCAGTCTAGGTTCATTGTGAACGAGAAATAAACCGGGAGGATCGACATATCCTGTGACTTATCTTGTCTACTTGAGAATTCTCGGGTCGTAAATGGCAAATAGAAAGAAGAGATGGAATCCAAAACATAAAAGAGAGAAAGTAAAGTGTTCATTGGAACCGCGTGCTCGCTAAGAGCAAGTATAATAGTAGACTATAAGCCGGCTAAATGCTGAGATGGATGAGAGAATAGAGGAGAGAGAGGAGAAGCGAGCTGTAAACTTACAGTCGGCTTGGACACAAGAACCAAGAAACTCTGTGAGAGAAAAAAGTGGGCTCTATATTAATTGTAAAGAGCTAACTATTATATGAGTAGGATAAGAGAAGGCTAAAAAAACCTTAGGGCATCCACAATATACTACAAAAGTAGTCCATAGGGAATAAACTATTCCATTCAGCCATCTAGTAACATTGTGCAACTAGTCCATATAAAGGAAATAGCAAAAGGTATCCATATGCATATGGACTACCCATATGACATAAATAATATTATATATCTCTACTTCTCTCTCTTCTCCTAATATTACATTGTATCCATATACATTGTAAGGATTGCTATAGTTAAAGTTTATTTATATGGGTCCCATCTATATAGACCACTTTTGTCATATACATTGGTGATGCCCTAACTAGCAGGTCGGTTGTATTATTAGCCTTGCTCTAAAGACAGCAACCCTGAGAAATGGGGATAGTGTATCTTTTTGGCATTAAATATAATCAATTTGTATTAATTATAATTAATTTGCCTTATTTGTACATTTGTACGTACGCCATTAATATGCGCTTTTTGCCATCCTTGCAGGCAGCAGTCAGGTTCATTGTCTAGCATATATGCACATCAATCAAATTAAATATCGACATTAAAAAGTCTATAAAAAGGCTAGGTGATGCACAATCACATTCGCACGCCCTAGAGTTAGATAGACATTTTGAGATCGATTTTGCTCGCAAAACAGGAGAAAGAGAGGCATATGGTGCTCAAATCCCGGGCACCTAGGGGTTTGATTTTGCTGGTGTTGATGATCACACTGCAAGCAGAGTCGGAAGCAAGTCCCAGCTGTGACGATCTAATCGGCACGGCCCTATTAAACACAATTAGCGATCGCTGTTTATATGCTTTCAATCCAACAAATCCTAGTTGAGATCCTGCTGTCATTGCCGCGTGCTGCGGAGCGACACGCAAAGGCCTTGAGCTGTCCAAGGGAAACAGATGCCTTTGTAGCTTCGTCAGTCAATCTCCTGCTCAGGGTAAACCTACTATCGGCGAATCGTGCCAGCTTGTCGACATGGCCAAACAGATCTGCGGAAGCTAATTATTAAGACACAGATGATATACTTAATCATTGACGCGTGATGGCCAAACACCAGAAGCTAGAGGTAGTGTTTGGTTGAGGGGATGGGATGGGATGGGATGGGATGGAACGAATCTACTTTTATGGGTGTTTGGTTGAGGAGTGAGTGGGATGGGTTGGTCCCTGGAGAGGAATATTCCTCTCAAATCCGGGACCAACCGATCCGGGAAAATGTGGCGGACGAACTCGTCCCACCTGGGACAAGCGAACGGCGTGACGACGCCTTCCTACCGTGCTCGCGCTGCTCGCCCTCGGGAGCAGCGGCAGACGGCTCGTGCGACAGCGGCAGGCTCGGCGACGGCGACCACGCAGGGCTCGGCAACGACGACCGCGGCGGTGGGGGGGTTTGGCGACGGCGGATCCAGTGGTGGGGAGGGCGGTGGCGGTGGATCCGGCGATGGGGAGGACTGCGGCGGCGGATTCAGCGATGGGGAGGAGCGGCGGCGGATTCAGCGACGGGGAGGAGCGGCGGCGGCATGCGAGGAGGAGGTCGAGGGGCGGCGGCGGATTCAGCGATGGGGACTGTGGCGGCTTGCGAGGAGGAGCTCGCGGGGGAGGAGCGACGGCGGTGTGCGAGGAGGAGGTCTAGGGGCGGCAGCAGATCTGGCGATGGTGCGGCGGCGGATTCGGCGATGGGGAGGTGCTGCAGCGGCTTGTGATGAGGAGCTCACGGGGGAGGAGCGGCGGCGGCGTGCGAGGAGGAAGTCGAGGGGCGGCGGCGGATCCAGCGATGGAAGGAGCGGCGGCGGCTTTTCCTCTTGCTCTTGCTCGCCGCCGGCTTTTCCTCTTGCTCTTGCTCGCCGCCGGCTCATCCTCTTGCTCTTCCTCTGGCGATGGGGAGGACTGTGGTGGCAGATCCGGCGATCGGTTGACGGTGATTGCAAACGGCATCCATCCCTTCCCTCTCTCATCCCTTCAACCAAACAAAAAATTAGGATTGTCCCATCTTATAAACCAAACATGTGAGTGGAATCATCCCAACCCAAAAATCAGGGATGGTTCCATCACATCCCACTTAGTCCCGAAACCAAACACTACCTAGAATTACCTATATACTACCTCCGTTTCAAAATATTTAACACCGTTGACTTTTTAGCACATGTTTAACCGTTCGTCTCATTAAAAAAATTGTGAAATATGTAAAACTATATGTGTATATAAAAGTATAATTAACAATGAATAAAATGATATGAAAAGAATAAATAATTACTTAAATTTTTTAAATAAGACAAATGGTCAAACATATATTAAAAAGTCAACGATGTCAAACATTTTGAAACGGAGGGAGTATGTAATTTCATTTCTTTCGGCTGTTGATTGGTCATATTAATAACATTGGTTTCTTCACGTGGCTCCCCACAAACTGTGCTCCATGACTAATTTATTTTCTTTCATGTTCCAATGTTTCCTGCTCGTTCTAATTTACGGAAGAAAGGCATACTTCTTAACTAAGCTCCCCCCCCCCCCCCCCTAAAAAAAAAACAAGGGGTGTTTCATGTAGCTGGCCTTACTTTTTTTTTTTTTTGCTGTTTTGAAAACCATGGCTGGAGTAGTCGTGGGGGTTGGTGGATTGCACTTTAAGTTTGGAAGCATGGTTTTGTGCTAAAAAGCAAGTTGATTTGATTAGATTATTGTGATCTACTAATCTTGTATACTTCCGTCCCACTAAATAAGGTGCGGTCAAACTTGATACCTTCTCCAAAGCTAAATTTTTACTTTAAATTTCCCATGTACTAAAATCATAACCATATAAAAGTAAATTCAAATGTTAACTTAATGATATTATTTTTAGCAAATAAAATTTAACGGCTTACAGAGAACTAGTACAGAACGCATCTAAACATGTATTGGTTATCTAGTACTAGATGCTTATCTACAGGTACTGGTTTCATATCATACAGCTGCTTGCAACACTTGCTCTTGCTCGTTGTTGGGTCTCCCAAAAGCTCTTCTCAGAAACCTTTCGACAACAGAGACAAATTCTTCGGGTCGTTCCTCCTGTGGCAAGTGCCCAGAGTTCTTGATCACCTCAAATCCTGCACCAGGAATCGCACGTGCTACGCGCTCGGTATTCCAACGAGGAACAAGGCGATCAGTGTCTCCACTCACCACTAGCACTGCAATGGTAAACACACACAAACCATCCAGAAAGTAACATCATTTATCAGCCACATGCAAGATAATTCCAACCATTTGTCCAAAATAATGATAGTTCACTGGTAAACCTGAATGCAAATTCAAACATGGATAACAAATAGTTTTTTTTTTTGCTTATTTGTATATCATTGAAGGATCCCAAAAGTAGAGTGTATATGAAAACCTGGGCACGAGATCTCAGAAAGCCTTTCTGAGACAGGCACTTTCGATGATGATATAGAATCCATGATCATGGATATAGTGTACTCCAAAAGAGCCATCTCCCAACCTCTGGATCTTAATGGCTGAAGAAAAGACATAGTTTTCAGTCTTTGCATAAGGATCCGATAGTTGCAGAATTTTCAGAGACATATAAGTCACCTTAGTGTAACCTTGAATGACATGATCCGTCACTTTGCTTGGGTCATACCATGCATTGCGGACAGCCAATATACCAAACTTATCCATGATCAATCTTACCTATGTCACCAAAGTCCAATCAAGAAAAGAATTCAACCTGACTATTTTCAATTCATAAAGAAATGTTTGTGAACTGGAAAAGTCTGCTATTCAGTTAGTCAGTGAGAGTTGATAATTCAAGTTTAGCTAATTTTTACTTACTTTTGTTGACACATTTACTAAAGTATCCATTGAAGAGGCTATCAGCTAAAACACTAGAGATTAAAAAAAACTTACCAGCATCACGCCAACTGATGATCGAAGAACAGCAACAACAGATTTATAATACAAAGATCGAACAACACCACCTATTGCCCTAATCATATTCATAAGAAACCCTGCAATCCACAAGCATAGCTCGAGGAATTTTCCCCAAATCCTATTGAGTGGATTTGTAGGCAAATTTGAATCATTGGAATCCTTCTTATTCTGCCATTCTTGTTCACCTACACCATTCTCCTTCACACCTTTCCTCCTGAAAACTGGCACAAAAATGGCTGGTGCAACCAGCACAAGTGCAGCTACCCTTTCTGGTGCCTCAAAGTATGCCTCCACTGCCACAAGGCAACCAGCTGAGTGCCTGAATCCAAACCATCACACACATGTAATTCATCAAGTAATGCACACAGATTAAAGTATAGAACAACACATGTTGTGTTACATCCGTACCCGACAAGGACGGCCTTCTTGGCACCGAGTTGGTCAATGAATGCCAAAGTTGCCATGACTGAGAAGGCCATGGAGTAGGGGTTGATAGGCTTGGTGTCATCACCAGACCAGATGGTTCGGGATGTCAGACCAAAGGCAGGCCGATCAAAGGCTAGAACCTTGGCACCAGCAATGCGGGCTAGAGGGCGCATGATGTGGGTCCAAGAGAAGACCGACGAGCCAAACCCATGTAATAGCACTATGGGCAAACCAATTTGGTTTTGGTCCGCGTTTGTGATGGCAGAGTCTGGAGATTGGTCACTGGAATCCTCATGGGTGCAAACCTTGTGGTGGACCCTTACGCCATTGATCTCGTAGAAGCTGCTGTCTGGGTCGGCGAGGGCGTCGGGGTCAAGGAGATCGTCCTGGTCAATGCCAGCCACACTCCGGCGGCGGCGGCGTCGTGGTGGCATCTGGGCACTGTCTGGAACTGAACCTGCATTAGTTGTAGGGTTTAGTAGTGCCAAAGCTGTTCTGCTAGTTTTGGGGACATTTTAGCTGTTGGTGCTAGTTCTGCTACCCAGATGAAAAGAAGGGCGCAATAATAAGCCATTTTAAATGGGGGAAAACATGCATTCTACTTGCAAAGAGCACATCAACTTCAAAACCTCCCATTTTAAGAACCTCCTATCCAAATGCTGCAAGTCTTCCACAATGGAGAAGATGGTTACCTGGGAACTCGGCAGAGGCGAAGGCTGGGGGAGGACCATTGGGACGGCGAGGGCGGAGGCTGTGGGAGAAGGCGGTGGAATGTAGAGGGTGTGGAGTCGAGGGTGGGTATTGGAGGGAGCGTGGGAGATGCATCGGCATTGACCTGATCAACTGCAAGGCAGGAAACTCACATTTTCTGGACTGAACAATTGTGTGGGGTCCCAACGGAAGAAGCAAACTGAAAAATCAATCTGCATCCACACACTGCAAATTTGAATCGTTATCAAACAAAACCATGCCCAGCTTATACTCCATGAAAGTAACTAGATTAACGAAGAGAAGGAGGAAAAGATGACCAAAGCAGAAACGAACTACTCAAAAACATGTCAAGTACTAAATGAATGAGTGGCTGTGTAAATCCTGCTAGTAGCGTAGAATGGGAAATGGAAATAATTTTAGTACTTTGCAGAGGAAGCGTATAACTAGAAAGCATTATGTATTTCTCTATCTTTAGCAAAACATGTTTAAAATAAGTTATTCAGTCATTCTATGTAGAAACATGGATTTGATCTAATGAACTGCAAAGACAAGAAAACTACAAGTGTAACCAAATCACTACAGATTAACAGTATGGTTCCTTTTATTAAAAAAAAAATCCTTCAGAAAAACAGTCTGCTTCCTAAATTGTACGCTGTTGTAATCGTTGGGCAACAAAATATCCAGTCTTAATCTCCCTTGAAAATATCCAATATTGAAGCAAGTAAAACATCTGTGAGTAAGTGAGTTAATAGCATGTGAACAATGCAAGAGCACAGAGGGAAAAAAAAGATGATATCAAAGTAGAAAAGTTTGGTTCTAGTAAACCTAAGAGAGCTTGTATAAGATGTGAGACAACCATTATCTCTCGTGCACATACAACAGTTTTGCCATATATACCATCAAATGAAACAAATGCCAACTACACTCATAGCTTTGAAAAATTATGTCTTAACAGTACCAGACCATCACTGGCCGGTCCCCTCTAATGAGAAATGAATGGAAATGGTAGCCAGAGTGTTTGGAGTTTGACCATCTGAGCAAATTCCACACGGTAGTATTTTTACTATAGCGATTGGACCTGCTACCGTAAAGGCGTAAACACATAGGAGTACATAGTTACGAACACCAGCTATCAGTTGGGAATGAGTTGAATCGAGTGCAGAGGAGATTAGTGGCAGGAGTACCTTGCAGTGGGGTTGCATCCACCGGAAGAGCAACGGCTGCGAGGCCATGGTGGGTTGCTTTGCGCCTAGGCTAGCCGATGGAAGTCAGAGCAAAACCACAGTATTGCAGAGGGAGGGATAGCACGGGGAACCTCCTGTCGGAGCTGGCTACCGTCGAGGACGACGGCGGCGGCGGCGGATTGGGATTTGGGAGCAAATCAACAATGTGGCAGCAGAACTGCAGAAGCAAACGCCAAACACAATCACAGCAAGGAGACTGCGTGGACTGGTGGGTGGGCACGTTGCAGATAAGGAGACAAGACATCCACCGAGTGGGCCGTATTTTCACAAAAGCCCATCCAAGGCCTGGAAAACAATGCATGCTAGTTATGGGCCAGATCTGTCGGCCCGGTCCACGTTATTGGGTTGGAAAAAGTACATCGAAGAAGGTCCCTCAACTTGTCATCGAGGGTTGGTTTGCCTAAAAATGCCTGATAAATTTTGGTAAGTTTTGGCATGCCTAATTTTGGTGAGGTAAAGTTGTGTTTGGATTGAAGCCAAAATAGCCTAAGTTCAATATTGAAATGGCCTATTTTCTTAGGCATGCCAAAATTTGGCTTCAAACCGCGGGAGGCGGAGATGGAGGCTGGCTTAGCGCGAGAGGCGCGGCCGGCGGGAATTCACACAAAAGGGAAGGACTTATTCTCAACGCTTGGTTTCATTTCTGAATAAAGAGGAGGCTCGGGAGAGTAACTCGTGTCATTCAGCTGGATTCCTGGTCGGCTTTGTCCAAAATTCAAAGAGAGATGTCAAGCAAGCGCCGAATCTGAGTACTCAACTTGCCCGTAGCAGCCCCCTCCGCTAAAATTTGTCCTTTTTTAATGGATTTAGCGGTGGTGGAAGTGACCTTGGTGTGAGGAGGAACTGTCGATGGGTGTGGCGCAGTCTTCGGCGCACGAAGGCTAGCCGGCGAGGGACGCTGGTGTAGGAGTCTCACTTGTCGGCAGAGCTAGAGTGGTGGTGGAGCATCGGTGCGTTAGCCATGGATTCACAGGTCGTGAGCGGCGGGTGAAAACCTAGCCCGGCCTTGGCCGGGCCGACAACGATGGTTCATTCCCCCTTCTGAGGGTGTTGTCGTGCTGTCTGACTCCTCAAGGGCGGTTGCCGGGCAAAAGCCCAGTCTTGGCTCCTTTGAGCCCCGACGGACGGCGGAGGCGGTTTTTTCCGTCGCTTCTCTTCTTGAAGACGTCGTTTTGGCATCCCCTAGGGGGCGATCTCGTCTGTGTTCCTTTGTTGGTCTAGTGGCGGTCGGTCACGCTTAGTGGCGGTCGGTCACGCTTAGCAGCGGGCGGTCCGGTGCTAGCCTTATCCCGGGTTGTGTGTTGACGTTGTCGGTGTGTGGGTGGTGGTATATTTTTCCTTTTTCCTGGTTACGACCCTACAGGGTTGTAAACCGGCCAAATGCAGCCGTCTGCCACGCCCTCGGCTAGCCGTCCGAGGCCGCCATGCCTCCGGTACCACCGCGGTCACTGCCACCGCAACCACTACTGCCGAACGCACCACCGTGCCTCCTCCCACCGTGCCACAGCAGCCGCTGCTGCCGTCGTCCAGCCGCTGACACCACCGCTGCGACGAGCTCCGAGGCCTCTGCCTCCGCACCGTCAGCCACCGCCGCTGCCACCACGGGTGTTGCCGTTGCTGCCTCCCATAGCCGCGGCTGCCACCGGCACCGCCGCCGTCGTTCATTACTAGCCGCCCGGCCGGTCACCGCCGTCCGCAAGCCTCGCGCCGCCGTGGCCGCCGTGCTGCCACCGTCGCTCGCCCCGCTGCCGCCAGGCCCGTCGGCGCGAGCTAGTGGTATCCAAATCGTCCCTAACCACAAAACCAGATATATATCATCCCTCAACTTACAAAACCGTTCACTTTAGGTCCTCCGGTGGTTTTGACTCCGGTTTTATCCGACGTGATGGCTGAGTCGGCATGGAACCCACGTGGGCCCCATTTGTCAGCCTCGGCTTCCTCTCCCCTCTCCTCTTCCTCTCTTCCACGGGCGGTGCCGCTGTGGCGGCAAAGAGCAGCTGGGCACAACAGGCCGATGTGGCGGGCGCGCGCGGCGGGGAGCGCGAGCAGCGCGGGGCGTGGCAGCGGGGATGTGGGCAACGGGTGGAGCTCCGTGAGGAGATTCTTCGCCGCGGCGACGGAGCGGTGGTGGGCGACCTCATCGGCGCCATGACGCGCTCTACGCGCCATACCACCTCACCGGCCATTCCCCGCCGCCCGCATCCGGCGCGCGAGGTAGGGCTTCCTGCCTCCGGGCCGGCCGCCGCGAGGAGCCCTACCCCAGCTCTCCAAGCTCGCCGCCACTTCAGATGTAGAGATCTGCAGGCGCTTCATTCTGCAGTATGATATCCTCTCTCGGCGCAAAGTACTCGGCATTCATCTCTGAAACCTTCACTCAAATTACACCACAGAAGATATCAACTACTCCTCACGAACATCCAACAAGAATTGGAAAGAAATAAAAATCACATGATCACATTGAGATCATGTGATTAAAACCAAGAACACACGCCAAGAAACCATCATGTGATGTGACTTGTGAGTACTAGAGTATACTGAACCAAGATAGAACACCAAAGAATTGCTGTTGATCAAGAAACAGCAAGGGATCGATCAAAGAAAGTGACTACTAACGAATTTCCTGGTGCGGCTGGTGCCATGGACGACAGGGTTGGTCATGTTGCCGATGATGTAGGCGGTGAGGCTGAGGTTGAAGAGCATGTAGGCGGTGGTGTAGACCATCTCTCCGGTGTTCTCGGCGTGCATGTCGCCGTAGCCGACGGTGGAGAGGGTGGTGATGAACCAGTACATGGAGGCGACGTAGAACTGCCGACATCGACTTGGCCACCTCCTGCGGGCGACGAGGCGGCCCAAAGTGGCGATGAAGAGGATCTACCTGCGCGCTCGCCGCTGGCTTCCTTGTCTCCTCCCTCTCCATGCACTCTCGCCGCCGGTCGCCGCCCTTCCCACTCCCTCCACTCTTCCCCTTCCCTGCCTCCACCTCCCCCCACCTTGCCGGCGGCGACGACGACCGCATCGACGCGAGCACCTCTTTCCACATCGCCCGTCGCCGGGCGCCTCTCTCGCCTCGCCCTGCCGACCTCCTCCCCACCCGGCCACCCGCCGGCCGGGGGCCAGCCCACACAGAGAGGAGATGATGAGAGAGAGAGGAAGGGAGATAAAGAGGGGAAAGTGAGAGGAAGGGAAATGACGCTGTTAGCCTGACATGTGGGGCCCACGCTAACTCAGCTGCCACGCTAGATAAAACCGATGTCAAAAACACGGAAGGATCAAAAGTAAGCGGTTATATCTGGTTTTGTGGTTGGAGGATGATTTTGTAACTCGATGACAAGTTGAGGGACTTCAGTGTACTTTTTGCTATTGGGTTCGGTACGTGGAGTGGAGCCCCACCTCCCGCTCCAGATTACTGTCATCGCTGTTGCCAGCTTTTAAAGCAAACCAGCAGAAGGGAGGAGGGCATTTCTTCTCTCTTGTTTTTCCCTTTCCCCTTTTTATGTTTATGCATCTGCACCCACTACTTCCTCGCATATTGCATTACCAACATTGTGGATATTTCATATTTGATTATTACTATGTATTACTCCTCCGTTCTAAAAAAATATTATTTTTTAGCTTTTAGAATTTATTCCAAAATATAACAATTTATGTACCAATATTCTTTTCTTAACCGATCATAACCATTTACTATTAAATTTTTTTAACTACCTATACTTCTTATCCAATCACAATATTTTTAGAACTCATGATATTTATTTATGTAATAAAAGGTTTTAAAACAGAATCTATAGTTACATCTCCCTTAGGAGTAAGAAGAAGTCCTTTTTAACATGATAATCAGACCTTTCACATATATTGGAAATATCAGAAGAGTCAAAAGCCATTTGATTTTGGCTTGGAAATTGTCGATTTTGCCAAACTATCCGCCAGCTGGTTCATTTCTCTGGAGATCCACTGAATTTGAATGTCTCTTCCCCACAAAATGTAACTGTACCTAATTTGGTAAATAATTTAATTTATCCAGAGGCGAGGGTTTCATATGCAAAAGCATCGATGCAGTTTGCAGGGAGGAAGGTGGCGAGGCATCAGGGAGATTCAGAGTTGGTTGGTTGCTCTCCTACTCCGGGTCCGGGCCACGACCCGCCGCCGCGCCGCCACCATGGCCTACCGCCGGAAGCAGGGCCCCATCGCCGCCGATGATCGCCGGAGCTCCTACCCCCAGCCGCCGCAGGCATGCGCCCCTCTCCCCCCTCCTTGTCTCTCACTCTTCAGCTTGCTTCTAGTACTGTAGTAGTATATCCCAGTTTTCAATCCCTGTTGATCGGATCAAATTAGATTTTTTTTTTGTCGCTGCCTTGATTGATCGTGCATCTTAATTTATTTGAGGACAAGCTTGTTTAGCAAAAGGACACTGATTCCCCTTAACCAGTACAGTAATCCTCCTATGTTTAACTGCAGATTACTACTATTTTACTCTGGGAAAAAAAATAACCGCAAGATTACTTGTTTTGTTGTGAGATAATTAGAATCAATTTCTTAGGCCTATCGATCAGATCATCACAGTTCCTTAAGAAACCACCATGTGCTGATTCGACCACCTTCGGCTCCTCGCTGGTTCGTTGATCATTTTGTTCCTTAATGTACAAACTCCTTAAATCATCCCATTTGTTTATCACCTACAGATAAACAAAACATTTTGTTCCAAAAGGATAAAAGAAATCACTAACTGATGTTGGTCTCTAATGATCACTTTGCACCGTCCTTTCAGATGTCTGTGTGTGTCTCACAAGTCACAAATGATGTATCCTAAGCATGTCAATTTCTCTGAATAGGGCTCTTCTTCATCGTACAGTTACACATCAATCAAAAGTATGAACGAGCCCAAGCTTGGGCTATGGGAAACTTTGGCAAGAAAAGCCAAGGGAATTCTTGATGAGGATGGCACAGCACATAAGTCTGACGAGTACACAAAACAAAAGACCCCTCGCAAGTTTGATTCATCCACTGGAGCTCAGGTGAGGTGGCAAGTATTAGAAAAACAAAGCAGAATAAGTAGGATATCTTGATGTTCCAAGTTGTATTTATGTTCACATTGTTCTCAAAATTTGTGATATTTATTAGGAATCTCGATCTCGCTGGTCATTTGAAAACCACAGCAGGACAGGAGATACTGGATCCCGGACAAGGTCGGAAGCTCTTGCTGCTTCTGTCAACCAACTTGGTGGAAGAATCAGAGATGCGTTGGAAGTAATGTCCTATTTTTAGCTTAATTCAGCTCTTTATATTTAGTATAACTAATGGCACAACCCATCTGATTGATTTCTCAACTCTACATCTCTCTTTGCTGTTGTTCTGGATTTTCTGGGATTTCCATTTTCTCTCGTTTAGTATCACATTGGTTTCAATAACCTCTTCTTCTCTTCTTTCTTTAACAGGAAGGACTCACAATTGTGGACAATAAGACATCCAATATCATTGAGGAGACAAAGAAGATACAAATTAGAAGGAAGCAAGCCAATTCGAATTCTTATATGCCGAACCCAGCATTTGATACATTAAGACCTCCTAATCTTTCACATGATCAAGCTGAAACTGCAGCCCAGGAAACCCAATTAAAAGCTTCTCGCGATGTAAGGTGCCACATGCTGGGTCTAGTAGTGGAAGTTTAACGTACAGAAACTTGGACCTTTTTAATATGGCAAAACCTTTGCTATGCTTGTACTTAAAAAGTATTAATACTTATTTTCCTTTTGCTAAGTTCTTGGTTATCAGTTTTTATGGTTAATATGGCTTGAAATAAGACCTTTTTTTTTCTTCCCATGTATTTGGACAAACATTTTCAGATTAGTGATGCCTTTCTCATATCCCCCCAAAATGTTTCAGGTTGCTAATGCAATGGCTGCTAAAGCAAAACTTGTGCTCCGTGAACTAAAAACAGTAAAAGCTGATCTAGCTTTTGCGAAGCAGCGATGTGCTCAGCTAGAAGAGGAGAACAAGTTCTTGCGAGAAGCAAAGCAGAAAGGGAGCAAAACTGAAGAGGATGATGACCTGGTATGTTAATGTTTTCCAAGCAAGCAACCCTGGAATTATTTTATTCTCATGATAAAGTTATCAGAACTACATTCTTCTTGATGGTGAATTTGTGATGACTCATCCCAAAACTCTGGCTATGACCATTGAAAAGTGTGAAATTTCTTCTTTCCCTTGCATTTCTGGACAATTTTGAAAAAGATATGCAAATTTTGCAGTACGTTGCACAATGTGGTTGGTTGATATGAAAGCCTGATGTATTGGTGATGAAAATTTGAACCACTATATCATGTCGGATAAACTATTAAGCATTGGTACTTGTAAAACCATGTGTGGTTATAGTTCTTTTGTGATGGAAAATTGACAAGTACTGGAAGTGCAAGAAGTGTGTGCGTGGACTAACATTGGTCAGATTGCGACATCTGTGCCGAGACAACGGTTGTTTGGTTCATGTGTGTGCAGATGATCGGAGTCGATCTTGGTCAACGGTGGATCGGGACTAGACTCAGGGAGGGGTTGAGGTCCAGAACGATCAAGGATGCCGGGTGACAAGATTAGACACAAGGTTGCACACGGTGGGCGGACACCGTGTGAGGAGGTCTTCGCAACGGGCTTCGCAAGGTCAAGTGTGCAAGCGCCAGGATTCGCGAAAAAATCGGAAGGAGAAAGAACTGTGCAAGTGCATTGCTGCTACTTACTGTAGCTAGCATACATGCATGTACACGTACTGTACATGTGCAAGGAGGAGCTTGCACTGTACCGGTTGCTACTAGCATGGCTCGGTGGAAAAGTCAAGCTAGCTAGCCATGCATGGGCTCAGTTGGCAGGGAGGCCAACCCGAGCTGGCCATTTGGCTTGTGGGCTGGCACGTGGCTGGCCCAAGGTGATGTACGGGAGGAGGCCAAGCCGAGCAGCCCTAGACAAGACGACGGCCCAGCTCGGCTCGGCAGGTGCATGCGCGCGCGGAGGCGGGAGATCGTATGGCACAAGGACACGTGGTGGTCTCCTGTTCGACAAGCAAGCGGAGACGCGCGAGACGCGGTCTCTCATGGGACCCACACGGTGCACGGGATTGGATCGGCGAGACGCGCGGCGCTTTTGGATTGGTGCGCTCCTCTCCCTCGACGCGGCATCGGTTTCACGCGCGGGCGCGGGACCCACGTGAAATTTGGAGCGCGCGCGGGAGCGGCTTCGGACTGGGTGGCTCGCTGGCATGCGGGCCCGACATGGAGGAGAGAGCGCGGTCTCGCGTGCGCGGGATTTCGGCGCGGCAACGTGTCGCACTCAGATTCGTCAAGACAGGGAGCACGCAGATTGATTTGCATGTGAAGCTTTGGATCAACGCCGTGGCAAGCATCCAGGAGGTTTCCTTCGGATGTAAGGAAGAACGAACAGCCAGGATTGCATCTGAGATAGGGTTTGCCTTAAGGGCATTTGTGACAATGTCTTAGGGGGTCTTAGGCTATAAATAGAGAAATGGATGCAAGGGTGGAGGTTGCTCTTTTTTAATCCTTTTGAGATGCTCGGTGAGAGTTTCGGTGTGAGTTTGGAGTGTGTTTGCCCGAGAGGCTTTTGTATTAGGATTAGTTTGGAGTGTGTTTGTCCGAGAGATTTTAAGTTTGTATTAATGTTCCTCTGAAGGTGTATGTTTGCTCCTAGTTGAGCGGTTATTTTGCATCACCTATGAATGAAATGATTTGAAAGATTTCGTTTTTGCCTTGTTCATTTAAATTCCGCAATTTAAATTCCGCTTGCAATTTGAACTTTGCGATGATGAGTTTTGCTATCTCCTCCTCATCTCTCTTCTAGTTTCGGGAATTCCTTTTCTCTTCCTCTTCTAGTTTCGGGAATTCCTTCTTTCTTCTTTTCTAGATCCGGCTTCTCTAATAGCCGGGGTTCTAGTAAGGATTTTGAGAAATCCGGCTTGATGAGTATTTTCGGGGGCAAGATTTGAATTACTATATTCAACCCCCCTATAGTTGTTCTTGGTCTTTCAGTACTTTAAGCTGATTATTAACTTCATAGGGCAATTGCATTCTTACCCCTATTTTGGATTGTAATTGTGATTTTACCCCTTCTTTTTAGGGTTTGTGATTTTGCCCTTACTTTTTTCAAACGAAGTTTCAATTTGCCCTTACTCTGTTAAGACCAACTAACAGTGTCAAATGAGCTGCAAGAAGACATATATACCCTTCACATTTGCTCTCAAATTTGACCAAACTTGACAAATTTTGATAGAGCTTGGATATCACTTTTACAGAAGTTGCACAGGGCGCAAAAAATTCACCAAGGATTCATCGCATTCACAAGAAAAAAATATTTACCAAACAAAATTCTCCCAAATATATACTATCAACTATGAGATGGGAAAAAAAAGAAAATCAGGAGGCAGCATCCCTTGCATTGGCCTCGTGGATGAGCTTGCTTGTCGTGTGTCCTTGCTGCTACTCCTACTCTGAACGATGTTCGCAGCAAGCTACAGCATTGCTGAGCCAAGCTAAGGCACCCCTTCCCCTGCTACAGCGTCGCTGAGCCACCACCTGCTCGCGCATTGACCGAGCAGCGCCGCCTGCTCCCTCTCTACCGAGCAGCCGCTGCTCACGCTGGTGAGCGCTGCCACTTGCGCCGTCGCAGCCTGCTCGTGAGTTGCTCCGGTGCCGCCACCTCCGTCTCCGTCGCTTGCATCCACCTGTTTGGAATGGGAGAGGAGAATGGGTTGGATGGCTTAGGTGGTGGTAACTGGTAAGTGTTTTTTACAGGGGTACAATAGTCTTTCTATATTTTGTAAACATTCTTTTCTTTACCTTATCTATTTTATTATCTTACAAAATCTGGACCCACCTAACGCCATCTAAAGCAGGGGCAAACTGAAGCTTCATTTAAAAAATAAAATCACAAACCCTAAAAAAGAGGGGCAAAATCACAATTGCAACTTAAAGTAAGGGCAAGAACACGATTGTCCCTAACTTCATACTTAGAAGAGGTTCATTGCTTGTGTACAACAGACTTTAGTTATTTTTTACTTATCACTGTTAAGTAATGAGTACAACATGTCTTCTGCATATTTAAAATACATGCCTGAAGAACATGCTATTGAACAGATTCGTGTGCAACTGGAGACCTTATTGGCCGAGAAATCAAGACTGGCGCAGGAAAATTCCATGTACGCACGCGAAAATCGTTTCTTGCGTGAGATAGTAGATTTTCATCAATTCACCACCCACGATGTTGCCCCCTTGGATGATGACATGGAAGACAGTATACCAGGAGAAGATAGCAATCACACTTACTCGGAAGATATGTTTCCGGTAGTTGAAGCATATTTAGACCGTGAAGAACTATCTCCTGTCCCCTCAAGGCCTGAATCTCCAATCCTCAGCTCATGTGAGTCATCATCCCCCAAATCCAGCAATTCTAAAAGCAGTGCTGCCAATTTACCAAGCTATGTCTCAAAGCCAAATGCATTGGTACCTGACACAGATTGACGAATGTTATTCGTTGTCCTCTCTGGGCCTGGAATTGGTTTGGTTGTGACTGCTGTGCATATATTTTTTGTCCATTCTTTATCCACATTTGTTTGCAAATGTAATTTAATTATAGATTTTTGGTTTTGTGTATGGTTTGGGTTCTGTCTAGGTTTGGTGAAATTGACCGGTGTGAATACATAGATAAAGTCTGCAATTCTCAGTATATGGTTTGAGTTCTATGTTGGGTTGGTGAAACAACTGACTGGTGTGAATAGCCGAAATGAGGAAAATTTTCAAGGGTGAGTTTACCACTTGTATATCGAGATTAGTGTATCAAGCTAATGAAATGCAGTTTTGTCAAATTATTTTCGGGAATACGCAAAATGCGTATCTTTTGTATGCAGTTTTGTCACTTCACATTGTGCATGAATCTAGACCCTTTGAATCTATATTCTTCCATTCTGGTGTTCGATTTCCTGTTGGTTATCATATCAAGTTGCATGATCCATTATTCTGTTTACAAGTACATACATACGCTTGCTCTTGTAATTGCTGATGGCTCGAACCAACATTTCCAAATATAAATATTGGGCCAAAAACGAGGGAGTAAAGGCCACATTTACACCTGTATGTGCAGAAGCCCATCCTGATAAGCAGGAGTGCATTTGTTACCAGACAGAGCTGTTGATAAATTATTTGCCGACATTCAGCACATCCAGGGGATTGATCGATCGAGATGAGACCACTGTAGAGTATATATGCTTGCATTTGTTAGGTGAGGAATATCAGATCCGTTGCGAGATCAAACCACTGTAGAATACTTTCCGTTGGTTTTCCTTCAGACTTTCAGTACGCCATGCTAACTAAACTAGTTAGGCTTGCCAAGAAGAACATAGTCACCTGCTTAATTCCAGCTTCACTACGTACACAAAAGGATTTAGCAGTTTGTGTTAGCAAGTTCCTTCGCAATGTCGGCCATCAAAAGGATCATCGTGTGCTGTGTTGCATGGGGGCGAAAATGGTATTGGAAATTTCTGACCGATCGAGGCTCGTCTCCGATGTTCTCTCGAATGAACTATTTTGAAACGATAACCAATAAAAATAAAAATATAAGTGGTAAACAATACGGAAATAATTTTGCTATTCTACCTTCTGTTTCCTTATTTTTATCATATTTACTAGCCACATTAGTCACGCTTTGCGCGACTTTTTACATACCGTTATAAAAGCTCTGTACATATAAACTGTTACATAACATACGCTGATGGTATGGAGCAAAGCAGTTAGAAGCTTCCCCATGGTTAAGCAGCCTAAGATCATATTAGTCTAAATTTTTTTTACTGTTCGATGCACGAGATGTCATGCTTACTGAAATATTTGGTTTGCAGGAGATGCCATACTTGGGTAGTGAAATAACAGGGCGATTACAACCGGTAAAGTCTCTGTTCATCTCCAGTTTTTGTCCAATCTGGTATTGTTTTGTGCTGATGAAATTCCTGTCCGGTTCTTCAGAGTGCTGAACTGCAGTAAAATAATTAAGAAAGCTAGACAGATAAAAGAGGAAAATGTCTTTACTGTGACTTGTATTGATGTCTACTGCTCTTCTATACAAAAATAGCAATACCAACATTGTAAAAGAAGTAAATTTCAAAAAAAAAACATTGTAAAAGAAGTACCTTCTCTATTTTGTCATCGTGAATAGATATCATGTAGGAATTGTCAGGAAAAATAATTGAGCGGCACCTATTTAATGCCCAATGATCTGAATGATCAATTTTGAGTTAGTGAGGAAATTTTGGATGATTCAATGAAATATTATTGTTAGAAATATCAAGAAAGGATGGCATGTAATTAATCTGCCCTCGTTGTCTCTGTCACATCCGTGCTAATTCAATGTTGAGTAGTGCAGCAAGCACGTCCATGGAGGTTCAGAAAAGGTTGATTACCCTATTATGTAGTTTGAAAATTGCTCTACTGCTCTGCTGCAACCATCCTGCAATTTGTATGGCCAACAATTACATTGGAAACACTGACTTTTAACGTACAATACATGGTGAAATGGAACCTCTGCAGCTTGTAGCGCCTGAAATAAAAAGGTGAAGTATTTAGTATTTCTATCACGAACAACTTGAATGAGGAATTCATAACCTGCGTGATAGCTCAGGATTTCCACTAACATGCATGTCTCCGTTCACAACATGAGTTAGAAAAGAAAATTGACAATTGGACTCACTGTGATACACACCATGTCTTTGATTTTCTTAAAAGAATATCACTTTGCCCATATCCACCAAACTCCAGGAACACTTTCACATGGCTTCTCTGCAAAAACATGCAATCTGAGGTGGATATATAAGAAGTGTAATCAGCTACTCCCTCCGTTTCAAAATATTTGACGCCGTTGACTTTTTAGCACATGTTTGACCGCTCGTCTTATTCAAAAAATTTAAGTAATTATTAATTCTTTTCCTATCATTTGATTCATTGTTAAATATATTTTTATGTAGGCATATAATTTTACATATTTCATAAAAGTTTTTGAATAAGACGAACGGTAAAACATGTGCTAAAAAGTCAACGGTGTCAAACATTTCGAAACGGAGGGAGTATTACCTTGGACCAGGACCAGGTATATACGTACAACTGCTACCAGTGTGTTCATGCAGTAGATTGCCCTGAAAAGGATTATGCATGAGAGAGAAATTATGTAAACCAAATTAGGTGGTTAACACCATGATTTTATAAGTAATAAACCAATTGCAGAAATACTAAAAGACAATAGCAGAAGATGCTTAGTAGATTCAAACTAAAAGACCATTTATGCTCTGGAAGGGAAGGGGCATAGGAAATAAAGAATAATGGCATATCAAGCAAAGTAGCAAGCTCTCCTGTTAAGTATAAATAATGACATACTCTCAACATAGAGGCTTCAACTATCCATGATCCACCAAAAAAAAAACCCTTCTCCTAATGCACTGTATCCATTGGTTAATTCTGGATATGGCTTCAGCTTTGTTCAAAAGATCTACAAATGATAGCCATTACTGGCAACCATGAATTCGCTGCTTCCTAATGAAATTATTTTTAAGGTAGTGAGGCCCCAATCCTTGATAAAAAAATTATATACATCAAATAGATTGCAATCATTTTGACCCATGCTCAAGCTTTGCAGAGAAACTCACGAATTACATAAGTAGGGGTTAACATTGTGACACTAACTCACTCTGATGTAAGAATAATCCTATTAAAAATCAGGATGACTATATGAAACCAAAATTAAACCGCACATTTTCCTATTTTTCATCGAATTTCCCTTCTATTGTCTACACAAAGGTTCAGACACCTTCATCCGAAACCGACACTAATCAGGACAAACTCATAGTGATATTCAGAAGTAGCAAGTTGCAATTGTTGATGCTTCAGCTGAACATAAGCATCCATATTACAAATCCAAATACTACTACTTGATAGTTCCTCAACTGTACTCAAGTTACTTAATGGTAATCTACAATCGTCTTTGTCCGCTATCGGATTTGACGCATTGTTCGTCACACCGGCGTTTTGGGCCTTCTTGAGCCGGCTTCATCACTACCTTCCTCCGGTGTTGCCAGCTCCAAGCCACCAGGAGACATCACCATGGAGGAGGAGCTAGAGAGCGGCCAGGAGGGAATGAATCGACGTGGTGGCGTTTTGGATGGGAAGGACTGAAGGACATAAGGAGGTGTGGCTGCCGCGCCTGCCGCTGGACAGAAGGAGGTTTTGGATGGGAGGATACGTACTGTGCAGCAGTGCAGATGGAGAGGGGGCCAGCGGTGGCGATGGAGTCTTGGAGAGGAGTCGATGAGGCAGCGGCGGCGGCGGGCGGCTCCAAGGTCGACGATGAGTGCGAGACGGCGCGGCGAGTGCGAGAAGACAGAGCGTTATGGTGGGTGTCTCACGGTGTGGGAGGGGGAAGGGTGAAAATGAATGGCTCAGTTCACTTTGATGTCATTTTCAACCATATTAAATTTAGATAAAGTTACTAAAAAAGTGGCTACATTTAGTTTGCTGCCAAATTTTAGTAACTATATAAGAAATCCTACCAAAATTTTGGCAAGTTGCATGTGCTAAAATTTTGGCAATGCCAAAATTTGGTAAGGTTGAAAATAATATCAAAGTGAACAGGCCCGAAAAACAAAAGAGGTATAAGGATGTGTAAGGACTAGAAATAGATAGGAGTTTCATCAAGGGTCTAGAATATACTATGCCAATTAGAGGATCCAACGACCACCAACGTCTAGAGCGAGAATCGAACGGTCCTTATTTCTTTGATGGCGTGGCACATTAATTTTGCAAGAAAGATTAGTTCTTTCAATACTTTAGATGTGGAAATTACCATTTCTATAATACAGTAAATACCGTATTTCTAAAAATAACATATTATCTTTGGTCAATGTCTCTATTTGGCTCATAGTTTAGAGGTCCATTGACTCCTCAACTAAATCTCTAATTTGAGTATATAGCTAAAGGAGAAGGTTTGTAAATTACGTAGGTGTGAACTTGAATTTACGTGGTCATATTATATAGTCACAATAAATTACAAATGTGATTTTACGGTTTAATGTTTTTGACACGGTTTATGATCAATACCAGTATGATTCTGTCATTCTGCTTATGATTTTCTAATATTCCCATTTTTTTATTTTGGGCTCTACCTTTTTAATTTCATTTCCGAGAAAAATGAAATGATTACGGAAATGGTTAAACCTATTTTCCTACCATTTTCACACCCCGTATATTCACTGCTTAAAACGTACTCTGTCTTGATCAAGTTGGGGAAGTAAAAGCAATTTTGAAGAGCAGAATGGTTTCTGACTTCTCCTCCTTAATTTTGTGGCCTAAGCTAGCTTGTGTACATCGGTACATATTTATGACTCTCAGAAAGAACAAGAGGACAATGGTCCTTGCCAGCATGTATGCATGTGTGAGGCCGGCCAAGAACATGACAAATTTTGATTGATCACCCTGGTAGCTAGTAGTACCCATAGATTGCACCCATAAGTCCACGCATTGGGGATCAAATGTATTGCACATTGATGATTGCAATAACACCACTATCAAACCTTCTCCTGCATGTTCTGGACCACTATGGTTGTATTTACGTACAAATTAAGGTGCTGGTTGGGATAGTAATTTACTGTCTAATGTCTGAATTTATACAGGAACACTGCTATACGTGCGACTGCGTCATCCGATCGGCGTACGACGAAACGGCTGAGCGGCACAATACTTAACGGCGTATGACAGAACAGCAGCAGCAGCACAGCTCTTGACGTCGTGTAATACACAGTCGTACGCCGGTCGGACACTCAAGTCGTACGTATAGCATTTTCGTTTATATAGAAGAACCCATCATTCACTTGTGAATACTGTTTTTGATAAATTCATATTCTCCCTATTGCAGATGATTTTGAGCTCGTTGTCATCCTCATATAGACATCATTTGTTAAATTAATTGCATAAATAATTCTTCACGGGCGCGAGGCAAAGTGGGACCAGCTCCTTTACTCAATCTGTCATTATCAAGAGCATTGTTAATGTTTAGAATTAGTACTTTCTTGCAATAATTAGGTTTCATCAATGGCATTGACTTGTGTTTTGTAATTTAAGTTGACCTCCTCTGATAGTACTGTACTACTCCGTTCGTCCGTAAAGTATGATCGATGCACAAGACACTGTAGAGGATAAACTAGAGTCAGCAATAAAAGTCTTCGCTGCAAAGTCTCCGGAAAACCACCTAGCTAGAGCGGCCCATTCTTGCAATTACAATATTGTAGCACTAACTATTGTTTAAGCTATTGCCTATAAGTCTTAGCCAATTACTTGGATTTAGAATTCAAAGAGTACAAATTACCTAAAATTATTTATCGTTTGTATCGGAGCTAGTGTCTTCCGCTTAATTAGAAGCTGTAATGGCCGGACGCTTCGATTAGTTAATTTGTGCATTCGACCAGATTATTGGTGTGAGCATTTTGTCACATATGGTGTAAGTGGGTTATAAAGTTTTTAGTCAGTGATGAGTGCGTGATTAGTCATTGTTTCTAGCCAACTGGATTATGAATCATGTTCCAAAATGAGCCCAATCATCACTTCACGTATATAAATGCGCATATCCATTTGGTAGCGTCTAGTGCTGTCTTCTTTTGATCCCTTGGATACGAAGTGAACAATATTATTGTTTATTAGTAACTATTGGCGGATCCATCGTAGGGGCGGTGGGGTCTCGAGCCCTTGCTACCGACGTTGTAACCATGGGTGGAGAGCCCCGATTAAAAGCTCGCACTAATTTTTTTTCATACATAGAGAGGGCTATAATTTTGTATAGTTTGTTCAACACCTCCAATTAAATATTCCTAGATCCACCTCGCACTAGACAAAGACAAAGATGAAACCAAAGACACGAGCAAGATGGAAGGAAGAGATGATGACAAGTTGATTGCGTCACATATAAGACATCATCTCATCGCCATGATAATGCACTAATGCTAGCTTCACTCTTGAGCAAAAACAAATCCTCAAAGTGCCAAAGAAACAAAGAAGAGCAGTGCCAATCACACAATCTTTTCCGAGTGCTGATCAAGAACCAACCGCACAAGAAGATGATGAGCTTCTTTGCCACGTGGAACCACTTTTATTTTTTTTGTTTGTTTTGGTTTTGGAAAAGCCCCTGAGCTCGACAGTTAACGTTGGAAAAGAGATTATTGTTCTGGTTCGGTATCATTCTCACTGGTCGTTGGAAAAGCTCTTGCTTTGCTGGACGCCTTGAAGTTGCAGGTGGGCCCTACAGGTCAGCCTCTGAGGACTTTTTACATCAAGCACCCTCTCACCTTGCAGAATAGGGACTAGGGAGTTGCACAAAAGCCCCTCGGAAGAATCGAAACGTTAGAAAAGAGGACACGTCGCCAAAAGCGCACACAGACCAACTGACAGCCTGGACCCACAACTCAGCCGTCCAGGCCAGGGGCAAAGCAGTAAATTCTGGTGGGCGGTGTGCCAACTGTAATCCCGTGTCTTTTACCCGGAAACACAACATAAACATTTCCATATAACCCCCTCATAAAAATGTGCAATTCACATAGAAGCCCTCACCATCATCTCCATTTCTAAAGCCTCTCTCTCTCTCCATTGCTTCACTCTCGCCATCAAATCCCCAAACCCCTCCTCCTTCTCTCCAAGTCCTCGTCTTGGTTGTCGCAATCATTCGTGGGGCGCGTTAATCCCTCCCCAAATTCTGTGGCAGCCAGCTTCCCCGCTTGCTTGGATTGGATTTCTCCAAGATTGATTCGTTCCCTCCCAATTCTTCACTTCCTCTATCCATTTCCAATCCAATCTTGGTTTTTTGCATTGTTTCCTCCCGATTTGTCTTCCTCTCGCTCTCCCTCTCCCACCATATCTTGGACTCGGTCCTATCTGTCCGTGCCTCGCTTCCATCGCCATTGCTCTTTTGCTGCTAAAGTCTTCTCTTTGGAGGGAGAGACTGGGACTGGGAGCTAGCTCGCCCTTGTGTTGTTCAGGGAGTAAATGCGCGTCCTTGGTGGTGCTTGGTCCCAGCATTTTCCGCCCCAAATCTCGTCCTTGCTGCCCCGACTTAAGTGGTGGAGATTCCGTCACCGGCGGTCGTAGATGAGGAGGAGGAGATCCTCCTCCTGATCTACTCTTCTTCTTCTTCTTCTTCTTCAGCTCCTGGCTGCTGCTGCTCCACTCCCCCTGATCCCCCTGCAGGAGCATGGATTTCTTGGCCTGCGTCTGCCTCCTCCACCTGCTCTTCTTGGCCACTTCCCGGGTGGCGGCGCAGGCGTCGTCGCCGGCCAGGGCCCTGGACGCAATGCTGCAGGACCACGCGTACCGGGCCTTCGTGCACCCGCACACTGGCATTGTCTACAACGCCACCGTCCCGGCCAACCTCACCGGCGTCGCCCTGTCCGCGGTCCGCCTTCGCAGCGGCAGCCTGCGGAGGAAAGGTTTCTCCGACTACTTCGACTTCACCGTCCCCACCGGCATCGTCGTGCAGCCGTACGTCGAGAGGGTGGTGCTCGTCTACCACAATCTCGGCAATTGGTCTGACCACTACTACCCGCTGCCCGGGTACACATACCTCTCGCCGGTGCTCGGGCTGCTTCTCTACGACGCGGCCAACTTGTCGGCGGTGGGGTTGCAGGAGCTGAGCTTTGTCGCCTCCGGGAGCCCAATTTCTATAAATTTCAGTGATGTTAGATCGGTGCCGGCAGGCGGTCCAGCTCCTCGGTGCGTGTGGTTTGATTTGGATGGTGTGCCACAATTCCGGGACTTAGAGGCAAGCAATGTGTGCTCGACGTACCGCCGAGGGCATTTCTCGATAGTGGTGAACTCTAGCGCGATTCCTCCTGGTCCAGTGCCTTCAGGCAACATTACACCGCCAATACCGACTCCTACAGGTCGTTCTAAGGGCAGCTCCAAGGGGTGGAAGATTGCTGTTGGCGTGGTTGGGGGCGTCATAGCATTGGTCCTGTTGGCGTCGCTTGTGGTTTGTTTGGCAAGGTACAAAAGAGATAAGAAATTGGAACTGATGGAACAGAATGCAGAGACTGGGGAGACATTGCGTATGGCACAGGTTGGGAGGTCACAAGCGCCTGTAGCACTGGGGACAAGAACACAACCGGTGATTGAGAGCGAGTATGTTGCATAGATGTTTTCTTGACATTTCAGCGGAATTCAGGCAACAAGGGTAACCAGTTATGCTGGCAAGCATGGGATTGCTCTTCGGTCGGATGAGGCAACAAGTGTTCCATATCAATGAGTGCGGCACAAATTGCTAGATGTAGGGCATAGTCTTGGCTCATGAGACTTAACACATTCTTTTAACAGTTTTGTTTGGAGGGTTATTTGTTCTACAATGGCTCATGTTGATGTTCATAATTGCCATGTTCATAGTGGGGAGCTCTTTTCATCTCCAAGCAAGCAATGGGGAAGAAATGGTTGTTGTGTCAGATTTGGAATCCCTTATTTTTTGGATTGCTGTATTCAAAAGGATATAGGCTTGGCAATAAAGGTGAGGGAATTTTATTGTGCATTTCATTTTGCTACTTCAGTGAAATTCGTTCAAGCTTAAGCGATTTCGTTTTTGTGTATTTTGGCTCCTCATGTTTAGAGACCTTGTAAGGTACAATTGTACATGTTTAGTTGTTTAATTGATTTGATAACTAGTCTGATAAATTAGATTTCATCCTTGCTTGTTTTAACCACCAGTCTGTATGCTGTGACAAATTTCCATCATCTTCTTCCTAGTTATCTTCTTCTAGGTCAGACATTATGGCCAATCTCTAAAGAAATATTAGAAGTCTAAACACGATACTTACCAGAATTATTCTTCAGAACTAATATGATATCCTTTTAGTTCCTGTTGGCCTGAGTTTCTGTTGATCATATTTCTCTTTTAGCAGCTTGAATTTAAGCATTTGAAACAGAAAAATAAGGTTATTATAAGTATAATCTGATGGCAGGCGATGAATTAAACAGAGGGATTGAAGAAAGCTCTGTTAGCAAAATGAATAAGTCCGTATCTTTTTCCTTGGTTTAATTTCGGTTGGTCTACTTTTGTCAAGCGTAGAGGTGTCATTGGGGATTTGGATGATCAATGAGGAAGACAATATGCGTTCTATCTGTATAAATTAGTGGCAATATGTTACATAATTCATTTGTTTCTTATTGTCCTCACTGAACTATGAAAGAGGAAAATATACTGAACTCGATTGTAGTTTTGTAGCTCAAAATGTGTCATAAAAGCGAAGCACATCAAAAGAGCGCATGTATAATCTGTCAAATGAGTTCTGGATAATGCTCTGAATTTTTAGGGGGCGTGAGCTGCTCTTTTTGCATCTTGAAATTTATGTTGGACATCATGCTAGCATGAAGAATTTAGCTGTTGCTTGTAGATTGTCTTGTATTGATGGAATCCAGTTCCCAATTCAAATTAGGTGCCCACATTCTCTGAAAGTTCCTTTTTAGCTGTACTGTACTGTGGTGATATTGTAGTGTTTGGCAGAAGCAACCTGTAGTAGTAAATTAGTAACACTTGCTGCTTTGACAAGCATGTGTCTAGGGTAATTAGCTAGCCCTGCACACATGTGAGTGGCATCTTTGATAGCCTTACAACTGAAGGGCAGGTCCAGCCAGATATGCCAGCCAGCCAGCTGAAATGGATCAAACAAAATGCTTAGGGACCTAGGGAAAACAAGTGTGCCAAGCCTCTTGTTTGGCTGGAGAAACCAGCAGCTGGCTAGAGAGGGAGTGTTTTGTGTAATGGGAGATAAGAATGTATGGCTGAACTGAACTGAATGTATAATTACTTGATTGTGCTGGTAGTTTTTGTGTTTTGTGTCAGGTAATTTTTGAAGGTGGTGCGTCTCAGCTAAGCAGAATCTTTTGCTGTCACACAAACTGATCACAGCTCATAGATCATGTGGCCGCCTATTTCCTCATGATTATGCGTGTTTTCTAATGTGACTGGTTGCATTCGCTTTGTAATGCTGTACTGGAGTGCTTGTTTAGTTAAATCAGGTGTTGGAGTATGAGCTGTTGTTTTTGTGTGTTAATTAACCACTGCAGCTGGTTTGACACGTTTTGTTGGAGCGACTGTAAAACCATTGGGTAGCAGGATAGTGGCACAGCTTCAGAGCTACTGTTTCCATCAAGATTCAAATAGAAAAGGCGTTAACCTGCTTCTGATAATTTTTGAAGAGTAAGGTTACCATATGTACTGGTTGGTACTTGGTAGGTAGATTATATGCATTTGATAAATCGTTGACTAACAATGGTAGTAGTAGTATGAACTGAACCTCGGATTGAAGATTATGAGGTTGTTAGGAGATTAGTCGTGATCAGCATGTGTGATGAGACAATTGTTTTGAAATTAGTCTATCTGAAACTATTAATGCCCAGGTATTGTACGGTTTTTAATACAAATGGAGAGTGTAGGTGAAGTGGTCCACAACTAGTGGCAACAAGACAGTGAGGATCGTGGACTCGGTGTAGTTGTGCATTTAATTAACTTAGTTAATGATAATGATGGAGCCCTAGATTATCATAGTTGCCATGAGCCCAATTCTTTTCTGCGCCGTAAGACTTGCTTCCCATAATTTCCTAGTGGGCCGAAACTGGAGTACGTCCTTTTCAATTAGGAATAAGTTCACTTAAGGTCCCTCAATTTATCGTCGAGTTCGAAATTCGTCTCTTGAGCATAAAACCAGGTACAACACATCCCTCAACTTACAAAACCGTGCAAACGAGATCCTCGGTAGTATTGTGCCCAGTTTTAGCTAACGTGGCATTGACGTGGTGTTGATGTGGCAATTTGATCTCAGAAAAATAATTAAAACCGTAGGACCCACATGTCATTCTCACACCTACCTCTTCTCTCTACCCCTGCACTGCAACTCTGCAAGAAGAAGGCGGAACAGTGGCGGGCCGGGCAGAGGGCATCCTGTGTGCTAACGCCGTATCTAAGAATAATTGACAGTAAAAGGAATTATTTGACGGAGTAAGAGAGACACATTCAATATGTGATTTATAATTTTAATTTTATAGGCATGGCAATTTGCGCAAACAAGCTAGAACAAAAGTTTTACTAGCATTCCAACAGCAAATGGGAGTTTCAGAAGTAAATGAGTAAAAACAAAAATCACACAACCAAATGCAGCAAGTACAGACGAGCAATCTGCAAATCCAACACTCGCTCACGATGGCCTCCACCTCGCTGCTCTCCAGTTTGGTGGGGTCGTCGCAGCCGGCGACGTAGTTGTGCAGCCCCGCCGCGGCGATCCCGGGCACGGCGGAGCGCACCACCCCCACCCTCCTCCTCCTCCTCCTCCTCCCCCACAGCGACGGGGCAGAGGACGCGGGCGACGATGCCGCTGCAGCGACGAAGCGGAGTACGCGAACGACGATGCCGTCGCAGCCGCCGCCACCGCGGCGCGAGGCGAGGGCTTCGCGGAGGCAAGCGAGAGCTCCCTAATGACTCCTTTGCTCCGCCGGTGCCGGCCACACGCCTCGCGGAGCTCGAGGAGGACCACGCCCGGGACGCGCTCGAGGCCGAGGCGGCGAAGGCGGTTTTCCAGCGGCGCCGTGCTGCTGGAAGAAGAGAGAGAGGGATAGAGAAGATGGAGGAGTGAGGATGATATGTGGCCCCACCATTTTGTATTTCTTGTGTAGATGATATGTCGGTCTCATAGTTTTAATTATTTTTTTCAACATCAAATAAGTGTCACGTCAATGCACGTGGAACGAAGACCTCGTTAAATGAGCCACGTATACGCCACGTTAGCTAAAACCAGACACAATACTGCCGAGGGACGTTATTTACACGGTTTTATAAGTTGAGGGATAAGTTGTACCTGGTTTTATGCTTTCGAACTCGGCGATAAATTGAGAGACCTCAAGTGAACTTATTCCTTTCAATTATTTAGCTAGGCTTATACCGTTGCTAACAGGAGTAGTTCAAGTCCTATTTTGTTATATGTGATTTATAATATTTCGAATTTTGGTGTTATTAAATTTTGGAGGACTGCTACAGTACGGAATAGCATTATAATGATACACTTTAATGAACCCTTCTATTTTCTCTACCTGCCTAAGCAACTACGTGTAACACAATGAAGCAGCAACGCTCCCCCTTGCTTCCTCGCTTAGCCACATCAACTGCAACTCTGCAAGGAATGAGGGAGACATCGAGGAGAGGAAGAGAAGAAGAGCCAATGGCATGTCGATCGCTGGCAGCCAAAAGGCAACGACATGCATCCCTTCTCTCCTCAACTTGGTACCAAATACCTGGGATACCAGACCTGATACCTATAGGTACCAAATCCGATACCTAGTACCTGGTAGTAGGTATCGGGTACCTAGGTACTAGGTACCAGACCTTGGTATCGAGTGTATGATACCTGGGTAGCAGGTATCGGGTACTTAGGTACCATGCCTGATAATTGTATAGGTATCACCTATGATATTGTTAGGTATCATGTATGATACTTAAGTATCATGATATCATCAACGTGATATACTAGAGTATCATGATACTATTAGAATATCACTAGACTATCCAAAAGGATATCCATGTATCAAGAGAGAACTCAAGAAAAATCAACAAAGAGCTCAATAAAAAGTCATCATAACTGTAGAAACACCCATATAACATGTAGAAAACCCCAAACTAAACCTTAGAAACAAGCCAATGTAAGAGCTCGAGAGTCACAAGCCTAAATCTGGGTGTACAGATCCACACCACAAGAGGCCTTGTCCTTGATGACGGTGACCTTGTCGACGATGGCCACATCCTGGAACATGGTGAGCAGCTTCACCTTCATCATGTGCTCAGGCACCTACCCCATAAATAGCTTCACGATCTTCTCTACTCCGCCCACACCTACACCAGCAGCAACGGCGGCGGCGATGACAGCAGCTTCCTCAACGCCCGACGTGCCACCCCGCACGGCCGGCCGCCATCGTCGCCTCCGTGCTCATGAGGGTAGTAGTGTGAGAGAGAGAGTGTGTGTGTGCGCGTGTGGAGAGGAAATTAAGAGAAGAGATAATGGAGAGGATAAGATTGAATCGGTGGTGTGAAAAGAGAGGGCTAGATATTTACTAGGAGAAGTTATCCGATGTCTACAGGACTCCGTTCCCAAGTTTTTCTGTAAATTTTGATAAGATTATAAGCTGTCACATAGAATGGATTTCTGAATGTACATCTAGGCAAAAGTAACCAATTTCACTGTAATATACGTAAATTCTAGGACATATGCACGCCAATGGATGCACCGATTTTCTCCTATACACGCGCGGTACTGCATGAACGACTGCACTACATACAGAAGAATAATATATAATCTCAGATCCCGAGCTACACAAAAGTACAATTAATCACATACTACTATGCAAGAGTAGATAGTGAAAGCAAGCCTTTGATCCAATTTCGAGGTCGTTAAAGCATGCAGCTCAAATCTATACTACTAACTTTATACCGTGCATGTAAAGACGATACACATGAAGCTTCCACGCTTCGACCTCCTTTTCTTGCATAGTAGAGTAATATCAATTTTGAAGGAGGGGAACAGGCTAGAAATACATCGAGATATTTTTTTTATTTTGTCATTCTTATGAAGGTCGAAGAATATCCGGTATAAAAAGTTGAGGGTGAAAAATATTTAGTTTTGTAATTTAGAGGAGTAATCCGTATCGTCGCAATAGTTCATAAAATAATTTACACATTTTCTTATCATATACTACTGAATATGCTCTTACTTTCATCGAATTTTGTGCCAACATGTCTCAACGTGTCCAGCCCACTAACATTTTACTCCCCACTGCCATGATCAACTTGTGCCTGCATGCCAAGGAGACAGTCAACCACGCGCAGGCATGTTACAGTAGTATATGCAGTTTGTGATATTACATGGTGCCATATATAGAAAAGACAACTTAAAGAGCCATGACCCTCACAGAGCGCTATTAGTATTTGTAGCAAATGTAAATTGCTTTTCAGAAAGGAATTTGAAAGCATCGATCAATCAGCAGCAAAAACAGCTCAAAGCTTTAGCACATTTGCATTTTACTTTGCTGTACTTTCCCCATTTGATCTATCTCATCTCTGAAAAGAAATTTTTCACAAAGAAAGTTTGGAGGGAGGGAAATAACACACACGGACAGAGAGACTGATGATCAAGTGAATCATAATCACTGCTTGGATCATATGTATTCTCGATGATCAAATAACAGGGTAAGTTTTGCACGAGCGCAACAGTAGCCTGGATGCTTGCTTGATGTGCAAAATCTGTAGGCAGACAAGCATGAATGCAAAGAATCTGTGAGAGGAAATGATCAATGGCACGGTTCGTGCTTCTGACCGGCAATGGAGTATGAACAAGCAGTATAGGCTGCTGAGTAATCGAGTCGGGTTGTCTTGTGGCTTTCTCATGGTGGACCTGACCAAACAAAGCCCGATCAAAGCTAGTAGCTCTTCTCCTCGATATCCTCTCTGCAAAAGCAAAAGTAAAAGCCAAAGGAAGAAAAGTTAGAGCTGTCCATTCTCTCTACTCTAGTACGAGTAGATCAGTGGACAAGGAGCCATGGCAGCCAAAGCATCCGAATCATTTCCTTCACCGACAGCCTTCAACCCCACTCCTCTCTCCACTCTCTAGTGCATGCTGCTACATATTGCAGTAGCATGGATTTTCTAGAGTTACATGGCACTTGAAACATTGTGAAATTTCACCTCTAAAACAGATACAGAGCATAACATACTTGGGAACCAGTAAAAAATATACCATAAGTTAGTTATTAAGGAGAAAAGAAAGAATAAATGTTAGAATGTAACACATCTAAAATACAAAAAACAAGAAGCAAAGGCACTAGTAGTATGGCCACATGAGATGAAGACTGAATTCTTGAAGCATCCACAAGCTGACAGTAGACCAGCCTTTGTCCCCTAGTCAGCCAACTGTTCCTCCATCAGTGTCACTTTCTCAGCTAATCCAACACACAGACCCTCTTTGCTAATTTACACCTTGAAAGATGCAATTCTTCCTATCTGCAGACATGCAGTCATGCAGCTGAGTGGCCTGTAGAAGAAAGGGAAAGCAGAGACAGCCAGACAGGGGGGCCTATTGGCAAATTTGGCAAATGTGCAATGTGCAAGAAGAAAAGTAGACGAAAGAATTAAAGAATGGATTTTTGGAAGAATGTCTGTCATTGAATTGAATTATTAGTATCTTAATGATTTGTTTAAAATATTACTAGTATCTTAATGATGGCAGGCCACACATCCGTTATTCTTTTGTTTCGTCCTCACTCATCGCCGCTCCGCCATTGCCCAGAGCTTTTCTTTTCTACACAAAGGGAAGGGAAAGAAGAAGCAGGAGGGTTTGGTATCTGAGGCTGAGCAATGGGGCTGGCCAGCGACAGCCCTGCGTCGTTCCCCTTCTCCGCCGCCAAGCTCGCCGCCTCGCCGCGCTTCTGCAACCCCATCAGCAGGAGGTAACTTGTACCAATGCTGTTCCTTTCCCTTCCATTTCTGAGCTCGGGTGTGGTTTTGCCGCGGTTTATTCTTTTGCACAAAATGCAATGGCGAGTGCATGCTGGTGTTCCTATAGTTTGCTAGTTTTGGCAAAAACTTGTCCTTTGTCAGTTCAGATCAGTTGCAACTAGTTTTTGTTCATTTTGCTGCGCAAGTTTGGATTGTTCATGTTACATTTCTCTGGGACTCTGAAAGAAGCAGAGAAAGGCATAGACCCTGCTGGCTGCTGCAGTGCAGGTGCAGGTGCAGGTGCAGCCACTCCATGAGGAGAGGAGATTGGAGAGGGTCACTTGCCTTGTGTAATGGTGGTAGGAGAATCTCAGCCCCGCCACGCCGGAGGTGTTCGAGCTCGGCCAAGTGGGGTCGGAGTTTAATTCTCCGAATCCCTTGAAAAATAACAGGGGGTTGGAGTCGAATTCTCCGAACCCCTGAAATACTGGAATCGGGAGGTGGGGGTCGGAGTTCATTTCTCCGAACCCGCTGAAATACTGGTTTCTCGCAAATGCTACCTTCAGAGTTCAGATTATCAGATGACATCTGAAGTTATCCCCTGTATTACTGAAGAAAGCAGTGGCAAGCCTTAAAAATGTTCATCGGAATATCGGATGGTCCCGGGCATCACAAAACGTCTGCACTTTTTTTTTTATCTCGTCCCGTCACTTGTCTAGATTCAGGTCCCTACCTCAGCATTCTCTTTTCTTATGCTGCATCTGGTTCTCAACCTCTGAACAAGTCAATGAAGGTTTTTTCCCCCCCTTCTCTGTCTCTCTTTCCTAAAAGAAAATGCAGTCAATTTTGGGAGAAAAAAATTGCAAACGTTAGCAATTTAACTCAAAGGATCTACTTCTTATGTGATTTGTTTGGACGAAATGTTTGATTGATTTGTGAATTGTGATTGGAACCTACATTGGTAGTATGTCTTAGTGGACTGAAATAATCTGCACCAGCTATTTGATTTCTGTAGCAGTTACCATGGCTTTGTTCCATTCCTCTGTAAAAAGGGATGTGATCAATTCTTATGTGTTCCCAGAAGAGTGTAGCAAAACTACCATGAGAAGCATATCAAACTTGATATTCACATGCTGCAAATGCAAATGCAGTTCTTGGTGTCTAAAACTTCAAGAATGTTCCTTGTTGTGCAGGATATTTTCTGATGTTGCTGGAGATTTAACAGTATCGGTGGATGGCCAATCTTTTCTACTACATAAGGTGCCTTATCTATTTCAATAGCTTCATCTTACCCATTCTCTGTAGCCTGTCATTTTTCCTGTTGCATTTTTTTTTATCATTAGTCATCAACTACTGCACAAGCCTGCCAAGTATATTTTGGGGGGTTATTGCTCAGTTGGGCAGTTGGATTGTCTTTGCAGGAAGATTAATTACCTGACAATGTTATAAGTGGAGTAGGACTTCCATATTAATTTGCTTAACATGAGAACCAATGTGATTGAAGTGAACACCTTATTACAATTTGGGGACATAAAAATCATAATGTATATCCTTACTGATGTGATAATTATACAAGCATATAATTTTTTGTACTGTAGGTTAGTGTTCAATATTCACAATTTCTTAAATGTAGCGCTCTGCAAAAGGCATATATCTTTCTTAGTGGGGGTCGACAGGGATTTCTGATCATATAGGCTGAAGGTGTTAGTCAATATAAGAGTGTGTAATTGGAGACAAAGCAGTAATTGGTTAACGGGAAAATCAGGGTTAAGGTTGTATATGTTCTTTTGTACATTAGTAATGCTTTTTGAGCTTTCATATGGAGTTTTTTTTTTTTTGGTGAAAAGGAGCTTTCATAGGAAGGTATTAGCAAGGAAAATGTATTTCATATTTATCTCTGCATAACTAATATAAGATTATATAGTCTGAAGTAAAGTTGCAAAATGGGATCATAGTATACTTCTGTACCAATTTTGCAGTTCCCTCTAGTCTCTAGGTGTGGAAGAATACGAAGAATGGTAGCTGAATCCAAGGATCCAGATCTCTCAAAGTTGGAGCTAGTAAATGTACCAGGGGGAGCTTTAGCATTTGAACTTGCTGCCAAGTTCTGTTATGGGAGTAATTTTGAAATTAATACTGTCAATGTGGCTCATCTCCGGTGCATTGCAGAGTATTTGGAAATGACAGAAGAGTACCAAGAGGAGAATCTCATTGTTCGGACGGAGACATACTTGAATGAGATTGTAGTCAAGAACCTTGATAAATCCCTAGAAGTCCTATGTGCTTGTGATGGATTGGATCCAACAGTGGAAGACGTTGGACTTGTAGACATGTGCGTCGATGCAATTGCGATGAATGCAAGCAAGGAGCAGCTGGTTTCAGGCTTGGCTCATTTGGAATGTGATGTCGGATCAGGAAAGTTGCGCATGCATTGTCAAGATTGGTGGGTTGAGGATCTTTCTGCACTAAGAATTGACTATTATCAGCGTGTTATCGTCGCAATGAGAAGAACTGGGGTGAGGCCAGAGAGTATTGGCACATCCATTGTGCACTATGCTCAAACAGCTCTGAAGGGTATCGAAAGGCGCCATGTATGGGACTCAGGTCCTCTTGTTGGAGACAACCAACGAGTGATTGTGGAGACGCTCATTGATCTGTTGGCAACAGAAAAGATCACATCGGTTACCTTGTCATTCTTGTTTGGCATGCTGAGAATGGCAATAGAAGTTGATGCAGGACTAGATTATAGGATTGAAGTTGAGAAAAGGATTGGACTTCAGCTTGAGATGGCATCACTTGATGATCTTCTGATCCCTGCAACGCAGACGAGTGACTCGATGTTTGATGTCGACACTGTCCATCGCATATTGGTGAACTTCTTGCAAAGGATAGAGGAAGATGATTCAGGGAACTTATCACCTTGCGGATATGAGTCTGATGATGGACTAAAGTCTCCGAGCCACAGCTCGGTTCTGAAGGTTGGAAGACTGATGGATGGTTACCTTGCAGAAATAGCACCAGATCCATATCTGAAACTGCAGAAGTTCATGGCTCTCATCGAACTCTTACCGGACTATGCGAGAATTGTTGATGACGGACTCTACCGTGCCATTGACATATACCTGAAGGTAAGCTAACTGTACTGCAAACCTTGATAACTCTTTCTGATTATGTCCAATGGCAAATTCAGTAACTGCCACTCTGTCAGCATTACAACATTATTCAATGTTGATGAAAATGTGGCACGAATACTTTCAATTCTGGATGTAATCTTTAGAACCATTTGCAATCTGTATAGTGTCCGATGATGTATAGCTTGCTGTGTGTGGTGACAAAAAACTGAATTGTGATAACAAACAGGCTCATCCATCTCTGACGGAGTCGGAGTGCAAGAAGATGTGCAAGCTGATCGACTGCCAGAAGCTGTCGCAGGACGCGTCGAGCCACGCGGCGCAGAACGACCGCCTCCCCATCCAGACGGTGGTGCGCGTCCTCTACTTCGAGCAGCTCCGCCTCAAGTCCACGGTGTCGTCAACTACCCCCCACACCACCTCCCTCGGCGGCGACGGCTGCGGCGGGTCGCTGTCGCAGCGGATGATGATGACCGGCGGCAGCGGGGTGGCGAGCTCGTGCGTGTCGCCGCAGCGGGACAACTACGCGTGTCTGCGGCGGGAGAACCGGGAGCTGAAGCTGGAGATCGCGCGGATGCGGGTGCGGCTGACGGAGCTGGAGCGGGAGCAGGGGGTGATGAGGCAGGGGATGCGGGATGGCCGTGGCGGCGGGGAGCACGGCCGGGCGCTGCTGGCGTCGATCTCGCGAGGGATCGGGAGGATCGCCATGCTCGGGGTGGGGGCGCAGGGCGGAGCGGAGAGGAGGAGGAAGACGAAGACGAAGAAGAGCTCTCACTCGCAGTCTCAGTGGTCGTCGGATGGTGGCGGGAAGACGATGATGATGAGCAGCAGGCGGAGGCACAAGGCGTCATCTGTCACCTACGCTGCTGCCTCCTGAATCATCATCAAACTGCATGCTTGCTCTTGTTACTGCATGAATGCATTTTACAAGGAAAAGATGGGCAGGGAAAATGTAAAATTCTACAGCTAGGTGAAGAGATTAAAGTGTTAACACTCCTTTATTAGATAAGCTAATCTAGTTCTATTGTACAAGTAGTAACATTTTCATTTTGGGTGTGGCTTTTTCTTGGTCATTGCGGCCTCCTGCGCTAATGGAAGGAGGCAAATTTTGCAAAAGAACACTACAAATCCAAATCATGAATATTTTGCAGAGCACCTCTTTAGACTAATTTTTTAAATTAAAATTTTAAACTTAATCAGAGAAGTAGATTTGAAACCGATTTAAAGACATTATACATTATTGTCGTTCAAATTTAAGATTGATTTGGTTGGGGTGCGCCAGGCCCGGGCTGTAGTGCAACGCCTGGGCGACACGCGAGGGCCCCAGTGGCAAGCCACTGTGGTGGACCCTCCCCCACAAAAAATAAATTTAATATCAAAGTGGACACATGGCCCACATATCAGATATTAAACTGATAAGAACAGATACTACACTTGATCTTAGCCAAAAGGCCGAGAAAGGTATGAGTTGAAACGGAGCCCTCCGGCTCCTTTTATAGCTCTCGCGACCGCCTCTCCCAGCTGAATAGCCGAGGTGGTACTAAACTCTCTCCCAGCAAAAACAAAGCAGCAACATGCGCTCCTGCGATTTCCAATCGCCGTGGCCGTGGGCCTAAATCCTTCCCAGAGCCCAAGTAGTAGAGCAGCCGGCTTGTTATTTGTTGTTTCTCTGACATGTGGGGTCATACTATTTGCACCATAGGCCAACGTCGGACACGATTCGAGTTGCTTCTTCTTTATCTTCGATCTCGTACGTGCAGGCAACGTACACCAGGCAATGGACGAATTGAACGAAATTGAATTAGATCTTGTTCGTAAGCTAGGATTAAAAACCAAATTTCATTGTGCAAAGTTGAATGAAAAGCAAAACAAGATTCTTTGACATGAACATGATGCAGCTTAGATCATCAGTGCAAGCAAACAGCATCTTTCAACTTTCGTTTAAAGGAGAAAGCTCCAGCATCTCTTCAACTTTCTCATTCTCTGTATACCTGAATTCGTTCGTAGATGTCCGTATCTTTTGGACTTATCCCGATGGATCACAGGATACCCGTCCCCACCATTTCCTCACGTGTCCTCGTTCAACTGGTGTACGGAATTTTGTGGGACCCAAACCATATCCTCCGACGTGGCAAGTCCCAAGCCACGTCCACTTTTCTTATTCCCACTAATTTCTTGGAAGAGTACTGCATTGATCGTTTGCGTGGACGGAGATGAGCCTAGCACCACTATCAATGACTATTATCAACAGTGGATCAGAGTTGCAATATTGCAAACTGTAGCTTTGTGAATGTATTTATCCGTGCAAGAACTATTCATTCCATTCCATGGTTCAGAAGTTCAGATCACCTTGTCTTGATCAACACCAAGTCTGATGCTGATGGCACGTACTAGTGAACATGATCTGTTTAGTTTGACGGACAAAGTTGCCATCATCAAGATGGAAGCTAGCGAAGAGTAGTGAGCAGAAGTTCAGAATAGTTGCAGGAAAATGGAAACTGAACTGAAGAAGCGACCAACTTATAACGGCTACATGCAAGTAGCGGACGATACACGACATCACATTGCTGACCAGAAACGCCTCTGCAGCCATGCAATTTTGGCTGCTATACTATTACTTGGAGGCATACCTGCCATTGTACTCCACTCGTTATTATTACAAAAAGTTAAGAGTTTAGTACAAACAGTGTAATGAGATGGAATCTCTATAAATCCGATCAAGGAGGATCAGATATTCAGATCGCAGGAAATCGTATCTGCCTGCTTTTCGAGAGCTTAACAAGGGAGGGAGAGCTCCTTAATTGCCACGTCCCGGCCTTGCTCTTGATGCAAGCTAAGCTTCCACTTCCAACGGGGACATCTCTTCTCTTGCACCTTCCTCTGCTCCTGCTTCTGCTTCCATGGATCGGACCAGCCAGTGGTATGTGTACCAACCTCTGATGAATTCTTGTTCTTGTTGTCACTCTTTCATCTGAACTAATCATCTTCTTCTTCCATCCAAATCGATGGATCAAACCAGGGTCTCGTCGCCAGACATACCCGCCGATCTTCTCATCCGGATCGCCGACGACGTCTTCCCTCTCCTTAAGGTTCTTTTCCCTTTTTCTCATTTCACTTCACCTCTTCTTCGATTTGTTATATATTTTTTCCGCTAACACGTAAAAATATTGCACGTCAAGTCGTCAATATACAATTTGTTCTTCTAAGTTCTAAGAACAAGAACATACTCTGTTTTGCCCTGATTTTGATCAAACTCTGACGTCCAAAATCTTCTTCCTCTTCTACTACTCCTACGTGTTAGCAGGGGGTGATGGTGCCCAAGTGCGGCTACATCCGCAAGGCCGTCGCGGCGGCGCGCGGTGGCGCCACGGCCACCGTCGACCTCGACCTCTCCGCGCTGCCCGGCGGCGCCGACGCCTTCGACAAGGCTGCGCGCTACTGCTACGGCGCCAACTTCGAGATATCCGTGCGCAACGCGGCCGCGCTCCTCTGCGCCGCCGCCTTCCTCGACATGCACCCAACGGACGGCGGCCTGGCGCGCCGCGTCGAGGAGTTCCTGGCCAAGGTCGGCCTCCGCACGCTGCCCGGCGCCGTCGCCGTGCTGCGCTACTGCGAGGGGCTCCTCCCGGCCGCCGAGGAGATCGGCGTCGTGCAGCGATCAGCTGACGCTATCGCGCTCAGGATCTGTAACGAGGTGCTGTTCCCGACGAGGTCGCCGCCCGAGTGGTGGACGGCGGAGCTCGCGGCCCTCTCGCCGGCGTCGTTCCACAAGGTCATCACGGCGCTGCGCTGCCGCCGCGCGGAGCCCGAGGTGCTTGTCGCTGCAGCCACCGCATACGCTGAGCTCTTGCTGGCCGAAGTGCTCGCCGCCGACGGCCATGCTGCTGATCACTCCGGGATGCACCGCGCGCTTGTCGAGTCCGTGGTTGCCGTGCTCCCTTCCACGGACGACGCGCCCCTCCCCGCCGCGTTCCTCTGCCGCCTCCTCCATGTCGCCATCACCATCTGCGCATCCGCCAAGACGTGCCGTGACCTGGAGCTCCGCGTGGCGGCGGTGCTCGACCAGGCCACCGCGGGCGACCTGCTGACCGTCGCGCTCGACAGCGCCGGTGAGCGCGTCCAGAACGTCGACACCGTGCGCCGCATCATCACCGCCTTCGTGGAGCGCGACTCGGCGGCGTCATCGGGCGGCGCGAACGGCCGGAGCCGGAGGGCGTCCCTGAGCGGAGCCGGGGCGCTGCAGGGCGGCGGTGGCGCGATGCAGACGGTGGCGAAGACCGTGGACGAGGTCGCGGCGGAGATCGCGACGGAGGAGTCGCTGCCGATCTCCAAGTTCGTGGGGCTCGCCGGCGCGGTGCCGAAGGAGGCGCGCGCGACGCACGACTGCCTGTACCGCGCCGTCGACATCTACCTGAAGGCGCACCCGGCGCTGGAGGAGATGGAGAGGGAGAAGGTGTGCAGCGTGATGGACCCGCTGAAGCTGTCGTACCAGGGTCGCCTCCACGCGTCACAGAACAATCGGCTCCCGCTGCAGGCCGTGCTGAGCGCGCTCTACTACGACCGGCTCAAGCTCCGCAGCGGAGACGAGGGCGGCGGCGGGTGGGACGCGTATGGGAATGGCGTGATGAGGTCGTCGGCGGCGGGGTCGGCGAGGAAGCAGGCGAAGGAGGAGGCGTCGCTGGCGAGGGAGAACGAGGCGCTGCGGTCGGAGCTGGCGCGGATGCGGGCGTACGTGTCGGGGATGCAGCAGCAGAGCAAGGGGTCGTCGTCGTCGAGGGGGAAGAAGGGCTCGTGGTTGCGGACGTTGAGCCGGCTGAACCCGTTCAAGGCCGGCATCTGGGGCAAGGACACGTCGGGCATCGTCGACGGGAAGACGGACGCCATGAATTCCGTCAAGTCCAAGAGGAGGAGGTTCTCCATTAGCTAGGCTAGCTTAGTGTTGAGATGATCCATGTCATCTCGTGCTAGCTACATATATGCGTTGTCAATGACTGTATATTGATTGATTGGTTATTCGCAAGAAACATGACTGTTCTTGTGTAGTCTACTGTAAATTGTAAGTTTGTGTCCGCAAAAACGAACTAATGTTTGGATTGGATTGGTCAAAAGTCAAAACAATTCATCCTTTTTCACTTCCTCTAAATTGAACTACTCCGTATGTACCTTTATCACACCGGCGGTTACAACAGGCGAAACAGAGTAGAGAGCGAGCAGAGCAAAACGGAAACTGATATTACGCTATCGAGGAAGATAAGCGTATCGCAAACAAATATATGTAATAGTGTGAATGACAGGTGGGGCCCTTGTGTGGGCATAACCCCTCCTGAAACTTACCGTACCGTCATCTTCTTCTCCGTCTCTCTCTTTTTCCACGGCAGCGACCAGTGGCGGCGAACCTCGCCGGCGTTGGGACGCACCAGCCTTCGCCGGAGAACACCATACACGTCCGGCTTCTCATGCGTCCACCGCTGCAGTCGCCATGAGTGACGCCGTCTCAAGCTTTCCGGGTGCGGCGCGCAGTGGGACCCACGTGTCGGTCTCATACTCACCATAAGAGCGGTGAAGTCGGCTGTGGCGTTGACCACCGACGTTGAAAATGGAAGCGCACATGCACATGAATGCCCGTGCGATGGGCATGTGCCCCATCCCGCCGAGCTAGAGCGCCGCGACGCCTCGCCTTCCCCTCCACCACCACCTGCTCCTCCTCCTCCTCGCCCTCGCCTCTTACATGGAAGACGCCCACCACCACCACTGGACAATGGTGGAGTGCAGCGGAACTCAGCTCTGGGCCTCCGGCCGCCCCTTCATCATCCACGGCTTCAACACCTACTGGCTCATGTCATTCGCCGCTGACCAAGCCACGCGCCCGCGGGTCACCGCCGCCATCGCCGAGGCCGCCGAGGCCGGCCTCAACGTCTGCCGCACCTGGGCCTTTAGTGACGGCGGTTACCGCGCGCTGCAGACCGTACCCTTCCACTACGACGAGGATGTCTTCCAGGTGAGCTAATTATACCACGGTGCATGGTACCTCCTTCTCCTTGGCGTGTGCGCGGGCAGCACGCCAGGTGTTTGATGAAATGCGTGGTCGAGATGCACTTGTCGTGCCTGTTAGATCATCAGACAATTCTATGTCTTGCCCTTAGATTTTAGCAGTCTTGTGTTGTGCGCGGCAGGCATTTGATGAAATGCTTGTCTCGTTTGCATGGTAGGAGAAGTTTTCATGTTGCTCGTTCTAAAAGTTATTCCCTTTTTCCCAACTGGATGCCTATCATAGATTGCCGGTGCCAAATTCTCTGCACTGCTTTAAAACCTTTGGTCTCTGCCTTTTTTCTTTTCTTTTCTTTTCTTTTTTTGCTTCACATTACTTACATCTACTAGTTCCCATGCCATTTTCTTTCAGGCTTTAGACTTTGTGGTCAGCGAGGCAAAAAGGCATAACATGAGGTTGATACTGTCACTTTGTAACAACTGGGAAGATTATGGAGGCAAGGCACAGTATGTGAGATGGGGAAAAGAGGCTGGTCTAGATCTTACTTCTGAAGATGACTTCTTCTCTGACCCAACAATTAAGAGCTACTACAAAGCTTTTGTTGAGGTAAATGTTCTGCTCGTATTATCCCTGTATAAAATGACTGGCAACAAATACTTTCATTAGATTGTATCATTGTATTATACACATGACACAATTTTAACATCATTCTTTTAGGCTGTTGTGACAAGAATAAACACGGTTACGAATGAAACCTACAAAGATGATCCTACTATTCTTGCCTGGGAGCTAATTAATGAGCCACGCTGCCCTTCAGATCCATCTGGAGATACTTTGCAGGTCTTCATTACATTCTGTGTTTTTGGGTAAAATTTCGGGTCTTCTATATTCTGTTTGGCTGCAACGCATTTTGAGGACAAGGGTTTGTTGTAGGCATGGATAGAAGAGATGGCATCTTATGTGAAGAGTATAGACCCTGTGCATCTCTTGGAGATTGGTATTGAAGGCTTTTATGGCCTATCCACTCCAGAACTTCTGCCTGTTAACCCAGATGAGTATTCAGGGCATGCTGGAACAGACTTCATCAGGAACCATCAAGCACCTGGAATTGACCTGGCGTCTATTCATGTTTACTCTGACACTTGGTAAATCCTCGCACCCAATTCCATGTTCTTATAGTTACATAGTTGAGCAGCCATGAAAGATGAATTTAGTGCATTATTGAAACGTAGTCTATTATCATGACTGGACTGCCTAAAAAAAATCATAACTGGACTGAGATCTTTTCCTAGGCTGCCTCACTCGATAAAGGAAAATCACCTTCAATTTGTGGATAAATGGATGCAACAACATATTCATGATGCAGCCAATTTACTTGGGATGCCAATTGTGGTTGGGGAGTTTGGGGTATCAGTTAAGGACGGGAAGTTTGGTAATGAATTCCGTGAAGATTTCATGAAGACAGTTTACAGAATTTTCTTGAGTTCTTGGAAGGAAGGAGTGATTGGAGGAGGTTGCCTTCTTTGGCAGCTTTTCCCTGAAGGAGCAGAGCACATGGATGATGGTTATGCAGTTATTTTTGCAAAATCACCATCCACATTAAGCTTACTTGCAAATCACTTAAGGTGTCTGGAATGTTGAGACTCAAAGTGGTGTTTCCCTTCTTTGTACTTCCTCCGTTTCATATTATAAGACTTTCTAGCATTGTCCACATTCATATACATGTTAATAAATCTAGACATATGTGTGTGTCTATTCATTAACATCTATATGAATGGGACAATGCTAGAAAGTCTTATAACCTGAAACGGAGGTAGTATATGATAGTGTATGTTTTACTATATTTGTAAAGCAAAGACCATTTCTGTAAAGTCGAACAAATGTTTTAATTTTAACTTGTAAGGCCCTAATGCCGGTCTTCCATTTTTACAAGACAGCATGATGTCATGCAAATGAAAGATAAATATTTGATGTTTAAATGCAATTCCTTCCTTCCATTATGCACTTAAGTAGCCTCAAAATTGTTGTTTGTACTGACAACTATATATATTTTACTTTTTAATGATGTGCTGATCTAAAATGGAAATACAATACTGACTTGAGTTCCATGTTTGCAGATTAGAGTGCAATTGTTTTTCATTAACTTTGCTTTGCTTGCAATCTGCCACCCTTATACCATGCAGACATGCCATGATCTCCTGAGGAGCATGATTCACAAAGATGTGGCTCTAAATCAGTTTAAAGTTGTTGTGTATATGCAGTGGTACAATAATTTGGAGAAGTCTCCTTGGATGTTTGAGTTGTATGCAGATTTACATCATAGGGATTTGACTATTAGATTAAAGAGCTGTTCTGGTGCTGAAAAAAAGGGGCTATGATCTGTATCTATTTCCAAAACCTCACTGGGTGGCCACTTCTTGATCATGGAATCTTGCTGCTGAGGGTTCAGCATATGGTCACGTTCTGTCTTTATGAAAACCCGTTTGATTCGATTTAGTCTCTCATCATCTCCTTCAAAGCTTGCAGTGCTAATAGCTGTCACAGGCCATGGACGCATCAGCATTGAAGCGAGTACTGATTCCTGACCAGATAAAAACAGGTATGTATAAGTATATCTGTAATCATTGTTTTCTTCTTCATTTTACTATGATGTTTAGTTGTTGAGGAATTGGTTTCTCAAGAGATTGGAATGGGGAATAATAATATTTTTTCCAGGAATTAGCCATAATGTATTATGATAATACCAGGCTCAGATTGCGTTGACAAAATCAGTAATTATGTTTTTGAGGCACATTGCCCAGTGCCACCTATGCTGAGTATGTGCACTAGCACCCTTAGATATTTTTCCATTCTTGTTTCTCAATCCTCTAAAACACATTATGATATAGCCATATGGTATAATACCTCTTCAGGACTCTGTTGGGATAATCTCTCTCTCTGGAATTCTGGTCTCAGGGCAGCAGTTGTTGGAGGATCATCTGCTCCTGTGCCGAATATCAAATTGATCTCATTCTCAGGCAATGTTGGTAAACCCTGTTAAACATTATTATTCAGAGGTTGCCTTTAGTTATACATATGAGCTTATAATTATGATATGCGATTGAAAATAACAGAATATTGAACAAAGAAACACAAAAATTATGCTTATGAACATCACATCTTTCTTATCTTCGTCAGTTTGAAGTCCAAATGGTAGCATCGTAGCTGCCACAAAAATTGCTTGTCTAATCCTGTCAACGAATTGGTGCATTGCATGAATAAGACTCAACCCTCCTGAACCATGTCCAACCAAAATCACCTGAAATTAGATTGAGTTGAGTTACCTAGGTAACCAAAAGTACCTTTGATCTATATCTGCAATTAACATGTTGCAACTTTGATAGTTTTTCCTTATGTAGCTTCGAGACTACCTTAGCATTTTGTAGGCATCAGAATTGAATGTGTAGTGAATTTCTAATCAACATAAATTTTACCACTTCAGGTGAAGGTATGAATCAATGTAGATCTGTTCTCTGTAAGGTCTTTGATTCATCGTTGTTGTAAATGCAAAGAGCACTGAGATTTAATACAAACAAGTTCCACCTGAAACTAGCATAACTGTGGCCTTTCATTTAGTCCAATATCTCCATTTTATTGAAAAATGCATGGAACAATTATCTTTTGATCATTTCCATGGAAATGTGGTGGTATGCTAGCAGTAATAACATGCCACTTAGGTTGAACTGGACGGTCTTATAAATTAATGTAAATTGCATGAACACACAAGAGATATACCTTCTCATCCTCTGGTATGGCTGAGATGAGGTCCAGGAGCGGCTTGTCATACTGCTCAAATGATCGAACTGTGTTGGGGTCGGTAGGGTCAACACCAGCTCCAGCAAGGTCTATGCATGTTACTTGGTAACCAGAGCTCTCAAGGAGCCAACGAAGCTTGAACCAACACCAGGATCCATGCCCTTCTCCATGAACAAGCACAAAGTGCTCCCTTGCCATGCTCATTCGGGCTCTGTGTTTGGAGGCCAATTACTGAAGGATGGAGGGGGATTATTTGATTGATATCCTCCAGGACAACTACATTTGCGCTGTCAATTCCAAATGCCAAACCAAGCAGGTCGTCCAGTGGGTTCTATTTTAAATGATTGTCTCATAGGAGATGTCTACATTTCTAGCATGTGAAATGGCTGAAAATATGTTATATGATGCAAGAAATAGCTTGTGGGCCAGCTTGTTTTTCTCCCTGCATTGCGCTTGGTGTTTGGCCTTTTTCCCTGATGGACAAACTAACTTATCGGAGGAGGTATTCTCTCTCTCTCTCTCTCTCTCTCTCTCTCTCTTGAGTAAAGTGTATGGGTGGTCCTTAAACTTGTAGGGGTGTGTCATCTAGGTCCCTAAACTCTCAAAATGCATATCCAAGTCTCAGAACTTGTCATAGTGTGTCATCTAGGTCCCAAATCGCCACAACCACTTCAGGATCCTACGTGGCGTTGATGTGGTATGTCACACGGACATGACGTGGTATTATTTTGACTGACAAATAGGACCCATTTAAATTTTTTCCTTTTCTTTTTTCTTCTCTTTTCCCCCTTTATTCTCCTTTCTTTGTGACGTGAGCAGAAGAAAGGAAAAAAAGAAGAATAAGAAGAAAACGGAAAAGAAAAAGAAAAAGAAAAGGACACGTCACGTCCATCGGTCCATGTGGCATGCTATATCAGCGCCACGTAGGATCCTAGAGGGGATGTGTCGATTTGGGACCTAGATGATACACTTTGACAAGTTCTGAGACTTGGATATGCATTTTGAGAGTTTAGGGATCTATATGACAACCCTACAAGATTAAGGACCGCCAATACACTTTACTTAAAAAAAAAAACTCCGCGGAATATATGTCCTGTTATTATTCCTGTATTCATATTTTCCATGTGATATAGGTCCTGTTAATGTACACTGATTTGAGCGTAAGGCGGAAGAAAAACACTAGACCCTTGTTGATTTGCTTGGTAACGGTCTAATCTTACGTGTATAAACACACACCACATATTGTAGAATCAAGGAAGTCGTTGGTGATCAGCAGGTACATCATGCAGGAGAGAAGCGTCTTCTAGCTTGGAATGTGAATATGCATGGTGCGGTCACAGCGACTTGAGGATGAGGTTGAAGAGAAGCTCCGGCGCGGAAAAGAAGGGGCTGTGGTCGGTGTCCATGACCATCACCTTGCTTGGCGGCCACCGGCGGATCATTGCCTCCTGTTGCTCCGGCTGCACCATCCGGTCGTTCTCCGTCTTTATGTAGACGCGGCGGACCCTGTCGATGAAGCTCTCAACTCCTCCATCGTCGCCGGTGAATCTGGCCGTGCTGAGCGCCGTTGGCCATGGCCGGAGTAGAATGGAAGCTAGTGCAGAGTCCTGAAGAAACAGTAAGCAGGCAATCCTTGTGCAACAAGATTTATTCAGAAGAAACCATGCTGCTTACAGTAGTAGTACCTCTTGGGGGCTTTGTTGATAGAGAATAATGCGTTGGAACTCCTTTCTTAATGCCACAGCTGTAGGCGGATGATCAGCTCCTAGACCAAATGTCAGGTCATACACATCTCCATGCTCGGATAAATCAGGTACACCCTGTTAATTTTCAACTCAATTTTTTTCAGTGAAGAACGTACAAATGCTTCTACTGTAGTCATTGCAAAGTGGAAAGATGAATCACATCTTTGATGTCTTGTTCAGTTTGGTAGCCGAACTGAAGCATGGTTGCTGCGATGAAGATTGCCTGCTTAATTCTGTCCCCAAACAAATGCATTGCATGGACAACGCTTAGACCTCCTGCACTATGTCCAATCAAAATTACCTGACAAACAAGAGAACTGTGCATCAGGTTAAATGGTTGACCACTGACGTAAAACATATTTATCTGAAGTTGGACTTTGAGTAAAAGATGTTGATGGAACAGTGAACCATAATCTGAATCACCTACCTTGTCGCCGGCCGGTAAGCTGGCCATGAGGTCAAGGAGCGGCGCGTTGTAGTCGTCGAAGGAGCGGACGTGGTTGGGATCGACGAGGCTGCCGGCCGCGCCGGCGAGGTCGACGGCGGAGACACGGTGGCCGGAGTCTTGGAGCAGGCGGAGGAGCCTGAACCAGCACCAGGCGCCATGGCCGGCGCCATGCACAAGGACGAAGTGCTCCGTGCTCCTGCAACTCTCGGAAAAATCGTCGCCTGCGTCCGTATGCATGTTTGTCACAAGTCGCAACCTGACACGCTTGATTGTTTGCTCCTGTGTCTCTCCTCCTGTGCTGTTTATAACTTTATATACGTAGTACGTCATGAAATCAAGACACTTTTAAATGACAAGATATGCAAGCTGGCTGCCATGGATTTGATTTAGGGTGTGTTTAGATCCCAAAAATTTTTAGTCAAAAATGTCAAATCAAATATTTGGGCACATGCATGGAGCATTAAATGTGGACGAAAAAAAATCAATTGCACAGTTTACATGTAAATTGCGAGATGAATCTTTTGAGCCTAATTGTGCCATGATTTGACAATGTGATTCTACAATAAATATTTGCTAATGACAGATTAATTAGACTTAATAAATTCGTCTCATAGTTTACATGCGAAATTTGTAATTCATTTTGTTATTAATCTACGTTTAATACTTTAAATATATATGTCCGTATACTTAAAACAAATTTTGGCCAAACAATTAAATACGGCCTTAGCTGCCAAACATCGCCTGCATATTAGATGGTGCTTCTGAACTAAACACGTACTTATGTTATTGTATATTCTGAAAATTTTTGTCAAACTTTTGTTAGGTAGTAGTATGACTATAAACTTACGGTTTTGAAGCCCAATCTAAACTTTGGTATCCGTTTAATTTTTACCTTCTTTCTTGGTCACCTTTGATTGGAGATTTCGCCAATTCACATTGATTGATTCATTTGTAAGAAAAAGGATTAAGAATTTACCTTGTGTCAACTCAGGGCTAGCAGAGTGTAGAGCTTAGTTTTTTTTTCCTGTTCCTGCAAAGTCAACCAGCAGATCTACCCCTGAATTGAGGGAGCATATAATAAGCATATTACACAAAAAAAATATTGAATTATTCCAAATAAGATATGGATATAACTTGCAATTCCGAGGTATAAAATACTACTAGCGTTTGTGTTTATGGAGAGCTTGCAGCAGCTGGACGCGGCCGGCAAGGTCCTTGCTTTTGCTTTCCTCCTACTATGAAATACAGTAGAGCTGGTTTGGTTTTGTCAAACTTGCTCTTTCTTGCACGTATATACATCCTACCTGCTTACTACTGAGACGTTGACACTGCGTCATTTCATCGTTTATATCAGATGGCGACGATGCAACGAGATAAACGGATCTTGCGTCTTGACTTTGAACATTGTTTCATCATCTCATCGAGAAGAAGAAAAACTGCAAGAAACACGAGACATGGCCGAAAGTTGGCTCAAGTTTAGCCCAACATGCATGTCCTGATGATTGATCATGATCTAGGAATAAGTTAATTTTTGGTCCCTTAATTTGATAGCAAGTTCGATTTTCGTCCTTGAACCGTAATACCAGATACAACGGGTTTCTCAAAACCAGTGCAATATAGGTCCCATAACAGTATACAGAGTGGTTTTGTCCGATGTGGCAATTTGACCCGAGTCAACAGTGTTGAGCTAGCGTGAACCCCACGTATCAGGGCCTCTTCACTCCTCTCTCTCTCTCTTCATCTATCTCTCGTTCTCTTCACCTAGACGGGGAGGGCGTCCATGTCGATGAGGACTAAGGAGGATGACAAAGGGGGCAGGCTGGAGCCATTGTTGATGATGATGCCATTGCCAGCGACCGCGCGGCTATGAGGCCGAGCCGCTCTGGCCTCACATGTAAGCGACACATCCCTCTTCTCTTTTCTCCCTCTTCGTCTCGAAGCCGACGCTTCGCCTCGACGCAGCCGCTGCCGGTGCGGCGGTGGTACGTGTATGCGCCCGCTTGAGCACAACAGTGAGAGCGTTGGAGAGCGGCGACCATGGTCATCGCCTCGAAGGTCCTTGGTAGCTCGGACAACTATCCCACGAAGGGCAACTCTGACGCATCGCCCTCCTCCCCCTTCGCCTCCACCTCCACGCCATGCAGCCGCGGCGGCAACAACGACGACAACAAGGACACGCACCGCTCCTACCCTCTCCTCCCTCTTCTCGCTCGGAGCTCGCTGTACGCTGGGGCTCCTCGTGCACGGGCTAGAAGCAGACAGGCAAGCGTGTCGCCCGTGGCTCAGTAGTGGCGGGCAGTGCAACGCGCGAAGAGGCTGGACCACTGAAGTTCTGATTCGGCCTCTGACACGCCTTCCTTCTCCTTTGCGAGCTCCGCTTGGCCTCCTCCTTAGCTACCTCCTCCTCGCCTGTCGCCTACAAAAGCCACTGTCGGCCGTGCGCGGCCAAGGGAGAGGGAGGGGTTGTGCTGGAGGGTGACGGTGACGATGCTCGAGATTGACATCCGCCGCCGACCGCATCTGGGGAGGAAGAGGGGAGAAGGGGAAGGAAATGTTGAGATTATAGACATATAATGATTTAATATATTCCATAAATAAATCATGACATTACAGATGAAAACTAGCATGAACGCATCATTAGATCTATACATGTAAACTACACAGTATAACATGAACAGATCAAATATGCGCAACATATTGAAAACGTACCGAGGTGACGTAAAGACCGGTTGCTTGGTTGAAACTTTTCGCAGGTGTCTACGAAGGCACGAAACACGCGAGCGAAGAGGAAGGCGAGCCGTCGCGAACAAACAGGGAGCAGTCGCGCGAAGCGCTTCCCAAAAACCTTATTGCCGCCTTCTCCCGGTGCAGGACGTCGAAGGCAGAGGTTCCGGAGACCTGCTCTCCCGATCGCCGGTGCACGCCGGCGAGCGGGATGGAGTAGTCTACGAGCGACGGCGCAGTACAGAGTAGGAGGCAAACCCTAGATTGATTTCGCTAGTGTTGCGTGAAGACGGCAGGTCGGTTTATATAGAGAAGGGTCGCTTGATCAGGGCGCCCGCACGATCTCTACTGCGCGTAACCGAACCGGATAAGTCGCGCGTAACTTATCCGGACTCCACGCCGTTTGCACGCACCGGATTTTTCGGAACGTTTCCAAAACAAAAACGAATCCGAATTTGCAGCAAAACAAAACTGCAAAAGGAGGCTGCATCTGCGCAAGGGTGAGGAGCCAATTTTTCGGACCATTCGACGCGTACGTCGTGCACGCGCGCCGCCTGCCCTGCTAGGCGAGGCGAGGCGAGCGAGCGCGCGTGTGTTTCCCCTCTTCTCTCCACCACACATGCTTCAAGTGGCTAGGAGGACATCCTCCCTTTTAAGGAGGTCCCCCTCTCCTAGAATAAGCAAGGTGGTACTAAACTCCATATGCATGCCATCCCATGAGGTGGGCTTTTGTGATTTTCCAAAGAATTAATCTTCGAGTGGGCTAAGGCCCATTCATTAATTCCAACAGGAAATGCCACCACCCACTGGCCACATCTGGGGAAGAAGAAGGGAAAAAGGGGAGAAGGGGAGAAGATAGAGAAGAGAGAGAGGATGAGGTGGAGGAAGTGGGGTCCACTGACATGTGGGTCTCACTACTATTTTTTAATCTCATTGTTTGACTGACATATGGGTCCATATATTTTGTTTTAATTTTTAAATTGTCAGATTTTATTTCATGTGACACGTCAGATGAAAACCGAGTCAAATTAGTCATATAAGCGTCACGCCAGTTGAAACCACCTTGGGACCTATATTGCACTGGTTTTAACAGTTGAGGACCTGTTGTATTTGGGTTGTATTTGGTATTAGGTTTTAATAGTTGAGGACCTGTTGTATTTTGGTTCAAGAACGAAAATCGAACTCGCTGTCAAAAGAGGCCTAGACTGAACTTATTCGTTTGATCTAGTAGTAATAAACTAGTAATTGTCTTTGGCCCATTCGGCCTGATAGGGTTTAATGGTCTTGGCTTGGTCAGCAATTTGAGGCTGGAATGAGAAGGGCCAAATTAGGCCCATTACATTTCAGAGACATTAAATATGTACTGATGTATACTACCTCCGTCCTAAAATATAGTAACTTTTAGTTATTAAGTGTGTCTAGATTCAGAGCTAAAAATGCTTATATTTTAGGATGGAAGGAGTATATATTTGACATGAACTAGCTAGATAAGTAGTACTCACTGAAATAAAATTAATTTCCTCTGCAACCAAAAGGTGGGCATGAACTAGCTATCGTCGGATGGATGGTTGAAACGTCAAGCTCACCAAAATCTTGAGAAGCTAGAGATGGTTAAGGACGTGAACAGTACGTACACAAACTTAATGAAACGCATTATTCTCCCACAACTTGTACAAAATTTAGTGTCGGCAACAACCTATCTTCTTCTTTTTGATAAAAAGGAGGCCAAGCCCAAGCAACAACCTATCAATCATTCAATCGATCTGTGACCAAGAAGAGACAACAGGTCTACCATGTCCAATTGTCCATAGGAATCAGCACGTGTGCTTACCTGCTAAAAAGAGTTGGAATTTTGCTACTGTTGAGTGAACTTAACTGTGAGATGTTTGTGTCCTTTGAACCGCATAGAGAAAACTGATGGCCATTCATGAGCATCGCGTTTTGTCTCATCCCCAATAATACCTCTCCTTGTCTTCTCCATTTTCCTGGTCCAATCTTCTCATTTAATTTTCTCTCCTCCAATTCTCAATCTGATCAATCCTCATTTAGTCCTTACCAGATAGACCAACTTGAGCTACCCATTAATGCTCTAGTAATCTTCTTTACCTTTTGTTTCTCTTACCATTTTGCTTATGGATTACTCGTTCCTACAAAGGTGAACTTGTTTAATCCTTCTAACCAACTGACACCAACCCGGTCGATTAATTCTGTCATCAAATGTACTTCTCCGCTTAATTATTGTGAAACTAAGGAAGCCATCGTTTGGCTTATTTTAAGCATAAGCGAAACGATATTTTTGCAAATAAAAAATAATTTGTGAATAAAACATTTATATAGTGTTCTTAGCAATCTAAAAGCTAAAGCTGAAAAATAAACTTCAATGAAAAAACCTCAAAATCAACTTTGAATTTAAGGTTGAAAATTCAAATTTCTTCAATGGAAAAACCTCAAAATCAACTTTAAATTTAAGGTTGAAAATTTAAATTTTGGCTGATAAGTATAAGCATAAGCGAAAAGATGGGGCGTATACAAGATAATACTACGTCTATCTCTTTATATATAACGTCATTGACTTTCAAAAATAATATGTTTGACCATTCATTTATTTATTTTTTTGCAAATATAAAAAA